ATGCTGATTGGCCAGGGCTGTGTTTGGCTTGTGCTGTCTCTGCCTCCATGACACTCTCAACCAATCCTATGTGAAATCATTGTGATTGGCTCAGATCACCACTTCTGATGATGTCAGCCAAGCAGGCAGATCAGGGGCAGAGTCAGGAGCAGCAGACTTGAATAAAGGTAAGATTTTGCTATATTTAGGGGAGGCCAGATGGTGTTTCTAACACTAAAGGGTCAGGAATACATGTTTGCATATAGTGATCTTTTAATTACCGGTAAAAGAACAAAGGGGCCATTCATCCTAGTGGCAGGTCATTAGGTCATAATATTTCATAGTCACCCCACAGCAACAGTTAACAAATTATACTCACCCTGGGTCATTTACCTAAAAATGCAATGGGTTTCACCAATGGAACATGGCACCATCTGTAACTCCGTTAATTAGTGCAGTCCTAATATGGTGCTTCTGAAATTGTTCATTATTGTGGGTTGAGGCATAATTCATTTAGTTTTCTGTTTTGTTTGTTTGTTTTTCTTCACTAAACACAGAATTGTAAATAAAATAAGCAAGCTGTGACTATATCTGGATTGGAGCAATTTTCTATTGTCATAACTGTTGCTATTTGGTTTTGAACACACTACAGCTTACTACTTAATGAAAAGAGATGAATAAAGACACAAAGTCAGAGCGAGTAATTAATTTATGAAATATAAATCAGACTAACAATAAAGCACTTTGATCCTTTGGGAATTCTTTTCAACCTCAAAAAATAGTCTCCATGTTTCATTGTCTTTAGATAATTGCACTATTGTATTTTTTCTGCCTACAGGAATTTCACAAGAGTTGATTCATACAAAACAAACAAGCTTTTCAAAGCAAAGTGTAAGATACAAGTGAGGCTGGCAAACAACCGGTTAATTTCCAACCACCCCTTGCAGACCCTGTGCTCTCTCTTATGTCATTTTTAAGTTTTGCTTCCTGGCTATAAAATTACAAACATCCTGCTTTCGCCTAAAGCAAGCTCTGGGCTCAGACTCCTGATTGTTCATTGGCAAAGTCTGGAAATAAATTCTCTCCGGTTTATTAGAGGAGATAAATCCCACAGAATATCACCTACAACTGATTTCCAAGTTCATTCTTGAAACAGTGTCACACAAACCATGGGAAAAGCCAACACGCTGCTGCTATTCAAGTCAGTCCTGAAAATTATTCAAGCTCAACAGCAATCGACGGGCCTTCGCACCCTTTAGCTGCCAGAGAGTTGGTGATAACACCAAACTGATACATTGTAGTGGAGATAGTGAATGCACAGTATATTATATTCTTATATGCACACTTTCTTACTTAAAACTGCAGGCGGCATAAAAAATACATAACTTTTTTCTTTTAAGTTTAATTTAACTGCTAGAAAACAAAACATCACAGGGCCAGTGACCACCCACGAAAAGGTTTGTTGTTGACAGAGGAAAATCAGATGACACTGTGAATGTGGTTAAATCTGAATTATTCAGATACGACGAAGGGAAGTGTGACGTTATAATAACAAGCCTGGTTCTAGCTAAGAAGGATTTGGCTAACATCATTTTATTTCTATACTGTTACTAAATATTTGAAATTACAGAGAGGGTTATATTTTCCACAGGATCGGTTTTTAACTTGTGTTTGAGTATTTCTGAAAATCATTGGCATTCCATTTACAGAACCCAGCATTGTAGATTGAATTACAAGTGATTCCAATCAAGATACACCTGAAGAAGACAGGAACATCGAAACGCGTTGTGCACCTTCATTGGTGAAATTGACACTGTGCACTTTACTTGCTTAAAATAACTTTTGTTGAAATAAATTCTATTTTATCCTAATTGCTGGTAGATCTATTTTAATTATCTTGGAGAATTCATCTGCAGCAAGCTCCACTCCAGGAAACCTATATCACACCCATGCCGATATACTTAAGCCAGTTAACAAAGGCTCAGGAAAACATGAGTGTGATACCAATCTACAGTGTTTTAAACTTGTATACTCATTTTGTGTACAAACTATATTGCCCCATTATTATTATATTTTTATAGCGCCAACAAATTCCGTAGCGCTCTACAATGGGTGGACTAACAAACATGTAATTGTAAGCAGACGAGTTTGACGCACAGAAACAGACGGGTTGAGGGCCCTGCTCAATGAGCTTACCTGCTAGAGGGAGCGGGGTAAAGTGACACAAAAGGCAAGGGAAGTATTAGGGAAGTAGATTGGTAGAATAGTATTCAATGAAGACAGTGTGGTTTTTTTTTGCAGCCATTAACAGTTTAATTGATATGCTTTTGTGAAAAAGTGAGATTTTAATGATTTTTTGAAGGTGTGGAGACTGGGTGAACATCTGACGGAAAAGGGTAGGGAATTCCACAGGAACGGTGCAGCCCTAGAGAAATCTTGGATATGGGCATCAGAGGTGGGAGTACCAGCAGAGGATTGACACAGGTCTTCGGCAGAGCTTAGGGGCCTAGACGGGACATACCTGTGTATTAGGGAGAATAGATAGGTGGGAATAGCATTATGTAGAGATTTGAAAGCAAGAACCAGAATTTTAAATTGAGCCCTATATCTTATGGGAAGCCAATGTAGTGACTGACAGAAGGGTGAGGTGTGGGAGGTGCGGGTAGACAGGAAGATGAGCCTTGCCGCTGCATTCATTATAGACTGCAATGGGGCAAGTTGGGAGCACGTAAGATCACTGAGAAGTGAATTGCAGTAGTCAAGGCGAGAGAGGACAGTGGCATGGAGCAGCACCTTAACCACATCTGTCATTAAGTAGGGACGGAAGTGCGCAATGTTTTTGAGATGGAAGCTGCAGGATATGACGATAGTCTGGACACGAGGGGTGAAAGAGAACACTTAGGGAAAGACCAGAAGTTCTGTTTTGGACAAGTTGAGCTTAAGCAAGTGGGCAGCCATCCAGTTAGAAATAGCAAAGAGGCAGTCAGAGACACTAGCCAAGAGGGATGGGAGAGAGATCAGGGGAGGACCGAAAGATTTGCGTGTCATCTGCAAAGAAGTGATATTGGAAGCCTAAGTAGCCGATGAGTTTATCAAGGGAGGCAGTATAGATTGAGAACAGTAGGGGACCAAGGACTGAACCTTGGGGGACACCAACAGAGAGAGGTTGTGAGGAAGAGCCAGAGAAAGAAATGCTAAAAGAGCACCAGGAGAGAGCAATATCTCGTAGACCGGACGATCAACAGTATCAAAGACAGCAGAAAGGTCAAGGAGAATTAGGATAGAGTAGTGACCATGAGATTTTTTAGCGAGTAGATCGTTTAATACTTTGGTCATATCCATATGGTACATATATTTTTATATATGTCATGTATCATGTTTTAACTATTTATACAGGGTATGACACATTCACTGTTTATTTGTATAAAGTGCGTTGTTCACTTTTTTCTTGTGTATGTTTCTAATCAAGACTGGCTTGGCAGCCTCTGCTACGGAAATGTTACTACACTGGCCTCGGGAGAGTTGGAAATAATGAGTGACATCAGAGTTGGAAATAATGAATGACACCCATCAATTTTAACCAAATATATTAGAAACCGAAGACGACAACACTAAGAAAAACAAATCACACAATCAGTGGCCTACAGGTTTGTCAGTTTTTAGCATCTGAGGAATTTTGAGGCCTGAAATGCGTCAGCTTGTTTCGCCATCTTGTGCTTCTCCCTGTTTTGCTATGCCACACATACCATGGAATAAAATTCTTTCAGCCATGACCCTGTTGAGGTTTACTTTGGTGATACGACTACAGTACTGGAGTACTTATTGTTCTATGTGAAAGCTATGCCATTATGGAGGCAAACAGTAAATGAAAATGGTTATCATGGTACAAGAGTTACATTTTCAGAAAATTATTCTAAACTCGGTATCAAAGGCTATTACTTGATAATCTAATTAATGTGAAATACAGGGAAACCTACTGGTTAAGTGGAAGCAGAGCAGGAGTAAACGTCAGCTCCGCACCTTGAAATAAGAAATTTGAATCACAATAAGGCAAAATTAGCTCCTTAGACATAAGTTAAAATCTCAATCTGCTACTTGATTCTGGTGTCGAACATCCTACTCATTTAACAACAGTGCCACGCAGAGCAGGTAAATCAGCTGAACACACATTACATTGCACCAAAGTCCCGTCATCTTTATGGTAATTTTATAGTTAAATTTGAAATGCCACATTCTGGTTGGTAACGATCTCCTGTTTTGAGTGCTTACATTGAGAAGCGGACAGAGGTATATGAATTCTATTGGAACATAAACCAAATAGAACGTGCATGTATCCCTTATGGTCCTGTTTCAGATCATTACTTTGCAAAATCCAATTTAATTATTTTCTACTATTCCAGGGGTGAAGAGTGTCTGAATCTGTTGCTGGCAAAGCCACAAAGAGTCATGGTTTTCTCTCTGCTAGTGGAGAGACCACTAAAGTGTTCATTGATCTAAATCAGTCTGCTAAAGGCAATATCTCTTTACCGCCTTGTAGCCCACCATAACCATCCATTTTCTATGTTTTGATCCCCTCATGTTGTTACTAAACTCCATACTCCTGTAGATAGTTACATACTATTATGGGTTGAAAAGTCGATAACGTTCATACTTTCGCTCCCCTGTTTCTGCAGTCCTTTGAAAAGCAAGCAAAACACACAATTTGAAGTGATTGCAAATTGTGACACAACAAGGGAAGACAATTCCTTGCTTACACCATAAAAGAAATCTGATTTCTGCTTGGTTCAGCAAACTTTTTAAGTGAACATTAAATTGATATCCATAAATATTCTGTTTTTCTAAAATACATCTATTCTAGACCTTCCATTCAGAGAATCAGACACAGAAGGTAAAATAAGTCCTCAGCCATCCTTCCAGGCAATCAGGTAACGTCTCCCATCTAGTGTTGTTGTGATATTCCTTCTTTATGTTTTTTTGATGGGTTGCTGATAGAATTAAATATTGCAAATATCTCAGAAGAAAATAAATAAATAAATAAATAAAAAAAACACCCAAGTTGGAATAGTTACAAATTGTAGAAACCCATGTTGGATGCTGCTCAAGTGTGGCAGTATTTGGATCATCCTGCTTGACATATTTGGCAGTGTGTTATACATCACTTTATACCACTGTGGAATATGTGCAAATGCATGCAACAAAGAGGGGTACAAAGTAGAGCTGATGTGCAAAGGATCATTTGGTGAAGTCATTTTTAGGTACAAATAGCCAAAAATTAAAAACCACAGCTGACATGGAGATATTGTGGCCTGAAAGTTCAAATTCACTTTCAATTACCAACATTTTACACTTTACTAAATAACCTTCTTAGCAAAGAGAAAAAAAAAAACCCAGTAACTAATTAAATGAGAAATCTAAATAGCATTCTGGATTTTGTTTTGGCAACAGCAGGCATATATAAAATAAAAATAAAATAAGAGAAAACAGTTCACGCTAAAATCAAACATAAGAAACTAGATTGTTTTATTGCTACAGTGTGAGGAGTAGGATGATGAGAATACAATGCAAGACAGAATTAATAAATACGCCAAGAAGATGGATTTGATATGATGAATGGGTCAATTATTTTGGCCTCCACTTAATATTGTTTACACCCTGAAACTGCCTCTTTAAAGAATTATTGTCTGCCCAGTCAGAATTCAGGTAGGAGATGTCATCATCTTCTTCAAGTTTCTGTAAACAAAGAAATGTATTTTAAAAAAAGTCCCAACAAACATGCAGAGTACAGTGCTAATCCAAGATATTCTGCAATATTTTAAATAGCAAAGCTGAATTCATTCTACAATACGGGTTCTCAACGTCAGTGTTCTTAAACAGCCCAGAATTAAAATGAAGAACATGGTTAAACCCATGACTAACTCCTTGGATATGGCCAGTATGTGGTCACCAAGGACTAGAGGAGAGAAATACTGACCTGGAGAGAACAAGGGACAAGTAAAAACATGAACAGCAATCAACTATCCTGGATATCAAGGTGCTACATTGGAACATTAATAACAGCTGTCTTGGTAAGAAATGAGATCTGGAGCTACAGAAATAGCTAATGTTCACCATGAAGCTAGTGATTTAGTTACACTTATTCAAGTATAGAGTTTAGGGAGCCCCAGCTAATAGCAATAAAGTAATGATGGTCCAGGCACTCAAATTCAATCCAGTGGGCAGATTTATTAGAGCAAAGTAGAAACAACGTGTCAGCCAGCAACAGTGTCATGATTACTGATCGGGAGATACACTGTGCAGAACTTCCTGGTTCACCGATCAGGCCCAGCCTATGCTTCTGATGTCACCCACACCTGTGTTAAAAAGAAACTGCAGGTAATCCCAAGTGACATTGCTGAACTCTTTACTCCCTGGACACGGAAGGGACTTGGACTATTCTCATCTCTTTACTCCAAACGGAGATTGCTGAACTACAGACTTCTCAAACAAGGAAAGGACTCTCTCTAATCACCAATTTCTACAAACAACCTACGTTCTTCTGTTATACTGGGAATTGCTGTATTGTTCAAGTCATTCAGTTTAATCCTGTCAAAGGGTGAATCCAGTCAATACAAATGTCAGTTCAATGTGATTCAATATATTCCTGTATTTAAATTGCAACCTGACTATATCCTGCATATATACTTCTTGTTTATACTCTGCAAATAATTATATTGGACATTGTTTAAGCATTCAAATAAGGATCTGCATACTAAAGATTGAACTGCTACTAAATGTTATTCTGTTATATCAAGACCTAAGCAATAAAACACTTACTTGAAATATTCTTCAATTGACAGAATTTCTTTATTTCTAAATCTGCAATTGAGTTCCAGCAAACTTTTATTCCTAGGTATTACAAACAGGGCCTTTGTCAAGTGCTCGACAAATGCCCTGTTTTGGGCCGAAACGTTGTTTCTACTTTGCTCCAATAAATCTGCCCACTGGATTGAACTTGAGTGCCTGGACCATCATCTTTTTGCAACTCACATTACGAGGATCGGCCAACCTCAGGCCCAGTTGCACCCTGGGATCCAGGAGAGTGCAGTATCCATATTGGTAATTATATTTACCGCTAATAGCCATAGACTATAAATGCAACTCAGCAAATCAATATACATCTAAATTTGAGTTCTTCCCTGAACACACATCTGATCAGGGAATTATAATGTGAAGGACAAAACAGCTGACCTTGAGAATTTTTCAATTTCCTATTTTGGTTTTAAATTTTAAACTCGTGAATTTCTAAGTTTTTCTGGTTTAGCGAGTAATAAAGTGGACATTCACTGAATGCAGGAAGCACACTGAAAATGGTTTTAGCATTACTGAAGAAATGTTAAATAAATAGAGTAAGTTTGTTAATTACACATATAGACAGCCAGTGGGTTCAATTAGACAGAGAAATAGAAGTTTTAAAAAGTCAGTACAACAGAGAGATATTTAGGAGAGGAGCAGATCATTTGTACAAAGGACAAAAATAATTCTACTCCAGCTCCAATTTAGCAAGATCTTTTCAGATCTACTCCCAATGACTACATGCATGTATTATTGGGGGTATATCTACTAAACAGCATGTTTCCCCTTCATTTTTATTTTTATCTATTTGCTACCCTACTCAATATGTTTAGCATTTGTTTATCTTTCAAACTTAAAAAGACCCTTTCATTATTAAAAACATAAATGACAAAACTGACTTTCTAATAGTGATCCTAAACGGGTACAGGTGTGAATTTCTCGTTTTTATTTGTTCACATTACAGATAATTCTATGATAATATAAAATTATCAATAAACCCTCCCCCTAACCACTAGTTATCAGATAACAGCCAGACGAATATTACATAGCTCAATTATAGCTTCAGATAATTCTTCCCATGGCATGAAATGCACTGTCACAAATACATCCTTTACAAAGCAAAGCCATCGCCATCTTAGTACCTCATCAGGGACTAACTAGTCCAGGTAATTAGCTAAACATTACGTCCCATTGATAATCACGGTTTACATCTTTGTAAGTAAATCTAACAAAAAGTTTTACTAGAGTAAAGTCCTCTATATTTTCCACTGTAAAATAGCACACCTACAAACGACATCTTACCTTTAATTCTTCTTGCCTTCTGTGGTAATACATCATCATATTCCTTTTTTCTTCGTCAGAAACAACTGGTTCACGTGCTGGTGCTCCGTGACCTCTCTTGTAGGGTTTTAAAAGAAAGAAGAAATAAAATTACATGTGCCATTTTCCAGTTATGGGGATTTAGAACATCAGCGTTTACTATGTGTAGGTGTTTTTATTTGTAAGACAAGTAACGCATCTGACATGTAAAAACGACCAGTCAAACCTAAACATTACCTGGATTCAACCACATGAAAACTGGTTACTAGAAGAAGCATTGAATAGAAACACTACATAGCGGATAGCCTCTACAGATACTGCACAGAGGCCAAGTAAGCTTCTGTTCTACTTTCAAAGGGTTGTTCCAAGCAAGCACCAGTACTGCTGCTATACGTGGGGAAAAACACTGGTTATGGCTAGAGAAACCCTTCATAGCCTGGTTCTCCACCCCCATTTCTAAAGAAAAACCAAACAAATTGCTAAAATGGCCCTTCCATCAGCAAGGCCAGGTTCTCTGTGCTTGCTGGCTTCAGACACCAGTTTTGGACAGATTTGATACTAGCCTGCTGTTCCAAGCTGGCTAAGGACGCTGTGGGAGAGCGGTTCTCTGTCTGTGCAGCGTTTCATAGTGAAACCAGAATTTCATCCTGGCTGTCAGAGAATGTATTCCAATAAGAAGGAAGGCTATAATCTATCAATCTTAGTTTTGCTGTAGGCCTTATCTAAAGGGATGGAAAACCAATTTACCCCTAACAGTAAACTGAAACATGGTTTATTATAAGGGTTAACATTGATATCAACATACCTTGTCTGCTAATGTTTTGGGTTGTGTTTTGACCAGTTAAACGAGGGGAAATTTCCAGCTGTGCGCAATACGTTATTGGAATCATGGACTCAGAACTTACCTTCTGAATCTTAACAATGATTTTCGTTTTTTCATTTTTGCCCACAAAGTCTGAAAGCTTCTTATTTCTCTGCAGCTCTTTTCCAGCCCACCATAACTGAGCATCGGATTCCTCAATAACCAGCTGCCCAGCCTGGATTAGAAACCATGAATACTCACACTGAGAATACAACTCGATATACACAGAAGTATGCATAAATAACAAAATAATAATCAAATAAGGATAAAATGGAATACATTGCGTCCATGAAATGGTAACTTGTAAAATAATAAAAAAAAAATTCAAATGCTGTACTTTGAATGTTATACTGAATTCTGCCACTGGATCTATCCAGATCCAGTATCAGCTTGGATCTTCAATATCATATGTCACAAAATGTATATATTACCTGAGTCCCAGAAAGATCTTCATTATTCTCAAACTCCATTCGAATAGGGTCATGTGGAGGCAATCCCATGGGATAAACAATCATTACAGCACCTCGGAGCTGGTCCAGAGCATCCTTTACCATCTCCATTGTCAAACACACATTGGCCTCAGCTTGTTTCTGTAGGAGGGTAAATAATGCACACAGACTGTATATGTGATATGACCAGGTAGGTGGTTATATATGTTGCTTAGTCTAAAGCAGAAACTGAAGGGATACATTGCCACTTAATGGTGTAATATGTCAATATTAGGAAAGCAGCAGGCTCAGCCATGTCAACAAGAGACATGTGTGAACATCGAGTGATAAAATGCACTGCAAAGCCTGATCAGCAAAGCACCTTTGTAATTAGTAACATTTGAAGAAACAAAAGGTCTACACACCAACTTTGCCACATACATAGTATTTCTTTATTTCAGTGGCAAATCATTAGACTCCTTGAAAACCCATCAACACCTACCTGTTTTAAGAATTTTGTAAAATATATAGCAGATATATTGATACCCTGAAACATGTAGGTTTGTAAAGGCCAATCCCAGAAATACTATGATCAACGCAAAGTCTGATAACAATATTGCAAGACCTCACTCTCAAGGAGAGGGTGTTCGTTGGCACCTGTTAAGAACTTGCAGGTTTGCTTAAGACTGAAGTCATTTTTTTATTTTGAAACATGAGTTTTTTATATATAGTAAATTGATTAATTTTGGCATTTTTATAACTATGCATATTTAGTAACTAATGCTTCTCAAGGGATGTGAAATCATAAAGATATTCCATCTTATAACAATTTGTAGCAGGGAATCGCTTTGTCTCTTTATTTATCTTTAATAATACAACAAAACATTCATTCATAATTACTGTTTTACTATTGAAGCAAAAAATGTAAAGGTAAAATGTTAAACTATATATACACACTGTAACACACAGACAGTCATACCTTAGACACCATGGATTTGGCTTCTTCTACAGTATTCTGTAATACCTTCTTCATGTTATCGTTTGGTGCTGGAAACAAATATCCGATAAATACATTATTAGTGTCCCGTAGAATAGATTAACACAATGGTACTATGCAAAGAGGTAACAGCCAAAAGTATTTTTAAAAAGATATTTGGGTTATTAATACTGGTTATGATCTTCGCTCTAGAGCAGGGGTTCCCAATTAATTTTTCCAGTGGAACCCTTTGACATAGTGTATCAACATCGTGGAGCCCCCAAGGCTTCTCCCCCCCCCACTTCCCAGGAAAAAACACATAAATTGCACTGGTTTTTGTATGTGCCGGTGTGTGTGTGTGTGTGTATTTGTATGTATCTGTGTGTCAAAGTGTGTGTATATCTGTGTTTGTATGTGCCAGTGTGTATGAATCTGACACACAGATACACACACAGGCACATAGATACACACACTGACACAGTGCATCTGTGTGTGTGTGTGTGTATGTGTATATATATATGTATCTGACACACAGATACACACACTGGCACATAGATACACACACCTTGCCACACAAATATCCACACTCAGTTGCACACAGTGACACATCTTGACTCACAAATACACACACACTCAGATACACATAGTGACATATACACACACTTGCACCCACAAATACACAGACTGGCACATATCCACACAGTGACACATACACAAACCTTGACACACAGATAGACACACACAAATACACTCTCATTGACAAGCATACATATACTCTTTGACAGACACACAAACTCCCTAACAGACACACATACAATTTATTATTATTTTTTTTACTTTACTCCACCCAGCCCCACTACCTTTGGGAGTGCTGGCATGGAGTCTCTATGTCCCTGGGGTCCATTGGTGCTCCTGAGCAGCTGGCATGCGGTCCCTGGAGTCCAGTGCGGCTGCTGAGCGGCTGGCGTGCAAGCAAGCAGTGATCTCCCTGCTCAGCTCCCTTGCGCGCCTCTTCGTGATGCTGAAGTGACATCACTGCTGTGCAGGCGTGGGAGATCACTGCCCACTGCTCCCTCGCCGCCCGTGGCCATTTTGATGTTAGAAATTCTGGCGGAACCCCATTTGGGAAACACTGCTCTAGAGTACTGATCACACAACAATCAGCTTGTCCAACTGTTGGGATCACTAATATCAGTATTATACTCACTCTTTATAGCAGGCACTGACCTATACTCAAATATTTGTTCTTCTGTAATTATATCATGAGAAGTTGAAAGAGTATGAATTGCAGAATTATTAACCAAAATGTTTTAATCTGATAAAACACAATAAAATGCAGCTCTAGAGCTTTCCTCAAAATTACCATGTCCATTTCGCCTTCCAATTTCATCCTTTTTGAAGACACTACCACCACTTGGTACACACTTGTCCTCCCACTCGTCTTTGAGTTTGAGCTCTGTTATCTGCTCGTCAGTGAGACCCTGCATGTTTGGGGGAATGATGATGCCATGCTCAGCCAGTTCTCCGATCTCTGCAAACAAGGAAGACAAATAACAAAAGGTGTGTCATTAAAACTCAGAATGCTGCTTTTATTACTGTTATATACAAAGAGACCATACCAACAACAGTTTAAATATTATCATTTAAATATACAATTTAAAGTGTACCTATCATGACATAGTAACACTTTGTTTGCATAATGTACTGACCATATTGCTGGAAAATATATAGATACAATGCAGTTTATTTTAGGATTACAGCTCATTTCTCTTTGTTATCAGTTTATCAATTTATAAATTGTAATATGATGACTGTCATGGGAATTCAAAATGCCAATGCACGTTGCTGAAGAATATATTAGACCTTTAGAATAACTAATAATGCCAAGCACACAGACACCACCCATTGTGGTATGCCAGGCAAGAGCGCACCACCATGGGAGTACAAAGACCTGGAATCAAACTTCAGGTAAAGAATATTTCCTGCGTTTTTACAAGCGGATGCATGGATTAAATTGTTTAACTTATATAATGGGGGTTAGGTGAAAGGTCTCCCTTAAAGGGACATGTATGGCTTTAATACACATGTAACGCGTGTTGTAATTTCCTGTCACCCTTCTCCTTGATGTATATAATAACCATAGTGATATCCACATCAGGAAAAAAATACCAAATTAAGTTATGGGGAAAAAAAATCTGTATCTTCTCTCAAAATATACCACAGGAAGATTTCATAGAAATGGTGCCACAAATTAAAGAAAAAAAATCAAACCAAAAACATTCCACACACAATTCTGTGTTTTGTTGTGGTACGGTACTTTGACACTATGGTCTATAAATTTTCACTGTAGAATTAAGGCTAGTGTTGGGATTTTGATTAGGGTACCATTAAAAGGGTAAAGGTTTTTGATTACTGCGTTAAGGAGACATAGAGTTACATACATGTGCAAATCCCCTGGTCTGTGTCATTATTGATGGTTGCTAATTAGTGATGTCCCGAACGGTTCGCCACGGACTCATCATTGAGTAAACTTTGACCCTGTACCTCACAGTCAGCAGACACATTCCAGCCAATCAGCAGTAGACCCTCCCTCCCAGACAGCTCACTAACAATGCAGCTTCAAAATGGATGCTGTCCAGGAGGTGGGAGGGTCTGCTGTTGATTGGCTGGAATGTGTCTGCTGACTGTGAGGTACAGGATCAAAGTTTACTCAATGATGAGTCCGCGGCGAACCGTTCACGAACCGTTCGGGACATCACTATTGCTAATCCCTACACTAAAGCAAAATTGCAAAGTTTTGGTTGAAACAACTGAATTTGGACAACAGTACACCATTTGCTGCTTAGTGGGTAAACCTCATTTAATTTCTCTGCCTGCTAACCCATTATGTATGACAATGCCCTTTGATGACCTCAAACTCTAAGTTACTGAATAAATTAATTAATGGGACACTGTAGGCACTATAGTCATTTCACCCCTTTCGTTATAGTGTCTGAATTCCTAGCACTTTCCTTCCATTCACTGTTAAAAAAAATAAAAAATGTCAGCAGTGTAACATTAAATAAGGATCCCTTGCTTCCCACAGCCCAGCCCCTACTGGAGGTATGACTAGGGCAGATATTACATACTGTTTTAGCCATACCAATTTATAACAGCAATTATAGCATTATAATAAGCTGAAAGCTGTCAGCTGATACACTCAGCCAATCACAGCTGCTCGAGCCAATATACCTCATTGGTTCAAGCAGCACAGATGGGATAAGCAGCTTAGGCCTCTGGTTTAGCATTAAAACATTGAAAAAGGTTTAACGCTTAATGGAAGGATAGCGCCAGGGGACATTATAACCACTTAAATGAGATTAAGGCGTTACAGTGCCTGCAGTGTCCCTCTAACGATTCAAGGACCACTGGAAGACCTGTAGAAGTGTTATTTCAGAGATTACTTACCCAGACATAGCCTATCAACTTTAAGTCGTCTATTGTAAATGGCAGCCACTTGTTTGATCAGATCTTCCACTGGAATATCAACCGTCGTATCAAATAGGAACTGGCTTTCATCTCCCCGTTTGACGTGTAAACGAACCATTTCTGCAAAGGAGAAAATCCATATTTGAATAATACTATGAGTATTCACCTTTTTTGTCTCCTCTCACTGAGATTTAATGAGTAGTTTTTATTACATTCCTTAAAATGGACCTCTTACAATGGATTTGTGGATGAAGTCAGGTTTGCATTGTGTGGTTTTCCTTATGTTTAAATGCCTGGGCAACTCTTCCCAAGAGGCTTAACTTAATTTCTCATTGTTTGTTGCCAGACATCCATTGGAATACATAAACTTCCAAATTATAGTATTGGATTTACCTAGTAATGTATGGACTAAATTAGATCTTACATGACAAGTTGTAGTGGCTTTGATGCTAGGAGTGTCCTGTCACCCTCACATGCAAGTAGTCACTTTCTCCCTGGGGTCCACTAGGCAGCAGTCACTCCTCAACAAAACCCTCCCATGCAGAGCCAGCTCATTGGCTATGAATGTCAGCTGACTGATCTAATGAGCCAATTAGCTAAACTTACCTCAAAGCAGTAAACTCACTGAGGATGTGAATGGCATCTGGCTGACACAGGGTAGCTTGTCAAACTGTTTGATAACCACTACTGCACGCTGTACTAGTTATGGTGCTTGGAGTATTCCTTTATGTTTGCTTTCTGATTGGTGCTGCAGGATGCACATGAATCCATGCACTTGCATCATACCAAAACATGAATGAAATCCAGTATAGTGGAGTTGACCCCCACTCCCCCTCTGGTAGCCTAATTAGAAGGGGGAGAGGACACATGCTGGGTACTGCGCCCTCCATGACAATACCCGGCATGCACTGGGTGTAGTCTAACCAGCCCCCCACTCCATAGCAATACCCAGCATGCACTGCGTGTAGTCTAACCAGCCCCCCACTCCATGGCAATACCCAGCATGCACTGCGTGTGGTCTAACCAGCCCCCCACTCCATGGCAATACCCGGCATGCACTGCGTGTAGTCTAACCAGCCCCCCACTCCATGGCAATACCCAGCATGCACTGCGTGTGGTCTAACCTGGTCTAACCAGCCCCCCCTCCATGGCAATACCCAGCATGCACTGCATGTAGTCTAACCTGGTCTAACCAGCCCCCCCCTCCATGGCAATACCCAGCATGCACTGCGTGTAGTCTATGTCCAGCTCTGCATGCTCAGTCTGGCCCTGGGAGGCAGGAGATCCTATATTATATTATATCAGAGCCCAGACAGGTAATAATGCGGGATATGGTCACTAGCTATCACTGTTATATGATATTAACTGATTATCAGCATCACAGCTCACTCACCTGCTGACCTGGTAGCCTGCCTGCTGCACACACTGCACTTCCGGGGACTGGTTTCCAAGGAGACAGGAATCAACTTCCGCCTTAGAGCTTGCGGAGGAACCGCGAGCTGCCAGTTACTGCGCATGTGCGCACCCAGCCTCGACGCGAGCTGCACGTCACTGCGCATGCGCGCACCCAGCCTCGACGCGAGCTGCACGTCACTGCGCATGCGCGCACCCTGCCTAGTCACAGTTTGCCAGTCGCTGCGCATGCGCACACCCCCAGGCTGGGCGCTCAGCTCTGGCGGCAGGTTTGGCGGCCCGTCTGAGCTATGTGATGGCCTGTGGTCAATGGAAAGCATGTGTACAAGCTGTAACCCAGCAGTAACGGGGGAGGGGAGGGTTTGACACCCTGCTGTAAATAGTCAGACACAGTCACAAGGTTGGCTGAGCATCATGGGAGTTGTAGTCCAAATGCCAGACATGGCCTGTAGGTGTCCCCGGGTTATTTACTAACGTGCGAGCTATTGAGAAGGCTTGACGTGGGTTTCACATTTTATGTCCAAATAGCCGAATTGTAATTCTTTCTAAATTTTGTCCTAAAATCTGAATTCCTGACACCCGAATTGTTGGCAAAGGCGTCTTATCACAGATCGTAAACTGAGTTTTAACGAAGTTACTGCGTTTAACATGACATTCCCTCATTAAGGCGGCTCTCTCACATAATGGAAAGTTTTAGTATTTTGCAGAGACCCCCCATGGTGACCTCGCTGCTTGGTGTGCCGCGGCGGGAGGGGTAGATATGGTTATCTGATGTCCTGTGCAGGTGCCGCCATCCTTCTTCCGATCACGGGCTTAATCAGCAGCCCGTGTCCTGCAGGAGCCTCCATAGATATAGTTACATAGGCTGAATAGAGACATGTGTCCTTCAAGTTCAGCCTTACTCACATCGTTTTTTTTTTTGCTGTTGATCCAAAAAATAGTTTGAAGCACTTCCAGTTTTCCTTCTTGACCCCAGAATGACAGTCATAAATTATTCTTTCAGTCTAAACGCATGAACTTGTGGCCTATGCATAGCCCTGTTTATGAATAGATTTCCACACAATGGTTTGTATCGACCCCAGATATATTTGTGTAAAATTATCATAACCCCTCTAAGGTGCCGTTTTTCTAAACTGAAGAGGTTTAAATTTGTTTTCTTCATAGCTAAAATGTCCCATTCCTTTTATTAATTTTGTAGCCCTCCTCTGCACTTTTTCTAGTGCCTAAAATTGAACAGCATATTTAAGATGTGGTCTTACTAGTGATTTATAAAGAGGCAAAATTATATTCGCATGCAGAGAATTAATGCCCCTTTTTTATATATGACAATACCTTACAGGCCATAGTGTTTTGCAATGACCAAAACAATGCCTTATTCCCCCATCTGACACAAGTGAAGACTTGAGGAAATTACAAAACTTGTCAGAGGAAAAGATACATAAGATGAAACTAGTTCCTATTTGCCATATGTATTTAAGGAAAATGATTGAAAAAGAAGGGGAGAACAGATTAGGGGTGAGGAAGAGAAGAGGAACAGATTGATGCAAGGTACGTTTAACCCCTTCAGGACGGATGACGGACGAGGTCCGTCATCCTGGGGATGCCTTTAACGACGGGTGACGGACCTCGTCCGTCACGCGGTAAAATTAACCCCGCGATGGCCGCAGTGCCGGCGATCGCGGGGTTAACGCTGTTGCTGGGTGCCTCCGAGTCAGGGGCAGACCAGCAACAGCAAATCGCGATGTCCCAGCACATGTGATCGCTGTGACAGCCAGTCACAGCGGTCACAATGCTGCTGGGACATCTGATCCGCCTCCCTCCACCTCTTGTGGGTTTGTGAAGTGGAGAGAGACGGTTCGGTGCTACATTGTGTCCCTGAGGAATAGCTAAGGTGTAATAAAAATTACCTATCCCTTTCCCCTGTCAAAAAAAAAAAATTAACCCTTTCCCTGCTGCTTGATCACTGCTAGCAGTGATCAATATACAGGTCACAGTACTTTACTGTGATCTATTTTTTTTTTTACACTTAAGGGTTAAATTTTATTTTTTTTTGTAACCCTAAGGGGTTCAATTTTATTATTTTATTTTATTAATTTGTGATTTAGTTAGTTGGGTGGGTGGAATTTAGTGTTAATTGGGGAATTTAGTTAGGGGTAAAAAAAAAAAAAAAAAGTTTAGTTATTTAGTTAAAGTTTTCTTCTTTCTGTGTTAACTGTATTAACAATGTTGCGAAAGTATAGCGCAGAGGAGGCTTATGCCCTGTTAGCCGCTGACTCAGAGGCGACCGACACTGCCTCAGAGAGTGACGCAGGGAGTGACGCAGGGAGTGACGCAGGGGACAGGGACTATGTGCCAGATTCTGCAGTAACATCAGAGGAAATCGCTGATTCCCCTAATGTTCAATATGGCACAGATGACTGGGTACCCCCTAATCATTTTTCGCCAGACATCCCAGTGTTCACTGCCAATCCTGGCATACAGGCTGACCTGTCTGGCTATAATGCGCTGGATTGTATGGAGCTGTTTTTGGGGGATGATTTTTTTGGGGAGGTAGTTACCCAGACAAATCTGTATGCGGAGCAATATCTTGCACGCAACCAAGACTCCCGAATCGCCAGGACAGAGAGATGGTACCCAACCAGTGTGCCAGAAATTAAACAATTCTGGGCACTGACAATGTTAATGGGGATAGTTAAAAAGCCCACAATTAGAATGTATTGGACTAAAAATCCTATTTTTAATACCCCCATTTTTTCCCAGACAATGCATAGGGAGCGATATGAGGACATACTGCGTTTTATGCACTTTAATGACAATATGAAGTGCCCCCCAAAAGGTCATCCACAGTATGACATTCTTTATAAAATACGCCCCCTAATTTCCCACTTAAATGAAAAATTTGCCACTATTTACACCCCCAAAAAACACATTTCAATTGATGAGTCCCTCATGAAATATAAGGGAAGACTGGGATTTAGACAATATATCCCATCCAAAAGATCCCGGTATGGGATCAAATTTTATAAATTATGTGAAAGTGGCAGTGGCTATGTATACACCTTTCGTGTATACGAAGGAAGGGATAGCCACATTGATCCCCCAGGTTGCCCAGATATAATAGGGACAAGTGGGAAAATTGTCTGGGATTTAATAATGCCCTTACTTAACTATGGTTATCACTTATATATTGATAACTTTTATAACAGCATCCCACTCTTACAAATGCTGTACTGTTTTGAGACCGTGGCCTGTGGCACTATCAGGAAGAGTCGCACAGGTTTCCCAAAGGCTCTAGCAGAAAAAAAATTAAAAAAGGGGGAAACAGCAGCTCTCTGCCAGAATGAACTGCTGGCACTCAAGTACCGCGATAAAAAGGAGGTTTTCATCCTAACTACCATCCACGGGGAAAACACTCGCAGGGTCGCAGTTCGTGGCAGAGAGGAATATAAACGGGTGCCAGTCTGCATACAGCAATATAATCGACATATGGGGGGAGTTGATCTGTCCGATCAACTAATGCAGCCGTATCTAATCATGCGCAAAACCAGGGCATGGTATAAAAAAGTGGGCATATATATAATGCAGACGGCAGTCCACAATGCCTTTATTATTTTTAAAAAGGCAAATGCTCAGCTGAAATGCACATTCCTTTCATTTCAATTTCAGCTAATTTCTGGGTTACTTGAGTGCCACAGAGGGGGACCATCAGTCGAGCTTAGTAGAAGAATGGAGGTAGGTCACTTCTGCTTCAAGATTCCATCAACCCCCAGAAAGAAAAACCCCCAGAAAAGATGCAGGGTGTGCTACAAGAGGGGCGTAAGAGTTGAGACTAGCTATTACTGCCCTGATTGCCCCTCTCAGCCCGGCCTATGTATTGGCCACTGTTTTAAAGTTTTCCACACCCAGGCCGAATAAGCAGACCAGTTTTGGGGTCTGAATTTAGTCAACTGTCTGGTTACCAAATCTTGGCTTTGTCTCCCGTTTATCCTGTCTTCTCTGATCCTTGACCTCGGCTTGTCCTATCGTTGTTCCGTTTCTCTTTACCCCTTTGACCTCGGCTTGTACCTTGACTATTCTCTGCTTGTATAGCCCGGCCATTCTAAGGACCGGTATTACAAGTGTCTCTCTCTGTGTTCTCTCTCTTTGTAGTCTGTCTGTGTTTTGGAATCCGTGACAGCGTTGCCCGTGACACAGATCACTGGGTACTACCCCCAGATAGGATTAAGCCAACTATTCCCCCTTTTCACAGCAAATAGTATGCACTTGTTCATAATTTGAATTGATGAGCTGCTTATACTTAAAAATATATGTGGTCTTTGAGAGGTAATTTGCAGTCCTGGGCTGCTAAAATAACACTTTGGCCCAGCATCCACTTTTGAAAAATATGAAAGTGATGTGTCTCCAAGGTGCCCCTTCAACATCCACATATCCCTGAAAAAGGTACACATGGGGGTATTGCTGCACTAAGAGGACATAGCTGAGCAACATATTAGGTGTTCTACTGCCATAGCACACATAAGGATTACAAAATATACAGTAACAACTCCAAGTGTGTGTCAAAAAGGCAGAAAAAATGCTCATTGTAACTAGACTTGGTACAAACTAACAAAAAAATGATCCAACGCTAAGGTTTAAAATATGCCTTTTGAAATGCCCTGGGGTGTCTACTTTAAAAAATGGTAGGCCTTTGTGGGGTAATTTGAACTTAAAACCTGCTAAGATGCTTGGAAATTGCACATGGGCCGAGCGTCAAAATTCAAAGTTCGGTAAAAACTGATATGGCTTGGTCTCCAATGTGCCCCTTCAACATCCACATATCCCTGAAAAGGGTACACATGGGGGTATTGCAGCATTAAGAGGACATAGCTGAGCAACATATTAGGTGTTCTACTGCCATAGCACACATAAGGATTACAAAATATACAGTAACAACTCCAAGTGTGTGTCAAAAAGGCAGAAAAAATGCTCATTGTAACTAGACTTGGTACAAACTAACAAAAAAATGATCCAACGCTAAGGTTTAAAATATGCCTTTTGAAATACCCTGGGGTGTCTACTTTAGGAAATGGTAGGCCTTTGTGGGGTTTTTTGAACTTTCCAACTGCAATGTCCCAAATTGAAGCATAGGCCAATTAAATCCATCTCTCAAAATTGTACTGTAAATACTGAAATGGATAGGTCTCCTATATGGCACTGTAACTTCACGAAATAGTGCCAAAGACATACAATGGGGGTGTCATTTTACTCAGAAGACTTAGCTGAGCATAATTTGGGGGGTTTGAACTTAGTGGCACATGTGAAATACACAAAATGCCTAGCAAAAATGCAATCCATATGTAAAAAACGCACAAAATTATTTTTTACCACATAATTTGGCATATATTGGTGAAAAAATGGGAGCACGTTAAGGCACAATATGCACCTTATGAGATACCCTGGAGTGTCTACTTTTACAAATGGTAGGCCTTTGTGGGTTTTTTTGAACAGTCAAACTGTTATAATACCCCAAATGGACGCATAGGCTCATTAAATCCGTCTCTCAAAATTCTACTTTGAATACTGAAAAGGATAGGTCTCCTATATGGCACTGTAACTTCACGAAATAGTGCCAAAGACATACAATGGGGGTGTCATTTTACTCAGAAGACTTAGCTGAGCATAATTTGGGGGGTTTGAACTTAGTGGCACATGTGAAATACACAAAATGCCTAGCAGAAATGCAATCCATATGTAAAAAACGCACAAAATTATTTTTTACCACATAATTTGGCATATATTGGTGAAAAAATGGGAGCATGTTAAGGCACAATATGCACCTTATGAGATACCCTGGAGTGTCTACTTTTACAAATGGTAGGCCTTTGTGGGGTTTTTTTGAACAGTCAAACTGTTATAATACCCCAAATGGACGCATAGGCTCATTAAATCCGTCTCTCAAAATTCTACTTTGAATACTGAAAAGGATAGGTCTCCTATATGGCACTGTAACTTCACGAAATAGTGCCAAAGACATACAATGGGGGTGTCATTTTACTCAGAAGACTTAGCTGAGCATAATTTGGGGGTTTGAACTTAGTGGCACATGTGAAATATACAAAATGCCCAGCAAAAATGCAATCCATATGTAAAAAATGCACAAAATTATTTTTTACCACATACTTTGGCATATATTGGTGAAAAAATGGGGGCATGTTAAGGCACAATATGCACCTTATGAGATACCCTGGAGTGTCTACTTTTACAAATGGTAGGCCTTTGTGGGGATTTTTTGAACAGTCAAACTGTTATAATACCCCAAATGGACGCATAGGCTCATTAAATCCGTCTCTCAAAATTCTACTTTGAATACTGAAAAGGATAGGTCTCCTATATGGCACTGTAACTTCACGAAATAGTGCCAAAGACATACAATGGGGGTGTCATTTTACTCTGAAGACTTAGCTGAGCATAATTTGGGGGGTTTGAACTTAGTGGCACATGTGAAATATACAAAATGCCCAGCAAAAATGCAATCCATATGTAAAAAATGCACAAAATTATTTTTTACCACATACTTTGGCATATATTGGTGAAAAAATGGTGGCATGTTAAGGCACAATATGCACCTTATGAGATACCCTGGAGTGTCTACTTTTACAAATGGTAGGCCTTTGTGTGTTTTTTTTGAACAGTCAAACTGTTATAATACCCCAAATGGACGCATAGGCTCATTAAATCCGTCTCTCAAAATTCTACTTTGAATACTGAAAAGGATAGGTCTCCTATATGGCACTGTAACTTCACGAAATAGTGCCAAAGACATACAATGGGGGTGTCATTTTACTCAGAAGACTTAGCTGAGCGTAATTTGGGGGTTTAAACTTAGTGGCACATGTGAAATATACAAAATGCCTAGCAAAAATGCAATCCATATGTAAAAAACGCACAAAATAATTTTTTACCACATAATTTGGCATATATTGGTGAAAAAATGGGAGCATGTTAAGGCACAATATGCACCTTATGAGATACCCTGGAGTGTCTACTTTTACAAATGGTAGGCCTTTGTGGGTTTTTTTTTGAACAGTCAAACTGTTATAATACCCCAAATGGATGCATAGGCTCATTAAATCCGTCTCTCAAAAATCTACTGTGAATACTGAAAAGGACAGGTCACCTAAATGGCACTGTAACTTCACGAAATAGTGCCAAAGACATACAATGGGGGTGTCATTTTAATCAGCAGATGTAACTGAACACAAGATAAAACTTTGTACAGGAATAGCACACACCAACTTTACAAAATAAACATGAGAAGTTCTTTGTTATAAGTTTGTGTGCCAAAAACCCCAAAAAACTAAATTTTACTCCAATATTTAGCAGAGGTTGGCGGTGAAATGGCTATGTAGAAAGTGTCAAAACCACCTTAGGTAAATAGCCTGTGATGTCTACTTTATATAAATATATACTTTTGTGTGGCAATTTTGTTTTCTTTTATGGCTATTAGGCTTACAAGACAAACATACCAAATTCTAAAATCGCTCCACATTAAAAGTTTATTTTACTCCTTGTGCTTTGTGACCTGTAACTACCAAAAAAACTGAAAATCCCAGACACATTATATATTCTGTAAATCAGAACAAATAAATAAATTTATTTTTAATTACTTTCCTTAACCTGCACTAATTATGCACACATTATTATTGCAAAAACTGTAAAAAAAACAATATTTTTCATTTTTTTTTGCATTTTTCTGTATTTTTTTTATAATAAGTAAGCATATATATATATATATATGTTATATCAAATTAAAGCCCTTTCTGTCCTTTAAAAAACAGTATATAATATGTGTCGGTGCAATAAATGAGAGAGATGCAAATTGCAGTTGAACGCAAACAGCAAGAAAATGCAAAAATTGCTTGTGTCATTAAGCGTAAGTCAAGCTTCTGAAGCTGTGTCCTTAAGGGGTTAAAGCAAGCATGTCAAAGTCTGGCACGGGCCACGTAAACAAGGTTTAAGTTTATGTGGGCCGCAAAAAAACCCCAAACCTTAAATTTTCATAGAAATGTAGGTTTATTTGAAAAAGTACAGTATAAAAAAAAAAAAAAAACAGCATCCCCTCTACTAAATCCCAGCCCCCCTCTACTAAACCACAGCACTCCCCTCTACCACCCTGTGCCAAATCTGATCCTCCCGCTGACACACACACACACATATTCACTGACAGACATATACATATAGACACACTGACACACACACACAGACACACATTCTTGCACACATACTTTTCTTTATTGCTCCCTACCTTTTGGAGCCGATGTGGGGCATCTCCCTGGGGTCCTTCAATCTGCTACCTCGTGTGGTTTAGTGATGCCTGGTGCCGGAATATGATGTCATATTCCGGTGCCCGGATTCACTACAGACGGCGCACGCAAGGGAGCAGTGAGGAGCAGAAACACTGAGCTCCTCGGCCTGGTAAGTTTTAGCAGAGTAGGCACCTGCAATGGGGGAAAGCAGGTGCCTACTCTTTTATAACACCAGCATGTACTCGCGGCTCGCTGGGCCGCAAAGATGGTCCTTGTGGACCGCATGTGGCCCACGAGTTTGACGTGCTTGGTTTAGAGCAGGGGTTCTCAACGTTAGTCCTCAGGACCCCCTACCATTCCAGGGTTTAGAGATTACCTGGGTGTGTCTAAGGTGTTTAGAAAAAGAAAAAAAAAAACACCTTGGAGTCTAATGTGTTTTTTCCCCTTTTTCTAAACACCTGAGACACAACCAGGTAATCCCCAAATCCTGGACTGGTAGGGGGTCCTGAGGACTGGGTTGAGAACCCCTGGTTTAGAGTAACAGAGTTGCTTTCAAGGGTTACTACAAGTACCATGAGCACTTCAGTGATTTGATGTGTTCCTGGTGCTTGGAGTCTGTGTGTGCAGCGTTTCACTATAAGTGAGATTCCTGGTTTAGCTAATGTCAATTCTGTGCATATTGGACATCTGGGCACGACCATTAAATATTTATAACCACTCGAGTTGAGACATTATTTGTAATATTTTCAATAACATGTCTTTTTGGATTAACCCCTTAAGGACGGAGCCAAATGTACACGTTGTGAACAAAACAAAATGTAAACAAAACCTGGCATTTCCGCTACGTCTTTCCAACTGTAATTCACCTCTTTCATATTAAATACACCCACCCTTATTATATATAATTTTATTCAGGGGAAACAGGGCTTTCATTTAATATCAAATATTTAGCTATGAAACATAATTTAATATGAAAAAAATGGGGGAAAATAAGATTTTAATTTTTTTAGTTCTACATGACATTTTAACGGTCAATGTCATAATACTGTTTGCTTTTACTGCAATAAAATACACATTTGTATTCAGCAAAGTCTCACGTGTAAAACAGTACCCCCTATGTACAGGTTTTATGGCGTTTTGGGAAGTTACAGGGTCAAATATAGCACGTTACATTTGAAATTGAAATTTGCCAGATTGGTTACGTTGCCTTTGGGACTGTATAGTAGCCCAGGAATGAAATTTACACCCATAATGGCATATCATTTGCAATAGTAGACAACCCAAGGTATTGCAAATGGGGTATGTCCAGTCTTTTTTAGTAGCCATTTGGTCACAAACACTGGCCAAAGTTAGCGTTAGTATTTGTGTGTGAAAAATGCGAAAAACACCAATTTTGTCCATCATGTGGGAGGGTCTGGGAGGGAGGGTCTGCTGCTGATTGGCTGGAATGTGTCTGCTGACTGTGAGGTACAGGGTCAAAGTTTACTCAATGATGACGAATAGGGGGCGGACCGAACAGCGCATATGTTCGCCTTCCGTGGCGAATCGTTCGGGACATCACTATTCCCTAATCACTGTTGTATTTGAGTATTCTAGTGTTTTTTTGGCCACATCCAGTCTTTAGTGCTGGTTTAATAAGTCTATTACTTTTTCTGTAATCATATTTTGTATAGGATCATAGCGGTTAATTTTCTTTGCAAAAGACCTAGGTATGGTAAAGGTTTTCAACTTTTTAATATGTAAAAAAAAAAAAAAAAAACTATTTTTTTTCCCCCCCATAATGGTTTTGAGAACTTTTGTCTGATGACAAGTATTTTTGTCCGTTTGTCCCTCTAATTTAGATTAAATTTTTTTTTTTTTTTTAAACATAGCTGCCTTATTCAGGAGACATTAGCCATTACACAGTCAGTAATGCGTACAATAAACATTACAATATTTAGAAGAATAAGTAAAAATACACGGAGTCAAGAACCCTGGAACACACTATTTATTTGAGCATCACACTACAGATCACAGTAAGTGTACAGCAGGATATTGTGCATTGATAAATACTTCTGCTCTGTTCTGTACACACAGTCTCAAACACATACCACAGAAGCAACGGAAGGTTGACATGTTAAAGCGACTAGTCACATATATATACCACGGAATTTATATAAATGACTTATTTTTGCAGTAGTACTAAATATTCAGCAGTTATTGTTTTAGAAAGTTTATATAACTTGTATATTGGTGACAGAAGAATACAATTTTGCCAAAATAAAATATGAAGCAGGGATATGCTGGGTAAGTTCTCCAGTACTTCGTGAAAGCAGTCTTGATTCTCTGGAACCATGGGCATCATGGGAACTGTAGTTTGCCAAACCAAGTTGCCTACCCTTGATGCATTGTAATTAATTTTACTTACTGATCTGTAACAGATAGCAGCATTCTAACTCAAAGTTGAGAGTCACTTCTGCTACACAAATCGTTCTTTACATGTTACGTGACATGGGCAAATGTATTCATAATATATTATCCAGAATTCCAGGGTGGTAATGACATATAGGTCAAACAATATGTTATCTTATTAGTCAATTTGAAGCAAAAAGCTTACTAGATAAGTACATCATCTCATTTGAATTGAAAAGAAACTGAAATAAATGACCCAAAGACAACACACAATTCCATACGAATATAAGCAATATTCCTATTATAATAATAATCACTTCTCTATAAAATGTACAACAAAATATAAAATACACTACATCCCTTTACTTTTTCTTATTGAGGATACCACCATTAAATCTATAGAACCTTTAAAATACATTAAACATATATGTCATGCTATTTTTGTACCCAAAAGCAGCATCTGCAGATGCTAAGAGAACTTTCTCTACACTCTAAAAGGTTCTAAATTAACATCTGGATGTGGCTGGTCAGTAGAATGTATGACACAAGTTCCCCAGGGGAGATGTACTAAGCTGTGATGTGTTGGAGAGGTTACTTTCCTCAAGTACTCCTGGTATTCTATGGAGCCAGGTATTTACTGTACAAGAACTGTCAACTACAGACAAGTGAATTGCACATTTTAAGCCAAGAGATCTTTGGACCTGATATTTTTACTTATAAATTGCAAACCTCTTGCCTCTTTATGTATAACTCCCATAACAATGTCCCTCTCAGCAGGTAGATGGGATCCAAATATTGACCAATCGATAAAGCGCCATCATATTCCACAGCACTGATCTATGAAGTGCATTACTCACCTGTAATCCTTTACCTACCACATGGGTAGAATGGACAGAACTCTCCTATATAATGGCTGATATCTGATTATGCATTAACTCAAGCACACAAACTGTTAAAATATAAAAGTAGCAGCGTTATGTTGATGTTAATGTAATTATGTAGTCTACCTTCCTTAATACTTGTGTGCACAGGCAAACCAATAACACTGTTTGTGTTCTTTGCCACCAAGAGGTAAATGGTTTGGAATATTTCACACAGTTCTACTTTAAATATAAGCATATCTCTCAACTGTCCTGGTTCTGGCTGGACCATCCTGATTTTGGGCTCCTATTCTGCTGTCCCTCATCCAGGAACACCAGAGGAATGTTCCCAGCCAGCACAGTGCAGGCGCTAGGCCCATGCAGAGCTCCTCATTGAAATCAATACATGACTAATATTAACTTCAGATTTATCACTTTGCAAAGTGTTTCCCTGAATATGGTCATATGTAAAGTGCATTCCTAATGGGAAGTTCATTCAGTACTACAGAACATCCATGGCATTAAACTAAGCTTGGGAGGTTCCCGAGGGCAGCAGATCGGTAACATATATCGTATATTGTGATACACTGAACCAACAGTTTGAATATATGTAAAAATACAGAACAATCTATAAATAATTATGTTGCCCACATCAAACGCATACATGTGGACACTGTTGGGAGGGTGGGAAGGTATCAAAACCAGTCTTCTCCCCGCATTTTAACCATGCATTTCTGCACTGGCTATATAGGACAAAACACATCAGTACATTGCACATGAGGTATACATTCTTACATAAAAAAAAAATGGAAAAAAAAAAAAAATCACCCCACCCAAAAAATAAATTAAAAAAAGCATGACAACTTTTAAAAACAATCAAACAATAAAACAAACACTACAACATCCCAAGGCAAAACAATACACTCCTCTCTCTTTAAGACATAGAAGAAATATTAACCTAGCCCTCTAGGTGTACCTAGATTTTGCAATTCAGTTTTCAATTCACTACAATGTTGTAATCAGGTAAATAAACTTCACAGAATCTCATCCGATTGTCCATCTTGGTTTAAAGGTCTAGGTGCCTCTAAGGTGTTTCTGAACTGTTACAACTTTGGGAGCTTGGTAACATACTGTTCCTCGTGGGTGGAGCTATTTTCCAGAGATACAATTGGATATCAATTTTTCAATAGATGTTAAAGAGTAACGTTTCTCTCTGATGAGCCCTAATCTGACTGGAGGAAGGAGTTGACAAAACGTCACCTCGTCGAGCTTCTGGTAATACAGCACCCGCACCAGAGAGGATACAACAGACAGTGCAGTGCAGCATGGAAATTGAAGTGGAAAAGGGGATACTATATTTACAAAAACATAGCAGCAAGAATGTGAATGGTCACCTGCAAATCACCAGGATGTAAGGGCTTCATTACTGCCAAGTCTAGGAGGGTCAAATTCCAGTACAAAATATGTTTTTATAAGTTGGGTAGAATAACACATCAATAAAATGTTGCACTTTTTAAAGGAACACTTTAAGCACCAAAACTACTGCATGCCAGGAGTGCACTGATGACCCCCCATTGTAAACACTTGCTGCTTTAGAAATGGTTTGACTGTTTACCTGGGGATTGCCTCTGTCTGAGCCAAGTCTGGCAGTGCAAAGCTGAGCACACTTGCTCAGAGTGATTAGATGAAGCCATGCACTGCTCAGGAAAGCTTACACCATTAAGCAGGAGCTTCCAAGCTCTCCTGGTGTTGCCTGGTAGACCCCAGGTATTATCAGATGTTAAACTGTATAAACAGTGAAAACCTTCTCTTAATGTGGAATGGTGAACGCTAACCTTGGTACAGCAGATCTTGTGGACTACATTTCCCAAGGGTGGCTGAGCAGTACAGAAAATGCCTACCTCCCAGCAGTGTTGGGTATATAACATAGAATCAGGAGAGAAGGGGCATACTAGTGACATGTATGTACGTTTAGTAGCATGCTATAGGGACTTTTCTGTTTATTTGGCTAAACAGCTGGAGACGGAGGGATAGGGGCTCAATACTGTGACAGTTTTGCAGATTTTGAGACAGTTGGGTGGCATGGGAAATGTAGTTAATGGGCATTAGTAGTACCAGGGTCAATGTCCTAGACAGCATAGTAAAATTACACTATTTACCAAGCATGTTTCCACATCATGTAAATTGCATTGTGTTACATTCTAATGTGACTATTTTCTATAATTTATTTCCTGATAGAAACTCTATTGTTGGGTTTTTCATTTTCTTAGCAGTTTTTTTTCCTTTTCATAGAACAGCAAGTATGAAAAATAAAAGAACATTTTCTGAACATCTATGGATCACCTAACTTCATACACAACACGTCCCTATACAGAAAACTCACATTTATACATTACAATCTTAAAAAAATCCCACCCTACTCCTATAATTATTAATGCAATAAATTAAATATAAAACTTACTTTAAATTCATGATATTTATTCCCATGAGAATGATCATTAATAATGTACACTGCATAAATTATGGTTTTCATTCTGACAGTATATAACTGTACTGTACATTCTATCGTTGACTGTCAGCTGTTTTGCACATAAACGAATGTAGCTTCGTTATTCAGTGAACTGCCACTTTGCCAATGAAATGTTTAGAACTTTATTGCATTAAATCAACACCCTATTGATGCTTGGTCATCCCATACAGGATCAGCTGTTGGGAGATTTGTTTTTTTTTAAGCCAGAAAGCGTCTTGCAATGAACTGGTCCCGCGTAAATTTAAGAAATATTTAGATTTTTACTATATCATCCCTAGCCACTGCTGTAAGATTATCCAAAGGATGAAAATAGGCTTCAGGCAAAGCTAGGAAAAGAATGGTAAAATGTTCTACATTTAGACCGGGGCTGTCCAACCTGCGGCCCCCCAGATGTTGCTGAACTACAACTCCTGTGATTATTTCAATTAAACAGATGGCAACATCTGGGGGGCCGCAGGTAGGACAGCCCTGACTTAGACAGCTAGGATTATTAAATCATTATTTATAATACAACTGCTCAAAATCATAGATGTAAATTCACTATACTAGAAGGTGCCCTGATGAGAAACCAAAAGCTATTTTCATTTTTTTTGGATGTGGCAGCAGAAAAAAAAAACAAAACAAAAAAAACAGACAGATTGTATGATATTCAGGGTTATGCACTAAAGTGAGAATTGCTGGGAATCCAAAGTGAATTTTAAAATGTAAGGCTTGGATAGCCAAACTGGAGGAATGGTTGACTTTGAGAATTTCAACAGTTTGGCTATTTTGGACTTAAATTTGTGAATAACAATTTAGAGAGTGCATATCTTGAAAAAGACCCTGAAGGGTTTAAACGTTGGGACACTTGGATTATATTGTGAATAAACGATACTTTTCTTTGCAAAGACCTGTGAGTGCACCTCTCTTAATGGATATATATTGAACGCTGGTAGCACCGAGGCAATATATATATATTTAAGGAAGAGTGCCGAGGACAACTGTATATATTTGTTCAGTCTTGTTGTTGAGTTTGATTTTGGGGTAAATTAGCCATTTTCAGTGGAAAAGAACACACTACGTCTTATGTTGACAGCCACAACTTTAAAAACACTGAAGTTACTTTGACACATACCACCTATTGAAAGTTTGTTGCAGACCACGTACACCCCTTGATGGCAATGATGTTTCCTGAGTTAAAGGTGTTTCCCAGATCTCAATTTCATTGAGCATTTGTGGGATGTGCTGCAAAAACAAGTCCCACCTCACAACTTGCAGGACTTAAAGGATCTGCTGTTAATGTCTTGGTGCCAGATACATCGTGACACGTTCAGAGGTCTTGTGGAGTCCATGCCTCAATGCATCAGAGCTGTTTTGCCAGCACAGGGGCGACCTACACATTATTAGGCAGGTGGTTTTAATGTTAAGGCTGATCAGTGTTTGTGTGCTGTTAATCTAATGTGTACTACATTCCCACGGGGATATTCTTACACTAGGAGAAAAATAATCAGATTACTGAAAGCCGTTTGGGACTTTCCTAAAGGTGCCAAAATGTAATTTCTGGAAGTATTTTATTCACTCTCAGACAGCTGTAATTGAGATGTTCAGAGTTACCGAACAAATGTTTTCTATGAGAATAGAAGTTTAACTGGAAAAAAAATCATCAGTGCATCATCAGTCCTATAGCATAAAAACAAAACAATGTATAAACAATATTACAGAAGAGTGCCACTTTATAGATCACTTCATTGAGGGGCTAATCCAAGCACTATGACCACTTCTGTGATTTCGACTGGCCGCGGTGCTTGGGATCTGCATTTGAAAATGCACATTGCAGAGGGAGGTGTAACTCCACCTCCGGCAGCGGCATTAGCCAGCCAAGCTTGCCAATGTTAAATTTGTGCATATTGGGCATCTGTTGTCAGCACGCATAGCATATTGGCAACAGATGACCAATGGCTGCACGATCCCCCCTCTCTATGCCGTCCAAGTACTCCAGGATGCCCATCCACCTGCAGTGAGGAGGAACATCACGGGGGGAGGATCAGGCCTCAGGGAGAATCTGCCCTCAATGTGGGAATGCAGGAACATTTGTGCTTGATAACTTTCTTTTTCTAAATTAATCCATAAAAAAAACAACAAAACCATGTTTTGGTAGAGTAACTCTTTAAATACATTATACAGCTATATTTCACTTTGTTTTCCTCCTTGGTATCTAAGGGGCATTTAGAAACTCTGAAGTTTCTAAATATCCTAGTTAGGTGCGTTGGTCTTTGGTGAGTGCACCCAATATATATTTGGATTTTAGTGGTTCTTAATGAATTACATAGTCTAAAAGGTTTAGCTCCAAGTTTTCCCGTTGTCCAAATTAAACATTTCTGTTTAAATTACTGGATGATATGTGGATCACTGTTATATCTATCATAAGGGATTACCATTTTGTTTGTTTGCAGAGTGCACAGTGTACCGCTTACCCAATGCCAATTAAAGCCATAAAAATACCGAAACAAGTTCCTATTAACTCTTCTTCATAATAGATAAGATTGGTTTTCTTATAAAAACATTTTAAAGAAAATAGAAAAAAAAAAGAAAAAAAACATGTATATCCATTCATCATTTTTTTTTTGAATGAAGTCAACACACACATCTACTACAAGCTCAATTAGACAGGAGATTCACACATTTGAAATGCAATACCCATTTACACAGACACAAATAGTACTTTGTGGATACATTCAATAGTGGTTACAGCCAAGTTTTCACAAAGAAGTTATATATTTCACCATGGATCCAAGATTATTGCACAAAAACAGAAACTCAAATGTCTACCACGTGGACATTACCGATCAGTATAATCTAGGGTGGACGAAGACTTGGTAGACAAGTTGGAGGAAGGGTTTCCAAACTTTGCCCGTGATGGTACAGGTGGTGGGGCAGGTGGTTTTCTGATTGGCAGGGTAAGAGAGTGGCCAGCTTGTACTGAATTCGAGTTGCTATCAAATTCCGAATTCGGGAAGTTGGTTGTTAAATTGCCATTGCCAAGGGCTACAGATTCATACTTGTTGAGTTTATTAGCAAAGTGGTCTTCGTCAAATGTGACCCAACCTTTCATACTGGGATCTTGCATGGTGGAAAGTTTTATTGGTAGCGAGTGACTTTTTTCCACTGGGCCTAGAGTAAATTTCACTGTGTCTTGCTGCAGTTCTGGCTGACTGTGTGCATTAAACTGATCCAACATATTTGTCTGGAAAGATGATTGAGCAGTCACGGGTAATTCTGAGACCTTGAAAGGATTTCTTGCCTGTTCAGTGAATGGGTTGGGAGGGCAGGTATTTGACTTGTTGACGAACGGGTTAGGTGATATCCGCAAACTGTCTTGAGATCCACTACGGGCTGGGATAGGAGGTAACGGAGGAGCGAGAGTAATGCTGCTTAAGATGTTCACATTATTCTGTACTGTGGAAGGCAACGGAATTGACTCTTTTTGGCTTGATGTTGGACCTGGGATTACGTGAGCTGGTGCCCGGAGGTTTGAAATGGAAAGCTGATCAAATGAAAAGTCCACAATAGGAACATTGTCAACCTGGCCTTTAAAGCCACTGACTCCGTTTGCTGGATGCTGTAATAAAGAAGAATAGAAAAAAAAGCACATTATTAATATTAGATTGTTTTCCCCTGAAAATCATAAATGTCTTTCATCCATTTCCGAAACGAACAAGGTAAATTTTTCGATGAAAAACTTTAAAGAATGCTTTTTTTTTTTTTTAAGGTAAATGTCTACATGGATAACATGAAAAAACAAAACAAAAGATCTGTTAACACAAAGATGATTTTTGCCTTGAGTTTTGTTCACCTCATGCACTATTCATGCAACAATTGCAGTCAAATTAGCTAGCGCCGTAACTTCTGACAATCCAGCTGCCAAAAGCCAAAAACATACTTCTACCATACGAAATGTCTGAGACTTTTACAGCTGCAGTTTAATACTTAAACACTTCACAGCTTACATTACAATAGAGTGAAAATGCAGTATGCAAAGTAGTTACACAGGGTATCTATATTTTATTTATATAAATCGAACCGCTATACTTCGCATGTTACATTACACTAAAGGGGAGGTATTTTTGGCCTAAAGAAACTTTTTGATGAATTCTCAGAAATACCCGGTTTATTGAGTAACCCTGTTTGTAAATAGGGGTGACAGAGTCCATAAAAATGCACATTAGCAATCTTTCCTGCTACTAAAAAGATGTTCTACACACTAGAAGTCTAGCATAGCCACCAAAAATTAACTATATCCCACACTTCAACACTGCAGCTTCAGCAGTATCACACAATTCACTGCTTAGTATGTGCCAGAGAGCACATTATCTGGGCCTTTAAACATTGAAAGGGCAAATTATAATTGAATAACCCATTTAAAGTTGTCAGAATGGTTTAACAGATCTCCAGTTAGGGAATATTTGATGCATTACTGTAGAATAAAATAAAAACGATAAAATGAATATTTCAATTCCAAGTCATAACAAAAAGCAGCAACCGAATATAAAGAATCTAATAGGGAGGAGTCCCAGATAAAGAGGCACTGCTGTGGTGTTTCTGTAGCTCTAAGGTTTTTGGAAAGACCCCTCCCAAAGCGACTTGCCAGCATTTACGGGGGTGTTGGTTGAGATTTCGGAGATAGAATAGAGTAAAAATCCCCTATCTCACGGCCCCATGTATCGCTAGGGTCTCTCATGGCCTGAAGATATATATGCTCTTGTGCAAGTGAGAATAGAAGATGGAGGTTTATTGGAGATTCTAAGAGACTGTAGGATCTTCCACAGATTCTCTCGCACATGCTCGATAATGTGTCATAGCCATCTAATATGTATCACAGGGCTTAAAACACACTGCATTACAAAAGTCATCTTTTTTTGTTAACAGAGGGGTGGGAATGCTTTGATGTTAGTCGTCTTAGAATAATTAATCATCGAGAGACTGCAGAATATTTATCTGATTAGGAGAATGAATGATGGAATGTGGTTTGCAGCCAATAAACTCTGCACAAAAGTCAAACTCATGGGGAAACAAAAATGCCAGGCGAAACCAACCAGAAACCAACCCAAGAGCTGGATAGGTGACAACGGTATCTGAATCCAAACCCAAATGTTAGGTTACAAGTTGGCCGCTTTTAAACTCAAACTATAAAATGAAGGTTAATTTTGACTACCATATTCAGTCTGCACAATGCTGAATACATCCAGATTAAAGCATGTGATGTCTTTTTACACACAGATCTACATCATTCTACATGTCTAAATGTGTACATCTATATTCTGCAGCAGTAAAAGTAATCAAAATGATGCAAGAATTAAGTCATGATAAAAATAGGTATTTTTTCTGAGGCATCCCCAGTACAGTGGATCTACCCTTCCAGTCATAATCTGGCAGGATTAGATAAAAAAATAAAAAAAATAATGGAAAACATCCCACGGAGGTCTTATTTTTGGGGTAATGCATTAAGATCCAATTGTTCCAGCTATGAATCTATCATACATACACATCTAGAATTTGGCACAGTTAGATCCTAATCATAGCACTCCTAATTTGTGTTCCATTAACATCTTAACAATTTCAATGTATGATTCAAATAAATTAGCCATTGGTTTCTCATTGTGTAGAGTCTGTAGACAATACAATATTACACTCCTCTGCTTGGGGACAAAATTAAAATCCAAGAGCAATAATCTATTCATTGTACTGGATTGAGATAAAGATTATTTAGTTGCAGGAGAACACAGAAAAAAATATCGTCAAATAAATGATAAAAGCAAATATTCTATCACATGCACACTTAAAAAAAAAAATGTATTGTTATAGCCATGATTTAGGTAAATGTGGCTCTCCCGGATTCAATCTGGTAACAAGACCACAATTTATTTACAGTGTATGCTATACATCAAGTGGTTCCCAGCTCGACACAACCACCTAATGGCAGCAAAGCATTCTAGCAAACTTTGTCCAGCAATAGGTGGAAGGCAACACTGAACACGAGAGGATACTATAACAGTATATCCTCCTCTTTATCATGACAAAATTACTGCATAGGAGATGAGGTTAACTGGTCAGCGTAACATATGAGGTAATTATCCATGACATGATAAACATACAAAGCTAAATGTAATGTTACACCAATAGGGTCATTTAAAAGGTGAATTACAGGAAATAACGTTAAATGCATCTGGTACCTGTTACCCTGATGGTTGCTCCTGCTTGTGATAGAAAGACAGATATTAAAAGAAGATGATATTAGGAAAATACAGATATAAACCTTAATGTGATTTTGAGGTTGAAAACCATTTTAAGTGTGCAAAAAATGTAAAAAATAAATAAATAAAATATTATATATATATATATATATATATATATATATATATATATATATATATATATATATATATATAAATAAATAATCAGAGAGACATTGTTAAAGGGACTCTCCAGTGCCAGGAAAACAAATCTGTATTCCTGGCATTGCAGGACCCGAAAAAGCAGCCCTGACGTTCAGCGTCCCCATGCTCTGCATTTTCCTCATAGAGATGCATTGAATCAAAAAGAGGACTTCCTGATTGGCCAAAATGGCATTTGGCCCCGCCCCCGTGCAGATTTTAGCCAATCCAATGCTTTTCCTTTAACCTAAATGGTGGATTAAACACTATAGGGTCAGGAATACCTGTTTGTGTTCCTGACCCTATAGTGTTCCTTTAAATATGTCTAAATATCCAAGTGATCAAGTTTTGACCTATGCCAATGAATACTCATTATGATCTTGTGAGAACCTGAAAGAAAAAAAAAAAAACTCTACACGACTGATAGTTTAATGTAGTAATAAATGGAAAATATACATGTGGCGACATTCAAAATACTATCTGGTCTCGAAACAGTCTTTATTGTGTTCAGACTACAGAATATACAAACATCACTTAGCATTTTCACTTCTATGACTGATGTTGCAGAAACATTGTCAGTAGAATACAATGTCTACTCTAAATTATGAAGATTAATCTGTTCCAGAAAATGTCTGCAGAAGAAAATGATATGATTATGAAAAGATAATATCAATGATTCTCAACGTCTTCCTAGGGCATTCATCATGTGCATTTGCCATTTTACAGCCTAATTAAATAAGGAAGCATCGTGTGGTCTTTCATCATTCTGCTTACAGTGTTCAGTGACCTGGCATTGCTATGTAATTGTATGCAACGCCAACAAAGTGGATGTAAAACCTACCAGCTGGGGGGCTACTTGCTCTGAAGGTAAGTTCTGAGCTGAGCGGCTGCGTGGTGGTGGCTGTGGAGGTTGGTCTAGGGTCTGCATCGACGGAGTTGAGGAAATGGGTTGCATTCCTGTAGGCAATAGAGGTTCTGGCAGCTTTTGGCAGGGGGGCTGGGTAGTTGGACTGGGTAGAAGTGGAACTGCAGGATGGGGTTTCAAAGGTTCGGGAAGAAAAGAAAGTCCTGAAAAGGTAGATCATAATGTAAGATTTAAACAAAGTAATGCAATCAAAAAAAATCACATGTCACTCTTAAAGGCATGAAGCAGATACAGGTTAAAGGGAAGTTCCATTCACATAGCAAAGCTGCAGTAGTTAGTATTGCCTTCTTTAGATAAATTTGCTTTTTGTATAGTCCGGGCTCTAGCACAGCGGCATCCATCCAGAGACACACAGAATATACAGACATATTCCTTACAGAAATCTGCAATATATTATCTCACTCAAAGTCTCTCACTGTCTCTTCTAACACTACTATCCCTTCTTACCAGGAACAAAGTATAAAAATGTCTACCTATACAATTCACAGTTTATAGATGTAAATGTCCTCAAATTAAATCAGACAGTTTGCTCTTTATCCTTTGACCAGCACACTGAATTTGTAGTTAAACGAAACTTGTCACTATTCAAGCACAGACTGTGCTGCAGACCTTTATAATGGCATTGCGTACCAGAAAGGCAGGAGACATTAAGCACTGTACCTTTGGCAGGTTCTGCCGGTTTAACTGATGTTTCTGGGATCGGTCGGGCTGGTGTTATACGATTATGGCTTTGTGGAACACTAATAACGCCAGCTCGTGGAGGAATCGTCTAAACCAAACAAAAAAGACTGTCATTTAACATTACACAAAACCAGGAGCCATGTGTTCCTCTCTTGGCCAGGAACACAGACTGGATATACTTTATTTCTGTAATTACAAGTTACAGTTGATGGAGGTGCACTAGTTTTTTTATTTTATTTATAAAATCTGAATATTTTCTTAAAATAAACAATAATCATTCTATTCATCACACAACTGAAATATAGATACACAATTTTTATATATTACAACAGAATACATACAATACAAACTTCAAACCAGATTTTGTTTTATTTTTGATCTAGTGATAATTATTATTTATCAAGACAAATGATAATCATCATTAACATGAAAATGAGCTCTTTCATACCAGCATTTAGGTACAGGTTTAAATGGGGCCAGTGTGGACAATCGAGCATCGTATTAAGGTGTACTTGGGTACACTGGTTGCACATGTCTGTGTGAGTATTCCAAATTATAACCATAGGGAGACAACAGGATACGAGCTTTCAGAAACCCCTCTCCTACTGGGTGCATCAAGTTGGTTAATTTTAAAGTAAAGTAATGGCAATTTGGCAATGTTAAATACTTGCAACATTCCAGCAATTAAGAGTTGCGAGCTTGGCCTAGAGGTACATAACAGGAGTATCAGCCATAGCAGCTGCTATAGAATGAAGACATGGCATGGCAGAACTAATCGACCATGCAAGGACACTTTGTGAATAAGCCAAATCATTTTTTCTCTTGTCTTTTAGACCTGCTTTTTTGTGGCAATATGGGAACCATATGTCTCCAATGAATACTGTGGGGTATAAAATATAATACGTAGCATTCCCCATTTGTGAGATGCATAACAATGAGAAAACAGGTTACCCTTCATTTATCTTGCACTTAGTCACAATAACCATACAGGGATGTCATTTCTAATTAGTGGGGTAATAGCTTCTTGATCCAAGGAGATCTCAGACTGCCATCTTGAAGTCAAGAAGGAATTTCTTCCTAGTTTGTTGCACAAGTGCTTCTGACCGGGTTTTTTGCCTTCTTTTGGATCAACAGCAAAAACATATGCTAGAAAGGCTGAGCTTGATGGACGCGTGTCTCGTTTCAGGTATGTAACTATGTAATCTTTAACATAGTTATCACCATATAGTAAAAAGAAAAGCATCCCACGGGACATGTTCATTGTGTCAGAATTTACAGAATGAACAAGTGTTTTATTTCCCTTACAAATACTGCACATGAGAACAATTATGCACATGTTAAAGGTGAACTAGTAGTAATACTACTCTGTATTCTTATATGCTTTTCCCCTTAGTTTCCATACAATGATAAGAAACTATCAAAGGTTGAACATGTTAACCTGGCTCCCTGTAGTGGCAATACTTGTGTTACTTACTCTGATGCCTTTATTACACTCTATTGTAGCATACTCCGTTAGCTGACACAGGGGCCCTGCAGACCTCTAGTTAGAAGCAGTAATATCCCAAATTAGGACAAACCCTGATTTTAGACATGTCTAGTAAATGTTTTATTTGATACTTATAATTAAAAAAAAAAGAATGCTAGACTCTAGCTGTGAGGCACTGACCGGTCTAACCGAAGCTCCCAAAGCTGGGGCCGTTCCTTCCATCTGAGGGGGAAGCGATCCACGGGCTAAGATCAAAATGGAACAGATACAGGTAAAGATAATGGTGCAAAATAGCAGGATTATAATGAATTCATTTTGTTTTTTAAATTTAAGAAATCAAAACGGTTCACAAAATTAGCAGATATAAACAAAGAGCTATGATTTCAGTCTACAGATAATTAATTGATCTAAAGGCTGGGTTTCTATTTAAACAGTCAACCACAATAGATTTAAATCATCATAGGATACAGTTTCTCAAGTCTCACCTAGCAGGGGTATAACTAACAGAACATTCCAAAATAAGGACCAAGTGTCCCTTACAAATGAGAAATTAGATTACAGCGACACCCTAAAGCAGTTTAACTTTCTGAAGAGCATTCTGTGTGAAGAGTGTGTCCTCGTTCATTAGAAACGGGCAGTATTATAAATTAAAAATGGTTACACCCCCTTGGCTGTTACTTCCTGGTTGTTTAACTCAGTGAAGATAAACTCAAGAGGCAGCAATTGCCCGAAGCACCTGCCTTGCAAAGACTTCTCATATAGCTGCATTGGGAAGTCTGTGATTGGACAGACACAAAAAGACTTCAGAGAAGATATGGGCAGGTTTTGCAAGCTGTTTTTAGATATACCCCCAATAACAAAATATGCATAATTAAATGCATGCATGTTTTCATTTGGCATATGTCTATTAAACAGTGCTTTATTTTGTATTTGGGCAGTGGAGTGCCCCTTTAAGCCCATACATACATGTTACAATTAATACACAAGACCCTAAACTACTTTTGCAGTGGCTACACCTTATGGTGATCACATTCTTTCTCTACATTAAAAAGTTGTTTTTTTTCCCCAACAACACAGTACTCTATGTAGTATTTTCAAATGACTTTTATAGAATTGTATAATGTTTGCACCACTGCAGAATAGGTAATAGGTCGATGCTGTATAAATAACATGTCAAATATTTAGCCCGTAGCCCTGCTAATTCTGTATTTAGCCCGTAGCCCTGCTAATTCTGTATTTAGCCCGTAGCCCTGCTAATTCTGTATTTAGCCCGTAGCCCTGCTAATTCTGTATTTAGCCCGTAGCCCTGCTAATTCTGTATTTAGCCCGTAGCCCTGCTAATTCTGTATTTAGCCCGTAGCCCGGCCCTGCCAATTCTGTATGTAGCCCGTAGCCCTGCCAATTCTGTATGTAGCCCGTAGCCCTGCCAATTCTGTATGTAGCCCGTAGCCCTGCCAATTCTGTATGTAACCCGTAGCCCTGCCAATTCTGTATGTAGCCCGTAGCCCTGCCAATTCTGTATGTAGCCCGTAGCCCTGCCAATTCTGTATTTAGCCCGTAGCCCTGCCAATTCTGTATTTAGCCCGTAGCCCTGCTAATTCTGTATTTAGCCCGTAGCCCTGCTAATTCTGTATTTAGCCCGTAGCCCTGCTAATTCTGTATTTAGCCCGTAGCCCTGCTAATTCTGTATTTAGCCCGTAGCCCTGCTAATTCTGTATTTAGCCCGTAGCCCTGCTAATTCTGTATTTAGCCCACAGCACTGCTAATTCTGTATTTAGCCCACAGCACTGCTAATTCTGTATTTAGCCCACAGCACTGCTAATTCTGTATTTAGCCTGTAGCGCTGCTAATTTTGTATTGAGCCCACATCACTGCTAATTCTGTATTTAGCCCTGCTCATAAACATGGGATACACAAACGCATGTTGAATCACGTATACACCAGTTTTTGTATGAAATACTTTTAGCCTCCCAGGAGAGGTTATCATTTAAAACCACTAAAGAAATATAAATAATTTAACAATTTGATTAGCAAACCTTGTACAAATAATGAAATGCATCCACAAGTTTTACCACTCATTAGGATGTTCCATCTTACTGTTAAAACCTGGAAGGAATAACAAATTCCAAGTGATGGGGAATGATGTCATCAACCAGTCAATCAGACAGCAAATAAAGCTGTATGAAGCATGTGATTGTTTGCAATACCTGGTTTTATTTACAAAGTCTGCAATAGTTATCCAGAAAGTCAGCTAAAGGTATTGCATTCTTAGGGATTATAGTTTCATATAGCAAATGCTAATGATTGTGATGGACACTAGATGGCACCAAACACAGCATTATTCGTTGTAGCATTATAAACTAAAGTGAATTTCAAATTTAAAGCCAAAGTAGCCAAAATGCAAAAAACAAACAAACAAAAACAATCAACTAGGTTTCCAGTTTGGCAACTTTGACCTAAAAGTTAACTAAAATTTTGGCCAAATAATTTCACTTTGCACTCACCTTCGCAAATAATCGTGTAAGATGAATGGCAACACAACAGGTCCAAACAAAACAAACACAAAAAAAATCCCCAAACAATTTGTTTGGCATTGTAATCAGTTTACCTTCAACATCTCTCCGAGCTACCCCCGGGCTTGGAGGAGGCCCTGCACCTTATTCAAAGAAAGAAGAGACACTAGAGATTTCACAGACATTTACATATGGGAGAACAGACAGGCTGCATATGGCCCATGCAAAACATGCAACATCACTGCGCTCAAATTCTGCATGCACCCTAACTCCCTGTCACACAGAACGCTTTCATAGAACGGGAAACTAGAAATAGGTTTTAACGCTGCCATGTAGAATCTCGCTGCCATGTAGAAATACAATAAACAGAAAATAAAAAGAATTAAAAGAAGGTAGTTGGAGACAGGATATACTATCTATATCCGTGGTAGCTCAGAAGCGGACTTCATCAAATATTTTAAGAAATCAAAATGTTCCCGTTTGGCTTTCTTGGTCTAAGGTTCGAAACTTACTATGAATTTCCTCCATTTAACACTTGAACAAGCCAGGTTGTTTCCTTTTACAATACAATAGCATCTGTTCTCTGATTTTCCCCTTCCTACTTTGCTTTCATGTATCTGGTCCCCAACCACGGGAGATACTTGTATCGCATAGCACTCCAGAAACATTGTGTCATGTCACGAGCCATGAACTAATTGCAGCCCCCATAAACGTACATTATACCTATGTGTTGATAGCATTTGGCAATTAGCCAACATTGTAAAGTAAAAGTTATCTTAACTAGAGGACCACTCTAGGCTCCCAGACCACTTCAGCTTAATGGGTTATAAATGGGTTAATCCAGCCTCTAAAGCCTCTAGTGGCTGTCTCCTTGACAGCCGCTAGAGGCGTTTGCGTGCTTCTCACTGTGATTTTCATATATGCTTTCCTATGAGACTGGCTGAATGCGCGCGTAGCTCCTGCCGCGCATGCGCATTCAGCCGAAGAGAAGGATCGGAGGCGGAGAGCTCCCCGCCCGGCGCTGGAAAAAAGGTAAGATTTAACCCTTTCCTCTCCCCAGAGCCCGGCGAGACGGGGAACCTGAGGGTGGGGGCACCCTCAGGGCATTATAGTGGTCCTTTAATTTACCTAGTTTTTGGAATTTGAAATTGTTCTACCTTGTTTACATCTAGTGTAGGATTTATAAAGCTTCCCAGGAAGAAGGAGGTTAATACAAGGTGTGCCATACATGCTACAAAACACACCTTTCACAGCATGCAGGCTAAATATGTATAGGTAATTATAGATCCCATAGCAATATTAAATAACATGCACAATGGATTGTGGATAAGGACTTTTTTTGGGTCCGTATTTCCTTATGCACCAATTCAGTAAACAGTGAATTGTAATGATTTGTAAACTGAACTGTGAATGTAGGCTTAAAGTATCACTATTTATAATGCTTTCCTATGGACGCTGGCGTCTTCTCACTGTAATTTTCACAGTGAGAAGCACGCAAACGCCTCTAGCGGCTGTCAATGAGACAGCCACTAGAGGCTGGATTAACCCATTTATAAACATAGCAGTTTCTGCTGGGTTTATAAAAAAAAAAAAAAAGGGTTAATCCTAGAGGGCCTGGCACCCAGACCACTTCATTAAGCTGAAGTGGTCTGGGTGCCTGGACTGGTCCTTTCAACGGCAAAGCTGTGACCATTAGATGTTTTTTCCAAACAATCAATCAATCTGGCAGAATTTGCAACTGAATTTGAAATAAAATACAATTCACTATTTAACATGCAATTCCTATTCATGTACATTTTACATTCAAATACCAACAAATAAAACAATAAAGTAAACCAAAATGAATGACATAACCATAGCTAAATTACAAGCTTCTCCTATATGAAAGGGCATTTTGTCATATGCCCAAATTATCTCAATAGATAAAGCACTAGTCTTGAGAGATAATTATGTAATGCCCTGTGTACTACAGACGCTTGAGGTAAGACCCACTAGAAATGCCTTCAGGTTCTTTATACATATTTATAAGATGTGTATTTGATTAGCTTAAAGGACCAAGATAGGAACCCAGACCACTTCAGCTCAATGAAATGGTCTGGGTGCCAGGTCCCTCTAGGGTTAACCTTTCAGAGAAACTGCTATGTTTACATTAGAGTTAATCCAGCCTATAGTGGCTGTCTCACTGGCAGCCGCTAGAGGTGCTTCTGCGCTTCTCACTGTGAATATCACAGTGAGAAGACGCTGGACGTCCATAAGAAAGCATTGAGGAATGCTTTCCTATGGACGTTTTGAATGAGCGCGCAGCTCTTGCCGCGTATGCGCATTCAGCGCTGAAGTCGGCAGGAGGAGGAGAGTTCCCCAGCGCCGAGGGAGCCCGGCACTGGAGAAAGGTAAGTGCTTTAAGCCCTTCAGCCCATCGGGAGTGAAACACTGAGGGTGGGGAGGACCTAAAGACCCTATAGTGCCAGGAAAACGAGTTTGTTTTCCTGGCACTATAGTGGTCCTTTAAGTTAACTATTTTTGTGTTGAGATTGGTATTTCTGCTTTTATGTGAATATTTCACCCCTTGAACATAGCGCATATTATAGAATTTGTTTTTGTTTTTAGGCGAGGCACATGCAAAAAACACATACTGTCTGCTGGGCGTGTCATAGGGTGGCACACTCTGGGAAGAGACTCGCAACTTAATATCTTGAATATTTCTCAGGCTTATCTGTTAATCCCTGGGTGTTTTAATTTACCAGATCCCTTGATAATGTTTCTTCCCATAAAAAGAAACTATTATGCAGGATTACACTAGCAGCAGGAGCCATCGGCCAGCATTGGAATGGTGACCCATAAGATAATATCTCCCAGGATGGAAATGGTGACACATAAGATAATAGATAATTATATTATGGACAAACTCACAGCAGATTGATTCAGAGTGTATTTATTGGTGGAAAAAAAATGTCCAACCTATTATGTTTTAGTCAGTCTTTCCGTATTCATGAACCCAAGTAGTGATGGACATATTTTTCTTGCTCTTTGTGATGTGAGTAGGAAGCTGCTGTAAGATTCTTTATCTGATATGTTATACAGCAACATGTTTAAGCTTGCCAAGTCCGGTCAAATAATTTAAACATCCATGAGTTTTATAAAAATGTTCTTTCATATAGACCAGCCATGTACTTCAGCTATGGTTTAACAAAGAGGACAATGCATGTTGGATTTATCATACAAACAAACTTGGAAATAAACAGGCAAAGATTTACCTGCAGCTTCTTTCCTAGCGGGCGCTGGACTCCTAGCCCCTTATAATGCACACAGTAAACAGGCAGCAAAAAGAGAGATACAGTAAAGAGTCAAAAACAGAAGAGACAGAATGGAACCCATCCCTACAATTAGAGAGACTAGCGAACACTATGACCACTGTGATGCCTCTTCAGGATGCGTACTGTGATTTTAATATCCATTTTTCTTACAGCTACAGAAGGATATACGGTTCTACTTTTGATGTTTTGTTTTATCAATGTTCACAAAACTCAACAAACATGTTACTCACAAACTAAGCAATGGAAACGTTTTGACACTCATGTATACAAATACATATTTAAACATTGTGGTAAATTGACAATAAAACTAATACAAAAATAGAAGAGATTTTTTGCAGCATATAAAGATACTTCACTGAGGAAATGTTAAAACGTGTCTGCATGTTTAGGACAAGTTACATAAAGTGCCCTTTGATTAAAAACCTGTGTCAAAACGACCTCTCACTGATAGATATGTCCTGACAAATCAGTTGTGTTGTACAGGTTATAATGAGGATGGCAGATATTTTCATATATGGTGGAGGTGTGACTGACTTAAGGAACTTTGTAAGACACCAAACATTGAATTCTATTATATATATTGCCCTGGACTGCCCTTTTGAACCACGACAGATTGCTTAAATCCCCCAAATACTAAAAATACTTTAAAAAGTTTATCTTCGCAAAAGTAAGGCTTATGGTTTATGGTAAATAGTAAACCAATTAAAAGTACATGAAGTTCAATATGGCTTTGGGGTATAGCATCATATATTGAAAATGACAAAAATGGGTTTGGTGCTTTTTCAATAGAATTCTATGTCTACTCACTTAATAGGACATTCAAATAGGACATTTAATGGGAATTAATCACTCATTCAGCACTACATATATCTCAGGATGTAGATGATTAGAGTGTTAGAAATGAGCCAGTCATAGAGCTTTATGAATGCACAATGTGCACTGCAGAGGTTCTGCATAAGCAGTGTATTACCTGATGGCGGTGGTGGGCGCTGAGGAGGCGCTGGACGTGCTGGTGGAACACCAGGTCGTGGAGGTGGTGGACGTTTTGGTTCGAGAGTCAAAGTTTCTTTCTGTTGAGTTATTGGTTGGAAATCTAGTAAAGAACATAAAGCTAATTATTAGAAAATACAAAAGAGGACCATGTCATTTCAAGGTAACACCATTTAAGAATTCTTTCCTTCAGACATCTAAAGCATGTTCTACAGTACACAAATTACCAAAAAAAAAAAAAAGATAAAGTTACTTTGGGAGAACATAATGTAAATGACTTAGAAACAAAACATGAGTTTAAAAGGGTAACTGGGCAATTTAAAATCAAAAGCAGAATAACAACAACAACAACAAAGAACACATTTACAAGATACTTTTGCAGCCATTGAGAAATGTGAATTACCCAAATGATACCCTTCATGAAAATGCCTGCACTGAAATGGCAAAAAAAATAAAAATAAATAAATAAATTTTAAAAAAAAAGGACTTCATGTGTTGGTGTTCATTTATAAAGGGACCTTTTAAGCACCAAGACCACTATATCTTACTGCAGTGATTTTGGAGTATAGAAACGGTCCCTTTAATGGGTCAGTGTGAAACATGGCCTCTTTTGAGAAAGAACCAAGTTTACATGGTCAGAAAAGCCATTAATGCCAGCTTTCCATAAGATCTTCCATTTTTGAAGGTATTTACTTTCACGGTCATCCTGCTCAGCACATGTCCAATGGCTTGCTTCTTTATCAGAAAACATTGTATTGGCGGAGAAGGGGGATTGCCACGCATGCTCCCTATGTCCCCCAAACCTTTTTATAAGAAACATTGGACAGGAAAAATACATCAGGCCTGACCTGCTTCAGAGAGGCTCTGGAAAAATGGAGCTTTTAAATCTTTGTTTTATAATTGGGCAGAGGGTGGAACCAAAAAAAAAAAAAAATACATAAAAAAACAAAAACAAAAAAACCCACTAACATCAAAAACAGTTAAAAGGTTTGTGTTTTTCTTATTAAAATTCTCCATGATAGGACTATACAGGCTAGACAGACTTGATATACTAGTGTATATTGTTCAAACCTGTGAAAAGCAAACATAAACCAAAATATAATTTATTCTCCTATATCAAGATCCTGCTTGAATTAGACCTGTATGATCATTTTAAAACTTGTGTTAAGAACAGTAAAGGCTTAGCGGGTAAAATACCTTGACATGTAGCCACAGGGGGTCCTGGTTGTTTTGAAGAAGGAGCACGACTTGGGCGTACAGGAAGAGATGGGGGTGGTCCTTCCGGCATTGTCGGTGACGGGCAGGGGCTTGAGCGAGGGGATGAGCTGGGAGAAGATCCAAGTGTAGAGCTTGAAGAAGGTTGTAAATGCTGAGGCAGAATTTCCTCTACTTCAGCACAATAATCGTCAATATCTCCTGGAGCAAAGAAAGGTTCCAGACATGTGTTATGTTAATTTCAGTATTATTATATCCCTAGCATATAAAATAGTGTCTCCTTTACGATTCTTCAAATAGAGCTTGGTTATTCTTGTTTAAGAAACCCTAACTTAATCTACATTTCAAAAAAATGCAAATATAACAACACCAAGTCATTCATTTCAATTTGTATGATGTTTCGCCGCAGTCTGTAACTGTACTTTTATATATGCTGTATTCTTCCAATTCTGCTACTTTCAAACTATCCCCCACTCTGCCCTTCATATTGTGTTTTATACCCCACTTCCTCTAGACTGTAAGCTTGTTTGAGCAGGGTCTCCATCAACCTATTGTTCCTGGCACATTTTGTAATTGTCTAATTTATTGTTTCGAGTTCCCCCTCTTGTATTATTGTAAAGTGATGCAGAATAAGTTAGCGCTACATATATTCCACTAATAATAGTAAAAATATAAAAAGTCTAAATTCGGTTTGACACAAAGCATTGAAGAGCGCATTTTCATGCTTTGAGCAAGGTTTGATTACATTTCAAATTTGAAAAACAAAAACATGCTATTGAACTGATATAGCAAAAGAATACCAATGATATTCTCAAATTTTACCACCATTTAAAAATGATATAAAACAAAAATAAAAAACAAACAAGCAAAAAAAAAAAAAAAAAAAGACTGATTCAGAGTAAAATGGAGAGAACAGAAGAGGGAGAAATTCTGAACAAAAAAAAATAGCATGAATGAAAATTACAACAGGAGCTTTTCTTTAAAGGACAACTGTAAACTCAACATTTTATTTTTATTTTTTATTTTTTTTAAATATACCGATCCTTTCATGAAGTTTTGAAAGGAAACAGATTCAATGTTAAATAAAGTATATGTTAACAAAAAATAAATAAATAGCCATAGACGTGCATCTTGGGTCAGACAATGTTTGAAAACCCTTTATATAGTCTATGTTCTTCCTGCTTTACTCCCTGCACAGTGCAGTGACATCATCAGACTGAACAACTATCACATTCAAACACCGTCTGACCCAAGGTGTGTGTATATGGCTGAAGGATCCTGTCATATACTAATGTAGGGATGGGTTTTTCAAATTTTTCACATATATTTGATTTAAAAACAACAACCTATTTCCTTTCAATACTTGATGAAAGCATTAATATATAAATAGTTTTGAGGTGACCGTTCTCCTATAGCTCTGATTTCTCTAGAACTCACCCCGGCAGCGATAATATGGTATAATCATTTCCCACCTCTCCTACTTTTGATGTCTGTGGGTATTTGCAAGGCTGACTGTATCAATAGTCATTAAAGCCTGTTTTAACAGTTTAGCTGCAGAAGGCATGCAACCAATCTGTGGCGATCTGGTATGTTGGGGCAAGAAGGCAATCTGTCAAAGTGTCAAAATGATACCTCTGCTATAGAACTATACATGCCCGATGGACTCACCGGAAGCAAAAGCCCTGCATCAGAACGTATACCGATGTAATCTTATACTTTGAAAACCAGGCGAAAACGTTACCAGCTTAGGACCTTTCACAAAATGTTATCCACTAAATTCACATCATGAAAGGGGAGATAATGTCTAGAACCAATGCAGTGGCTATAAGGCTCTGTAGCTAGTTTGGCTTAAATTCAATTACAATTATTTATATAGCGCAACATATTCAATAGGTGAATAAAACGAAATTCTTAAAAAAAACATTGTGTACTCTAAATGTTGCAGCTTATTCATAAGCCCATCAAAACCTGCTGTTTAGTAAACATACCTCTTTAACAGAGACATCCTAGCCAGCTCTTGGAGAAGCTCAAGCACTGGCATCTAATTTCTACCAGTGAATCACACCGTGCCATTTCATTTCCAAACAGATGCAGATGATAGCTCACCTTCCATGTCAAAATCTCCCGAGATGTCTACATCTTCGGCAAGCAGTGTGGAACTTGTGGAACACGGCATTGACAGGCTGATCTTTTCCAGTTTTATCTCTTCCTCTAAATGCAGGATCCAGTCTGGATTCTTTAACTGGATGCCGATTGGTCTTCCCAATACCTACAGGTTTATGAGGAGTTTGACATTAGAATTATAACGTAGACCAACTCACAAACTGTCACTAATAATCAGAGTTAATTTCATTATGATAGGTTATTTATAATTAATTTATTATATGACGTGCGGACACTGGGAAAACATTAGTTTTTATCATAAATGTATTAGACACTTTGCTTTTTCTCCAAATGTGACTATTGGGGAGAGTGATATTGCATATATTGGACATATTTGATATTTCATACAATGCTCACTCTTCTCTGAATCGAATAGAAATAGGTTAACTTCATTAGGTTGGTAAACAGTAAAGAGTAGGACCTGTCTAGAATATGTGTCTGTAAATAGTGGTAGGATTATACAATCTGTGATCACATACTGTAACTAAATCCCCATTTTTGTTTTTACCCAGGTCAGGTTTATTTTTTAACATTTTATGGGTTCTAAAGCTAGTTTGAATGTGAGGGCGCTCTATCGAGTTTGCAATATTTATTGGTTACAGCGGCACCCTTATGAAGGATTTATGTTTAGGAGAGTGCAGCCTTTCTATACTATACAAGCTACATCACTAGTTCTCTAAAATAAATATATAACCATAAACAAACATGTTCACATTACCTCCGTGCCATTCAAGTCCAAAACAGATAAAGCAGAACTTCCTTCCAGAAATGTAACCCACATTTTGTCATCCACAAACCTGCAGAAAGAGGACTGTCTGTTAATACTTAACTGTGGTTCTTCTGTGTCCTAAACTTGGAAAATTCGGATTGTTTGAAAATTGGTGAGTTCAGTGATAGCTTAGAGATAAACTATCAATAACCTATTTCACGTGTCCCTTATTGCAGCATAAAACTGATGTAAAAGCCATGCAAGCCAAACCCGCAATTTGCAAATTTTTTCCTTTAACCCTTTATGGGCCTGGATCTCATTTTTACCAAGGACAATGGCCTCTTTGGTTAGTAGATTACTGACCATGTTATCTACATGGGTAACGTTAGCTGCCCTCGTGGCCTGGCTAGGATTATCCATTATTACACGAAAAGGCTAGCTTACAATATTTCTAAATAAAAATGGAAATTTACCATGGCATCTCTTACCTGATTAGTATAACTTCCCCGTAGCCTGAAAACTGATTGAGCAGCTCATCAATTAAACTGTCATCAAAATAATTATCTTCTGGGGTGCTGCTCTGGAGGGAGACCATTATTGTGCCATCAGGGGGCCCCTGGGACGCAAACACCTCCTTATAGATCTTTTGCCTCTCGTCTGCTTCGGTTTCAAATATATCAACTTCGATGAGGGCAACAACAGGCCTGCAAGATGGGTAAAATTTTTAACTCTAAACCTTTTTGTTTTCACATATTGAAAAAGAAAAAAAAAATACCAATCTCACATGTCTAGGTTACGTACCTGTGATCTGACGTTTTGAGCTCGGCTCTGCCATAGTGCAGCAATGTGCCCGGATTCCATGTGTATGGAACGTTATTCCCTTCTTGTAGGCTTGAATTCAGGAGATCTAAATCTTCAGCTACAAAACAAACAAACAAGGCCTAGGATGTAAAGAGGATTTCTGACTATATGGACATATACAGTACACATGAATTCTTCTCTAGGTCGGGAAAGCAGTTTCGCTCACAAGAACAACCTTATGAAAATTCCCCATGGCTTCCTGACCATGCCCCCCCCCTATTGAATTCATCCTTGGAGATACTTTAATCGTCAGACCGATAAATGATAATTCAATGTTCCCAGGTATGGAACTCCAAAAGGACATATTTTTACCATGGCAGATAAAGTCAGTTGTAGTAAACCTAAACAAAGAAGTACATTGAAAAGTCATTGTTCGCTCACAAGGTTAGCTAATAGTTTATTGGTTCCATGCCCAATCAAGACCTAAACTGTACCTTTAACTATCCAGATAGACTAGATAGCAATATGAAAGCAGTATGCAAAAAAGGGAATCCCAAAACCTTAAAATCACCTGACTTGTCAAACGGCCATTTTCTTCTCCTCCAGAGAACGCGATCTGTCCACGCTGGTGTACGACACTTCTCACTTGTGTCATAGTCATCTGAGAATAAGTCGTATTTATACGTAGGCGCAAAATTTACTTTTCCTTCTAGAAACCCCCGAAAAACCTGCATTGAGAAGTCAAATAAATAAATAAAAAGTACATACATACGTGGCCATCTTACTCCTTTACTTGCCCACTCCCCTCCCCCCGATGGCAGGACATCTCCAGTGAAAACAACAAATGTCTCACAAATAAATGTTGAAAATCAATTACACTTCTTTCAAGCAATATGTTCATTTGCAATTTAATCTGCAAGTAAATTACATTTTATTTTCAACTTTAATAGAAAGTTTACAGTTATGTGTCTTAATACCTGTCCGTTGTTCTTCTGATTAATCAGCTGGTCTCCTAAATTCAGAGAATCCCAGTTCTGGCTCCGGATCAATTCTTTAACTTCTTCGTTTGGTAGATCAATGCGATAGTTAAAGTCTCCACACCAAAACACGTAATCGTGAGAAAACAGCAGTCTTCCCTAACAAAACAAAACAAAAAATGCTCCACTTTTAAAGATGAAATATATGAAGATATGAAAAAATCAAGTTGGGGCAATAAAAAGAAAAGGTGTGGCAGTCAGCAGCAAACGTGTTTTCATTAAAATACAGATTATAGGAAAGAAAATCTGTAGGAGGCCTGTAACATGTTTCAATAGTGTAAGAAATGGTATGATTACACAGGAATAGTTATTCGTGTGAGCTTAATGCGCAGAACGTAGGAGGAACAGATTTCAAAGAACATCTGCTGCCCTCATATTCTCTCTGCTAAGAGACTAATTTGTGGTTTAAATATTCTGCTTCCCCTTGGGATACTTCCAGTATAGACACTTGTGACTTAATTGCATTACAGTTACCTGTCTATGGGGAGCAGCAGTGTCTTCTATTTCCTTGGGGGGGAGGTGGGGAGTCTTTTTCTATGATCCTACTATCTGATATAGCTATATATCTCTATAGCCGAAATAATATTGTCATAAGGTAATATAGAATGTATTTTCACGTTGGGTCACCCATCTGTTTGAACTCCATAAACCATTATTCCAAAAAGGTTATATAGTAATTTTAACTTATTTTGTACTTACCATTGGAAAACTAAGTTTACGGGCTATTTCCATATAATCTTCATTTCTCTCTTTGACTTGAGACTGCCCTGCAGCAAAGTGACTGCAGACAAAACACAGGCTGGTTGTGTGGAATAGCATGCGAATTGCTACGGCGCCTTTGTTTCCTGTAGCTCCTCCCATTCCAGTCTTCACCGTATCAACTGCAACATCCCTGTAACAAACAGTCACGAGAATGGGTGACAAGTGTGTAACAGTCAGGATATTCTACATCAAAAATACTTGCTGTACACCTGCGCTGTGGGTATTGAATTGCAAGACATCAGAAAAGTACGATCAGACGTCTTCCTCTGCGGTCAGCCTGTGCCCCATCTCACTGGTTCTGAAGATCACCAGATACTTGCATTCAAGACATTCACTGCAATATAAAAACTCAAGCAAATAGTGCAAACCTACCTAATGAAAGGAGCATGCTGAGGTCTAATGAAGATGAATAGGCAGACACCAACAAGCTGTTCAGAGGCCAAAAGAACATACTTATTGTCCCTGGAAATGGTTTTTTGAAGTTCTACAGCCCAAAGCTTTTGATTGGTTGTGCTGGAAACAAAAAAAAAAAAAACAAAAAGGTTAATAGGTGCATTACAAACATTAAAATTAAAAAAATGGAAAAAGATTTTTGTTTGATACATTTCCACTCATCTAAGAAAAAATAAGCCTCCTATTTTGTTATCTACCCTGTTTCACTCACTGATTATTTCCTAGTCCATCAACAATCAACAATGGCAGACTTACTGTATAAACAAACCATAGTAATATGGCTCACAACGCCAAACCTACAGACTCATCTAATCCATTTATAATCAAACAAAAGCTTATGTATGCCAAGCATTGAGTCAATGCATCTCTATGAGGAAATGGTGATTAGTGCGCTGTCCACCATTTATTGGTAATTTTTGCACATGTCTAGTGTGTTCTCCCTTCCACTGAAAAAGCTTGGTCACTTAATTCGGTGGCCTTCAAATTTCTCTGCCACAAATCATAGAAGTGAACACTACAGAGAGAATAGCTAGAAAATTCAAGGAACAGGTCTCTGACAGCTGTCAGGCTGAATGCATGCTAGACAGGAATATTGAGTTAAACATGATGGGTTTTAACAAAACTAACATGATGCCTTAAGGCTTGGCAAAACATCTTCAAACTTAGTTCTACAACAGTAGTGAAGGGGTTCTAATCAACTACACCACCCGGGTCTAACACACACACACAAAAAAATAAAAAATAGATATTGAGTTTTATTCTCCCTGCATTGTAAAATAAATCAAAACACAATTTTGTTTCTTGGAAATTACTATAATTTCTACCATTAACAAAAATATATATTAATTTATCTAACACCATCAATCTCCCTATTCTACTTACCTAGCATTCACAATGTTTCCTGCATTTAACTCAACCATTTCTTCAAATCCTATAGCAAAGATATCAATTGGTTTGCTTCGTCGATCTAAAAAGTAAAAAATATGGTTTAGATATATATAGTAAAGGAAAGCAAGAAAATAGTTTTGCTTTCCACTATCCAACAGCACGTCATATGGGACATCACACAGGCAACGATATTTAACATTTCCTAAAAATTCCTACAAAACGAAACTCAAAAATGGATTGGATAGGCAATGCAGATACTTGATGCACTAAGCCAAATTTTAGAGGGCAACTTTCATGAAAGTTTGAAAGTTCAAAAAGTGAAGCAATTACACCTGAACCTATTGAAATCTTGCCCAAGACTGCTCCATGTTACCCAGCAATTCATGTTCTGCTGCTCAGACATGAAGATCTGCTCTCTTATCAGCAAGTTACATAGAAGGAGCATGGTGGTATTCTCCAAGGGTGGTAAATTTGTAGCAGTGAGATTCCATTAAATGCCATACACATTTCAGATGATCAAGGAAACACAATTTCACATGACAACGGCTCAAAATTAACTTGTTATAGGTGTGACAAGTTTTAGGAGGGGAAATAAGGGAACCTCTGTATTTAATCTTTCAAGATTCTTTTGTTTCAGGAATTTTACCGGAGGATTGGAGGAAGGCAGATGTCGTTCCTATATTTAAAAAGGGTTTAAAATCCTTGCCTGGAAATTATAGACCTGTGAGCTTAACTTCTGTGACTGGGAAAATATTTAAAGGGTTATTAAGGGATAATATTCAGGAATTCATTGGGAAGAACTTTGTAATAAGCATGGTTTTATGAAAAATAGGTTATGTCAAACTAACCTAATTGCATTCTACGAAGAAGCAAGAAGAAGTATAGATCAGGGTGTTGCAGTGGATGTGATCTACTTGGATTTTGCCAAGGCATTTGGTACGGTTGCTCACAATAGGTTAGTCTTCAAACTAAAAGAAATTGGTCTAGAAGAATATTCTTGTTCTTGGGTAGAACATTGGCTTAAAGATAGAGTACAACAAGTTGTCATTAATGGTAAGTGGTGTCCCTCAGGGTTCTGTTTTGGGACCGCTTCTATTTAACATATTTATAAATTATCTTGTAATAGACATTAAAAGCCATATTTAAGTGTTTGCAGATGACACACAACTTTGTAAAGTAAGAAAATGTGAGCAGGATATTGCTTTGCTGCAGAAGGATTTAGATAGATTGGGGGACTGAATATGCTGTGCAATTTTGGGCACCTGTTCTAAAGAAGGATATCATGGAACTAGAAAAAGCGCAGAGACGAGCTACAAAACTGGTAAAAGGAATGGAGTATTTTAGTTACGAAGAAAGGTTAAAAAATTTAAATCTCTTTAGTTTGGAAAAACAGCGCCTCAGAGGGGATATGATAACATTATACAAATATATTCAGGGCCAGTACAAACCATTATCTGGAAATCTATTCATAAACATTGCTATACATAGGACACAAGGTCACGCATTTAGGCTGGAAGAAAGGAGATTTCATCTAAGGCAAAGAAAAGTTGTTGGGTTTTTATACAGTAAGAGCAATAAGGATGTGGAATTCTCTGCCTGAAGAGTTGGTTTTATCAGAGTCCATAAATATGTTTAAACAGCAATTGGATAAATACTTCCAAAAACATAAAATACAGGGATATAATTTTTTAATTAGTGGGATAATAGCTGCTTGATCCAAGGAGATATCTGACTGCCATTTTAAGGTCAAGAAGGAATTTTTTCCTAGTTTGTTGCAAAATCTGAAGCGCTTCAGACTAGGTTTTTGCCTTCTTTTGGATCAACAGCAAAAACTGTGAGGAAGGCTGAATTTGACGGACGCAAGTCTCTATTCAGCTATGTAACTATAGGCACTGTCACTGCTTCATCTCATTGAAGGTGTTATAGTTTCTGCAATCCCCTGGTACTGTCCTTCCATTCAGAGTTAAACTGGGTTTTATGGTTTAACACTAAGCAAGCATGTCCCTCTGTGCTGGAAGAAGCATTTGCCTAAGCAGCAGTGATTGGCTGAGAGTGTAAGCTGACTGAATTCAGTCTAATACAGTGCCATTGCTGGTATGAACCAGTATGGCTAGAAGAAGTCTGTAATCTCTACCTTATCCCTACCTCCAGTTAAGTCAGGGACCCTAATTCAGGGTTAAACTGTTCAAAACAAGTGCTGGAATGAGCATGAGAATAATTTATAATTTAAAACTGATTGATTAGGGTGTAGTCTTCAACTGGCCATGAAGATAGACAACATCTTAGTAACAAAGTGACAAAATAAAAAAGGTTGAGTTATTAATTGAGTGGTGTCAAGGAAGGAGGCAATAGCAGTGATGGTTGGCTTTTTGCCATGCTATCTACAGTTATTGTGGACTACTTTTTCACATAATGTATCATAATTAAAAAAAAGCTATAGAAACCAAGGTAAGCAGTCAACGTCCGATAAGTTTAAGACAAAAAATTTAATATATCTTTTACCCTGAAACTCTGGAATCCCTGCAATCTTTGGAGCATCCAGCAACCAATCTGTTAGAGTTTGATTCTTGAATGCAATACTTCTGAACTGCTTCCCACCATTGACATTCCAGGTCCCAACACAGATTCGGATTTTTCTGGGTTTCGAATATCTGTAATAATTTTCACACATGCTCCGTAGGACTCTGGGAGAAGCTATAAATCAAGAAAAATGTCTCAATTAATTAACTAATCTTTACAAACTCATTAAACGCACTGATGAAACTATAACAAGAGGGATACTTTAAAAATGTGAGGTAAAAAATACAAAAGGCAAAAAGAAGACTTAACTGCTCGTTTTGTCAGCGGTTCATTGTGTGCTAGCAATAACAGGGTTACTAAGATATACAGAGATGAATGGCAAATGTAGAATGTTTATATCGCCATCAACAATTAAAATGACTGTACCTGATTGTAACATGAGTTCAGAGACTGATGACGCAGCAGAGGAGAAAGGATAGAGATTTGGTTAATAGAATATCATAAAATCCAACGTCAGCCATACTTTTTAAGTACGCAATGATGTAAAAAGGAGAAAGCGAATAATCGGACCATCCTTATCATTTCCAGGGACATGTGTGAAAAAATATGTAAGAGGTCCCAACCTGAATACTTCACACAAACACATACATAACTAGCCACAGACACATAATTAGCAAAGTTAGCATTTCATCTGACAGAGTTGTCCATTTACATGCGTGTAATTAGCCACATTCATAAATAACTATCCGCACACGTACATAACTTGCCACATACGCCAACCTAATTAGCAATATGCTCATTCATGAACACACACACAAACACTTAAAAACAAGTTTACATTTGTACATGGACAAACACAAAAACGCATACAGAGATCTACACTGACACTTGCGAACACTCACTTCCAGAAACACACACAAACCTACACTAAACTACAATTTCACTAACAATTATAATAACACATACACCAACAAAAATACAGCAGCACACATACAATATTATCCCTACCACCCCTTAGACCTACCCAGCAGCTGAGAAGGGAGGGATTTACATTTATGGCTTTTTTTGTAGCAGGGAAACCCCATTTGAAAATAGCAGGGATCCATTTGGCTTTATTTGGTATGGTTTAGTGAATACAGTAAAACCACAGAGAAATTTTAACAACCAAATGCAGGAGTGTTGAGACAAATAAAAAAACAAATTTGAAAAAGCCAGTTCAGCAGTTGGTGAATATACCTTTAAAGGACCACTAGGCACCCAAACCACTCAATGTCAATGTGATCTGGGGACAATGGGGACAATGGCACTTTAGTTTGAATCTGCAAAGTAAAGCATTGTTGTTTAATAGATACAGAAATGCTTACATTTCCTAACAGACACTAGTGGGGCTTCTGCTGAGAAAAAAGGAGAAACTCTGTTCTCACAGCTAATTTCCATTTCACTGGAGAAGCGCAGTGCTGGACTTGCATGCACTTTGCTTCCCCAATTCTCCCCTGTTAGGACTATTGGATTGGACAAAAACAAAAACTGCATGATGTCAAGGGAGGCGGATCAAGCGGCTGAAGGAACTGGATCTCCACACTGGAAAAAAAGGGAACAAAACCCATTTCCCCCATTTTTTTATTTAGATTGGGTTGGCTCTTAAACTAAAGGCAGAGAAGAACACTATAGCACTATAAATAAAATATAGAATTACTTTGTGTTTTTATACCTTTCCTTTGCATTTCATGCAAATGGTCCGAGCTGTGGCAACTGATATTTAATGTGGACAAGCGCAAGATAGGGCAGAGTATAGAATATTTGATACAGCACTAACCTCAACATCTAAAGAAAGGGATTTATGGGTAATTATTTCAGTTGATTAAAAGGTAGGCAGACAATGTAATAGAGCAGCAGAAAATGCTAGCAGAATGCTTGATGGTATAGGGAGAGGTATTAGCAGTAGAAAGAGGGAAGTGCTCATGCCATTGTAGAGAACACTGGTGAGACCTCACTTGGAGTATTGTACACAGTACTGGAGACCGTATCTTCAGAAAGATATTGATACCTTAGAGAGGGTTCAGAGAAGGGCTACTAAACTGGTTCATGGATTGCGGGATAAAACTTACAAGGAAAAGGATCTTAACATGTATAGCTTGGAGGAAAGACGAGACGGGGGGATATGATAGAAACATTTAAATATATAAAGGGAATCAACACAGTAAATGAGAAGATTATATTTAATATAAGGAAAACTATCACAACATAAGGACATAGTCTTAAATTAGAGGGGCAAAGGTTTAAATATAATATCAGGACGTATTACTTTACTGAGGGGGCAGTGGATGCATGGAATAGCCTTCCAGCTGAAGTGGTAGATGTTAACACAGTGAGGGAGTTTAAGCATGCGTGGGATAGGCTTAAGGCTATCCTAGATATAAGATAAGGGACTAATGCAGGTATTAAGAAAATTGGGCAGACTAGATGGGCCAAATGGCTCTTATCCGCCTGCCGTCAAATTCTATGTAATTGTATGTGATAACCAATAATTAAAAAATAATCCTATTAAAAAGAGAGACCATCACTTTCCAGGATCTGTAATACTGTACTATGTTTACTTAATCCCATTAAAAAAAAACAACAAACAATATGTTTTTGTGAAGTGTGAAAATAAAAAATTACCAGAAGTCATCTGCAAGCTGTATTTACATCTATTCAAGAAATGGAGTGCCTGTTAATCACTGTTACGAGCACAAACGAGCACCCCCTTTCCCCCACATTAAACCTGTCTGTCAACTTAGAGCGCACATAAAAAGAGTTAGAGAAAACAAAACAAAATTCTGTTTCTCCATTTCCAATACAACTCTTCAAAAATAGACCAGGAAGACTGCTTTCAGTCCCAGACCCCGGGGGCCCCTGATCGATCCAGTGCATGGATCCACACTGTGAATGGAAGCACCAGGACACTTTAGACATGCTTATGATAAATGAAACACACATACCATGTAAGCTTCCAGTGGTTAGCAAGGCCCTGGCTTTATCTGCTAAATCACTGTTCAGGGTATTCCCCAAAAGCAGAACATCTATTGCTTCTTGTTTGGAGCCATCAAAAAAGTTGCTCTGGATTGTTCTGGTTACTGACCTTGCACCATCCTTTAACTTTCCAGCCTGTGACAACACAAACACAAAATAGCAAGGTAAACACACAGGAACTTATCTCCACATCTGTTTTCCCTATAGTCAATAAGCATGTGATTTTAATCCTTCCCATTCTCCTGTGTCCCACAATGCAAGGATTGCCAGGATGTTGGGCATTCTATTCTACTGAACCGTCTGAATGCCATATTTGTACCCAGAATGCATTGCACACATCTGACACTTAAAATGGTACTTTGATTACTTATGCTACACTTCAGGTGATTAGGATACTAGGAATTATAAATAAATAAATGGTTTAGCTTTTATCTGTTTGTTTGATCTTTTACATGAGACCCACAACCATTTGCCAGTTTTCTTTTTTTTTTTACATTTATTTAGTTTGTTTATTTTAGAATAGATTATGCATAAGGGGGACACAGTTGGTTTATTTTGACTTTAACATTCTATTATACACCAGTAAAACATGCACAGCTGACCACTGGCACCGGATACTGGATGATAAATACTCACCAGACACACATTAATTTGAAGAGGCCCCAAGAGAAGGCAGGAGGAAAGCAGTCAAGAGATAAGATGTTAGAAAATATCATAATATCTCCATTTTATACAGAGAAAGAGAGAAAGGGAAGGTGATAAAGCAAGAAATGAAAAACTGAAGCAATGCAACGCTGTATGTATTCACATAGGAGAAATAATGAATTAAGCCATTCAGTAAACAGAGCGACCTGTCACTTAAAACAAAACTTTCTGGTAATCATAGAGAAGGAATATTAAAGAACCAAAACTCCCATGAACCTTTGCCAGTCATTATTAATTGATTGACATGTCAGAAGAGGCATTACATGTTTTTTACGATTTGTTTAATTTAAGATATATACATTTGCTAGTAGTTCCACTAGCACAATACAAAGATGATCAATTAATCTATCAATGCTATTTTTTGTGTTTTGTATTTGGTCCCCCCCACCCCCCACCCCACCCCACCCCACCCCACCCCTATATAGTTGGCAATTGAGTTATTAAAATGATATAACATAGAAGACAATCTCAACGTTGAAAACTATAGCCTGTATCTACAATCAATCTAAGCCAGCCTGTTGTCCTGGTAGAAAGGGAGGGTGTTGCTTTTTAGATCCTGTTGCTCGGTCCAAGGACAATAAAAGCATTCAATAGTCAGATTCAGATGGCTGGTCAGTAATTAGTTCAGGCAGTTAAAGAGATAAAAGATTCTTGCAAAGATTTATAGATTTAGTCTGGGGTTCATAGCAGCACAGAGGACTGGGAAAGAACAATCAGTTCTGATGTTTTAGATAAAATATTTCACTAGAGTATTAGAGATGCAATTAATAAGCTAATGCACAGTATATCACAAAGACTGTCATCTGCCCATTAGATTATAACCAGCCAAGATAAATAACCAGGAGCATAAATGTCCTTGAGAGAGCTTCTCACAGTGAATCTGGGTTTTAGAACAAGATGACTAGGCATCATGGGAATCGTAGGTCACTCCTGTTTTAAGGCCTTAAAGAGTGCAGTGTTTATCACCATTCCGTACCTCGAACACCAATAAGGTCATGCATATCTAATAGCTAATACTTTGTATACTAGCCAGAATAAGTAAGAGGATCTTTCATTATACAATATTAATATAATAGACCCATTGGGAAACAGTCAGCTTTTCTGATAAAATAATCTGTTTCTCACCTTAGCCTTGCCTTCGAGAGCTCCAGTGCCGGCATAAATTTTACTTATGGAGTCGCCGTTTGTGGACCACATGGAGCGAAACACTTCCTGGAAGCGGGTCACAAGTTGTTGTTTTTCAGCCAAACCAAGATCTTCAAGCTGCTTTATTAACATCTAAACAAAACATCCAAAATTAGTAAACAATTTTATTAACAAATCGGAACACATCTCAACAGTCCAACTTTGGTGCTAAACAAGAGATATGAACAATGGCAGACTAAGTGTTCCTTGGGCATATAAGCAATGAAACATGGTCATGAGTGGGCTTTCCAATACACATTGTTACATATTTTCTTTACATTTAAAGAGACCCGATATGCCCCATAACCACTACAACTTACAAAAGGTCTGTCCCTGGGGTCTCAACAGTGTAAACATTGCCTTTTCACAGTTTTTATTGCTGCATAATAAAGTTTTCCTATAGCAGTTGATTGACTTGAGATCATTAGTATTGGTGATCTCAGCCAGAGCAAGTTTGGTGGCCTTGGTGAGACTGGAGCGACAGACAATAAATGTAAATAAAACTATTTTCTAACATGTAAATAGTGATAATCTAAAAAGTTAGTATAACAGTAGGAATACATGTACATGTTTGAGAACTGCTTTAAGCACAATATAGAAAATCATAGAATTTCTTCAAACAAGGTGAAATGGCCTTTAAAGGGACAGTACAGTCACCAGAACAACTACAGCCTATTGCATTTGTTCTGATGAGTAGAATCATCCCCTTCAGGCTTTTTGCAATAAACACTGTCTTCTCAGAGAAAATGCAGGGTTTACATTACAGCCTAGGGATTAATCCACTGGCCACCCCTCAGATGGCTATTAGAGGTGCTTCCTGGGGCAGTGCTGTACACTGTGCAGTACTGCCATTCAGTATCTCCACCCTCTGCATGGGTACATTGAACTTTCCTCACAGAGATGCATTGATTCAATGCATCTCTAAAAGGAGATGCTGATTGGCCAGGGCTGTTTGAGACATATGATGGCTCTGCCCCTGATCTGCCTCCTTGAGAGTCTCAGCCAATCCTACGGGAAAGGATTGTGATTGGCTTGGGATTCCCACTTTTGATTATGTCAGCCAAGCAGGCAGATTAGGGGCAGAGGCAGCAGCGGCAGACTTGAGTACAAGTAAGATTTAACTATTTTTAGGGAGTCTAGATGGTAGTTTTAACTCTATAGGGTCAGTAATTTATGTTTATGTTCCTGACCTTATAGTGTTTCTTTAAGAAAACTATCACATTTAATAAAATTGCATTTTGTGTACAGAGACATCACAGCTTGTTTTTTATCAGTGTAATGTAGCGGTACACCAGTCAATTTAGAATGAGTTATTAACTAGTAATTTTACAGACTTGTTAACAGTCTGGCAGCTTCCAGAAATTATTTGATCTAAATGTCTTAATCCCTGAATTCAAAAGTAACAAAGAAGAGGCTAAGCATGCGTACAGCCTCAAATACTTTGTGGTAGCATGCAACAGTTACAAAATATAAGGTTAAAATATTCACACACACACAAAAAAAAAAAAAAGTATATATATATTATGACCTATACAAAACAATGCACGAAAGCTTGAAAACGGATGTAAACACCATGCCTTCTGAATGAATGTTTGTAAATTCTAGGGGCCAGTAATGTCTATGTAGGAATAAACATTTTGTGGAGCCTGTGATAAGAATATGTTATTGACACATATATAAATATATACACATACATTTTAGAAGCCACGGCTTTCTTGCAACTAGGACTTATTACTCCCTGAGATCTAAAATAACTTAAGTGAATGTGGATGATTCAATACAGTGAAAAAGGAAAACCGGTACATTCTGAGTGTGTATTTAAAGAATAACAGGTGCATTGCAGTATGACGTGATCCCTTACTCACAATACACATTAAAAGACATGTTTGAGAATTCTCTCTCTTTTTTAGAAGACATTCCATTATATCAGGATTGCTTGTGCTATGAAGACGAGATGTAACGCTGAAAAGCTGGTCTTTTAATATGTATTGTTACTTCATTTAAGAAGGTATCACTTAATACTGTAATACTGTTATTATAGCAACGGAATTATTGGACAAACATGGCAAGAGTAATATTGACATATATCGACTACATGTGCTTTCTTAAGATAAAGGTTAAACTGCAAGAACAACTGTAGTACATATTGTAATTGTATTGGTGTGTTAATAAAAAACACTTCTTAGGCTACTAAACGTATTCCAATTAGGCAAATAAACCTAATGGCTGTCCGTCCAGCAAATACTCGTTCTGCATCCTACTATTATTGATCACACTAAGTGTAATACTTACATAAACTCCCTTTGCAGGTTGCTGAATACTGCCCCACCAAATGCTGTTAGACAACCATTTACATAACTCTCCAACATCTGTAGGCTTGCAAAGCATTGTGGGAGATACAATCTGATGTCTGGGAGGCAGCAGTTTGGCATCCCTTCATTACAATATAGTTAGAAGACTCAATTAGGGTAATATGCTACCCAGTAAAGTGACAAACACCTTTGTAACTGGCTCAGGTTTTGCGAAAAGAAAGCAGTAAAGAGACTTAACACAAAACCAAATGTGGGATAAATGGGTTCCAGAGAGGAATATTGGTTTCTTACATTACAGGGTATTCAATCAATGGCCACATTCCCCAATAATAGGATCAGCGCAGGGTCAGGCAGTTATTTGGAGAATACAGAGCAGTTAAATGAAATAGGATTTCAAGCCTCACCTCTAGCCCAAGGAAAGCCTGAACACTGTTGGTTCTGTCCAGACAATCCAGGCAGTTGGTTCTGATACTGCCACTTTGGGTTCTGTGAAAGGGAATGCGTAAAAAAAAAAAAAAAAAAGAGTGAATTCAAATCGAACACCATCTGGGTGTTACCAATCAAGTTTTATAAATAGGAGTAAAGCTGTATTTTAATGGGGGTGATAAAGAGATACCCCAGGATGCATTCTACCTTTTACATGGAGATAATTAAAAAGCAAAAATAAATACATAAAACAGAATCGAGAGATACGCTGAATTTATGATGTTTGCTATGAAATCGCAGTTTGCAGATCAGTATTTAGGAGTAGTTTAATTCACGTAAAGATACAAATTGAACTTCTCTCAAGCTAACAGCAGCAAACTTAAATTTTTTTACGAATGAAGAGACTTGCGCTCGTATCTGAACATGGCTGTTGTATATATTTTCTCAGAGAACCCATAAGACCCCTCAAGAGTTAGTTATGATGTTACACAGTAGGTAACAGAAGGGGTACATAGTTTTGCCTCTGAGAGAGTCGCTTTTTACGGATATGTTTGTACAGCAGGGTAAGGCACATGTCTTGTTTGAACAGTTACAGCATGTTTTACCTGGTGACAAGTCTTTGTGATTAACAGAAAACATAATCCAGATCTGTCCATTCTATGCTGACTTGGTGCCTTATTCAAGTACAAAATTTACATGGTGTGCCACTGGAGATAATTAAACTTTGCCTGCACATTACACAGAGCAAATTGCTAGCAAAACACATGGATTACATTTTAATCAGCAATAACATTTTTGGCCATACTTGCAAAAAAACACTACAAACATGACGATTCTTGCCTAATCCTGCAACATCTCAAAATACCAAATGGTCAGCTGTCTGACCAACTGCAGTGACCATCTTGGTGGAGGAGAAGCAAGCTTCAGGTAAATATAAAGATTTTAATCTGTACATTTCATGTTATTTTATCCACGTTTGATGCCAAATACCCCTCTCCCCCACCAATGTGTTTGTGTATATGACATTTTATAAAGAGTCATTGTTGGAACACTCAATTCTTTATTTCATAATCCACCAATATGACCGTTTCCCTTCATGCCCTTTAAAAGTAGATTTAAAACGGTTTCATCGCGGATTGCCAGGTCAGTCTGTCGGGAGATCTAGCAGTGAGTATGTCAGTGTGAATAATTGCTGCCAAAGCTTCACACCTGCTGCAAGGTGAGTTATGAGCTGTATCCAGTAATCACTCAATTCATGCCCATAATAAAGGAAAGGATGCTGCCATGTTGTAGAGAGGAAATCTGCCCATAACACCATTTAAAACATAGGTCGTGATGGAAGATGAATCAGGACGTTAAGGAAACCTAACAAACTAAAACACGGCACAAGAGAATGCTGAGCATTAACAATTCAGTTCTCAACATGGTTTTAACTCATCTTGTGCCATTACAGAGAGAAACTAAATTACTTAGATATCAGACTGATCCCAGCCAAAATGCAGTCTAAATCCAAAATGCAGGCCGAAATACAGCAACCCCAGACGATCGTTTCAGCCTTGTTAGGCGTCGTAAGTGAGGTATAGCCACCATCCCTTTAGGCACCGTGAGCAAGGGGTTTAAGTCTGGATTAACCTTATAAATTGTGGAGAGCAATGGGGCCCTTATTTTATTGTACCATTAAAAAAAAAAAAAGCGCAAATAATTAAGGTAATCAAATTTAAGATACAATAACAGATATGTTGACAGAACACTTAATGACAAGCTTCATGAAGAATAGTCACTATGGAACATATAGATTTTATTGCCATCTAAAAAATATTCATAAAAAAAATAAAATTTAATTTACGAAAAACAAGAAGAATCTGACAAACCTGTGAACTCCATTCTTATCAAGATAAAAACATCCACAATCTTCCAAGAACGCGTTGAATTTAGGTTTAAGGACACTGTGGAGTTTTTCGGCTTTACCCCCTCGGACCATTTGATGATAGTCGAAATTTACCATCAGAATATCTGCAACATGCTCAGATGCTTTTAGGTGGCTCTGCAAAAGATAGAAAGCAAAATGACAGAAAACATTCACTTTACAGCAAAATGACAGAAGCTACATATGTGATCACGTGCTTTCTATTTGCCAGTATGACAGGAGCTGATATATACTGATCATCGCATTCAGCAGGAGACATTGATAACAGTCACATATATAAAGTGATAGCAGCTGGTTTAACGGATTAGCAATTGATAGTTACTTTGGGGTCAATAAGGATTTTTCAGGGGGGGGGGTTTTAGACTTTTCTCAACCTTTTATTATAGTTATAATTATTCCTCCTGCTACTTGAGCTCACCTGAAACGCTCTGCTCAGCATGGCTTCTCCTTCCTTAGACCCCAATAAGTTCACTATTACTTGCCTTCCATACAGTCGTTTCAGGGTTTGGAAGTGCCTGTGAAGTTATAAAGAAGAAACTGGATTACTTAGCTTGTGTTAAAACACATCAGGACTGGGCAAACTGCACTTTTCCAAATGACGGTGATATTCAAGTGAATATCCTCAGATAATGTTATATCTGAGCAAAACTTCAGAAGATATTAGGTCTATATATGCCTTTAACAAAAAACCACCACCACAAAATACACAATCACATGGCTCTACCGGTCAATGTAAAAAGAGATATAGGGGGATAGGTCCACCTCCTGGGATATCCAAGACAAAACCTAGGCCAAGCTAGGTTTTTTAAAATTTATATTCTCTTTCTTTCAATTCTTTATTTTTGCAGTGCAGATTCAAAGACATGTTGCCAATATGACATACATCATAAAATAATGTAACAAGACATCAGTATGAGTGGTCATGAGGTACTGTACTTTATTTTTTAAACAAGAAAACGATAATACAAGAGTTACAGGCTTAATACTAAACGGAGTAGGCATGTTGAAAACAATGCGTGAATACACAGGTTGTACATGTAGTAATCCGTAATACAGTTTGAACCTGTCTATTCAAAGGCACACTTTTTTTTTATATAAACAGGCATAATTCAACATGAGAGGTATCAGAAAGATTTTCCCGGGAGGCCCCCAGCTAATAGCATGTTAATGGGAATAAGCCAGAGGAATTAGCGGGTGAGAGAAAGAGGATGTTCACGTGAACTCTTTGGTAGGGCAGTAATATGAAGGGCCTAGAGCATTTCTCAGTGGACCCAGATCAACCTATGCTGACTTGGCGTATAACAGAGTCCCACAACTTTAAGAGGGTTAGGCCTCCGGGCCTCGACGCATGCCACTGGGTAGCATCACATGCCACCATTGGGTTTTCCCCCAGTACCTCTGCCTGTTTTAGAGTCCCAGCACTGAGCCACAATTGCTTCCTCCTGTACGCCGCCCTGCATTGAGGAAAATATGTCTTGCTTTTCCCCTGTGTCGTTGGGGGTTCGCGTGGCGTCAGGGTGAGTTGTTGAGGTTTGCACTATGCCCTGTCGTTTCACCCTGTGATCCCATTTGTTCAGGGCAGACTCCCAGGGTTGGACTGGGTTTAACCACACTAGTTCAATGGGTATAGGGGGGTAACAGGGCACTTGTACAGGGCAAAATGCCGACTGGCAGCCCCAGGCCGGCCGCCTTTCCCACCCGGGGCTAGTTCAGCCGCATGGTTCAAGTGGTGCCCGATGTGAGCTCTCGTCCACATGGATTCTCTGCTGGGTCAAGAGGAAGGTAAGTCGTTGGGTGCAGTCTAGATCAAGCTTGTGGAAGTAGAAAACTGCTTTTTTGCCATAATGGTTATGGAGCTCCTTCAATGCACGTCTCTCCTACATGCCACTCAGGCCCCGCCCCCTTGTATTATTATTTCTGACAGGTTATGCTCTCCTTCATTTGACTGAACAGGATACACCGTGCTGATGGTCCCAAAGGTCATTCTGAAATACCCCTCTCACCTGTACCCCTTGACTTACCTCTTTCAACACTGTCAATTTATTGACCTTCTAAACCCACCAATTAATGGTTTGTGTTTCTTTACTCCATAATTATTTTTCCACTTTATACTCAATATCGAATACAAATTATGTTGAATTAAAATGCAGAAGCCAGCAGATATACATCCAAACTTTATTTAAACAAACTAAGCATTTATGTTTCATACCTATCAAAAGCAGGTGCGTTGGCCTCAAATCCACGGGACATCCTTACACGGTGAGATCCAACCTGTAGAGACATGTTTAGAATGTACAATTGCCAAATTCACGCAGAAACTATACCAGTCACATATTACATTTTGTAAACACACCACGCCATCTTGTATCAGCATTGCTGGCTACTACACACGCGATGTTATAAATGGTTACAGCTCAATCTAGGTTACTGGCTGCCATCACTATGTTCTATCAGTCTTACTTGCTATTATTCACTATGTTGTACCACATGTCCCAACCGCTACCAATTATATAATTCTTTTTAGGCCTCAAAGTCTGGTACTCCCATTTGTAGGAGCCAGCAGCTCTTAAAAATCACTGCTTGGGTGCTACGAACAAGACACTATACTTTAGGAGAAACAAGAAAATAAAAATGATGAGGAAAAGTGCTCCAAATAACAAAGGGAAAATAAAATGGTTTAATTTCTCCGCTTCCTTGTATAAGTCTCTATGCTGACGCCAGATGCAAAAGTCAGGGCTTATAACAATGTCTGACAGAGAACCAAGATGGAGGCACCCGGTTGCAGGATAAAGAGTTGTTGATTTCAACATTTAATTTTATTTTTCACATTTCACAAATGTGTAATTATAAAATACAGGAGAGAAGTAAACAAAATATGAAAACTTCTGTAAAGTAGCAGTTCCCCTTTAAGGAACAACGTTTGGACAATCCACCATCTTCAACATACCTGTAATCCAGGTTGCTCCCAGAACAGAGGAACAGATCCTCGAATCTGTATAAAGGAAGATACGCAGTCGTCGAGGTAGATCACCTAATGGAAATAAGTAAAAAGATTGGTGGGGGAAAGAAATCATGAAAAATAAAACTGCTTAGCCTTATAGTAGAATAAACATTTTTCATTACTAATGTTATGATGGGAAAATAATAAAATGGCAATAAAAACTGAAGAACTCAATCCAATCTAAAACATACAGTGTTATCAGAAGTGTAAACCATACATTGAGCTCTGCCTGATGTTTCGTTACACAGTTATTATATAAATGTATTGAATAATTTTACTGACAAGTCACTAGAAATATGAATTCCAGTTTCAATTTCACAGCAAGCTCGTACAGATTAGGGAACGATATTAATGTCATATTTCTCCTCCAGGATAATTGGCGGCTCAGGTTACATACATAAATCTAAAGCCAGAGTTGCACTCTAAGAAAAATGTCCACAAATATACAGATACATCTAGAAAACACATATATGGAATTGTATGGACTCTAGGGGTTATGCAAATAACACTACAAACAAAACAAAACAGAATTGCAGAGTTAAATTTTCAGGAATACATACCCTAAAACTAGACAAATTAACAAGTGATAAAATAAAAACAGAATAATTAGCAAGCAATTAAACATTATAGTTAAACATAGTGGAAACATTGTTAACCCTTCTAGTGCCAATGCATTTATGAATTCAGAAGACCCAATAGAAAGGCCAATTTTGTTAAACACATGTGGAGCACTGATACAAACATTAAAATACCTTGAAAATATCCAGGAACTTAAAGTGGGTATCTAAACAGAGTGGCTACCTAAACAAAGTGGTTTTAAAAATGTGTATTTAAACCCACTCGCACAACCTGCACAGAGACATACAATTGCTTATTGTATAGACACAGACTTGTTTTATCCAGTACAACTTGTACCAAACGTCTTGTGGTGTAATGCCTGATGACTGGTGCAGAGCACCACAGCTTGAGTGCAAGAGACAGACTGCAACACCCATGATGTACACTAAACCTGATGGGAGTCACAATGCACATTAGCTTATTGCCTCTCCAGTCCTACAAACTGTATATGCCTCCAAACTTGGCCAGCATTTTGCCAGCATGGTATGGTGGGAGTTCACTCTACTCTACAGCAACTGGATTAAACATGCAACTTGGAATACAGCTCCCATCATGTAAATCCAGAGGGAAAAAAAAACAAAGGTGCATTCACAGTTGTATTATTAACCATTTCATGTTTTGTACTGGTTTTGGGAATGAGGGTTGCCAGATACACACGCTAGACCACAGGCACTAAAACAGTGAATGGACTTCCACCTAAATCAAGTAATGTTATATGGTTGCGTTCTGCAGTTCCGCAAACCACCATATTCATAGCAACTGTAAGTACTGAAATGTGGTAAAGGTTGGCATGTAGGTTGCCAGCCAACCACCACTATCTGGTATAGTGCAAACACAAGGGCATAATCTCTCATTGTTACCCACACAATTACATTCTGGGCAGAGGATAGTACAGTCTGATCTACTCCGGGATTAAGTAGTATCCCTCATTCTTTGAATTCACATTCTGACACCACATCAGAAAACAATCTACACAAGAAAGGCTAAGAGGAGATATTAAATAATTTATATCATTAAAATGCAGCAGGCTCATTACAGGCAGCTTACTTGCTGCAGTAATTAACGTTCACTCGCAGTACCCAGGAGTCACAAAGATCCCCAGATCATTAGTACAATCGATTCTCCAGCAGCTGAATAGGAGCTGCAGAAAAAAAAATTCTTCCACCAATGTGAAAATGAAAGAAAATAACAGAAAAAAAAAAAAGTTAGTACAACATTATCGAGCAGGTCTTACCTGTTCAGTTTCCACGAAATTGGCAACCTGGCCATTATCATTAGTTCCGCGTACATTGAACCTGGTCCCAGCTCTCTCACAGCTCAGACGGGAAATAATGCATGCTTTGGCCTGCTTGTGAGCTGCGTAAATAGTGCGAATCTCCACTCCACCACACATAAGGCGCAGTAGCCAGTCGTCACAGTTCACACCGTAATGCTTCAGGTGCAAATGCAGAGACTGATTCCTGTGTAAATTAGAAACTGTTAAACAAAAGGTTTGGTGCATAAAGAATTCTTGAACATTTGAAACATCAATACTCCCTGGTATTACAAAAAAAAATTAAAAAAAAATCTATAACCTTAGTTTCATTCTGTGCATGTCTAAATGTGACACGAAGTACTAAAAAATTACACCTCAATATAGTGGTTTTGGTGCCTAGATGCTGTCCCTGCAGTCTGACGAACTTAAGCATTATCCGTTTCAGAGAAATGGCAATCTTCACATTAGTTATTTAGAATGCCTCTAGTGGCTGACAATCAGGGAGTCAGACGCCACTAGAGGCAATTTTGAACAATATGCCTTAGGCTGCTATTTTTTTTGTACCACAAGTTTAATAGGTGATAAAGAGGATGTGACCGCTCTCTGTACAAAATGTTGTCTACCTGGGAGTACATTGTCTCTACCATTGGCAGCACTGACCTCTCTCCACTGCTAACAATCACAATATTACGGATACCATAACCATGAGACTACAGGTGGGTTGGCAAATTTTGGCCTGGGGACAAGTACAAGTGGATTAGCTTTTTTTTGTATACAAGAGAAAAAGAAAAAATGTTCTTTAGGTTGACTGTCCAAACCAAGAAGAACATGAGATGTGTTTCATTAATGGAGGTTGCTGGAGTTGCAAAGTGTGGCATCAAATTTCTCTGCAACGACCTGAATGGTGTGATGGAACTGTCACAGAGATCGGAGCATGACTCACACTCACAAAGCAGACTCAGTTTCCTACAACTTCATTGCCATCAATAATGTCAACAACATATTATGAATGTCATAATCACTGCCTCATCTCACCCTATGGACACTTGGAAACACTTACATACTCAACATAGAATGGCAGCCTGGTTGGCCTCAGATACTGAAGTCCCCAGGAAACATGCCAGTGGGCCAATGCAAGGCAGGAGGACATCGAAACTGCAGACCATCAGCCCTTGCACAACCCACACAGAACTGAGCTAGCAAAGGCCTTGCACAATTCCTGTCTACTGCCTTATTCTTACAGAAATTTGCAAACAGACACCGCAATAAATAAATATCTTTCTAATTTAAGTTAAAGAGCTGCCCATAGGGTTGTGGGAAACTGTTTGAGTTAAACTAGCAAGATATTTTGCTAATGGCATCCTTTCCAGCCCTCCCTGTTGTCTGATACAGTATAAATTACACTGGAAAGGATATAATGGGAGAAGCTTATGCTGTCAGAGTGAAGCATTTTCCCAAAACTACAGTGCCTGATCCAATCTAGTTTTGCCTTGGCTTTTACTACTATTTCATTATTTGACTTGATAATGCCCAACTTATTTTGCCTGTATTCCTTGGGGAAAGGTTGGGGGATGTACTATTACCAAAAGCAAATTCTTGCACACAGATATTTAACAGTCCAGTTTATGTGCGGTAACAAAATAAACACAATATCTTACCAAAAGAACCTGTTGTCGGTCCTTTGATCCTGAGTGCTGCGATGAGCGTTGAGGCTAAGATCTAAACTGACTCCAGTTGAAGACCAAGCAAAATAGAAGCTGCCAGAGTTTAAAACCTTCCGCACTTCCGACATACGGTCCTCATCTGGGTCTGCTCTCAAGGAGATAAACTCTGTGGAGGTCACACGGAACACTTCCGATTCCTGAATCTTTCCAACTGACATGCACCCAGTTACTACTACTAGATAATGTGACATGGCCTCCCCTATAATAAAAAGGAAAAGCGCGATGATCAACATAATACAGAATAGTATACAGTGTAGGAATTCTAAAGGAACAGATTGAAGGGCCCATTAGCAGACGGAAATAAACTTTATAGGATTAAAAACTGCCTATATGTTGTTTAAAAGGAGTGTTTAAGGTACCATATTTTACTGTATTTATTAACACTAATATAAATAGACAAGCAATCTTACTAGAAGTATCATTTAGGGTTATTCAAATTATTTATCAATATAATTATAAATTACAGAGTATGTCAATATGGAAATGTAGTTCACAGAGAGAGCGCGCGCGGGCGCGAAAGAGAGAGCGCGCGCGGGCGCGAAAGAGAGCGAGCAGGCGCGAAAGAGAGGGAGAGAGCAGGCGCGAAAGAGAGGGAGAGAGCAGGCGCGAAAGAGAGAGAGAGAGCAGGCGTGAAAGAAAGTGCGAAAGAAAGAAAGGCAGGTAGATGCAGTTACAAGATGCCTATAGCATAATGAGTTCCTTGTTAGACAAGCTGCAGTAACTAAAAATAATGAAAACAGTCGAACAGTTTTCTTTAAACTTTAATAATCCCATTTGTACAGGCTCATATAGTAAAGTGTTTTCCTGGAATTACCATTTCAGTTCTCAAAATTACAGAGTTAGAAACCATACTGCAAATTACCAGGGGGCAGAGAAACACCCAAATATTTTTAATGCTGATAAAGCATATCCTCCCAGCCAGCACATGTTCTCTGAACCTGCAGAGCTAACTAGAAAGGCCAAGAGGTGAAACTGAGAAAAGGATCTGTAATTATCCCCCATTAAGTTCGAATTAGTAAGAATGTATAAACAGAGCATTAAATAACCTTGTGACAGACAGAACACTGCAATAAAGCATAGGTTGTATGAAGCAGGTTACCAAGATTAAGTCGAAGTACACCCAGAAGGCCGTATGTGTCCATAACTTTACTGTACATGCTCTTAATGGCTTCCTTTTCCGCAGAGGCTGTAAGAGAGACACACAAAAATGTATTTGTTATTTTAACAAGATTTATGGCTGAAAACAGAAAGGTCTATGTGAAACAATAAAAATTAAATTCTAAGCATGAAGGGGGCAGTATGAGGGTAAGTATACAATTTATCAAATGTTTAGGCAATGTAATAAATGCAATGCTGAAAAGGAAAATAAAACAGAATAATTAACTGTGAAGCAAGTAATATTCTGTAAATCCTGCCCTGCTGGACAATTCGATATTATTACACCCTGCTCCTACAGCACTATCAATGGGATATTATTACCGGTACATTATAGATACCATTAGAAATACAGATGTTTATTCACTGAACAGTAAACAGAGTACAAATGTGATAAACTCAATGATAAAATTATTTCCCAACTCTTCGATTTCAGACTAAATATTTTAAAGGACCACTTAGGACACCCAGACCAACTAGTCTCAATGAAGTTGTCTGGGTGCCGCGGTCCTTTCTAAACTTGCATTGTCAAATATTGCCGTTTAGTAGATACGGGGTTTAACAAGCCTCTAGTGGCTTTCTTCCTAAAAACTACTAGTGGTGCTTCTGCTGTTAGAACACACGTCACCTCCTTTAATGCTAATCATAGAAAGTATTCGATTGGATGAGCGCAGCACTCGCTGTGCATGCGCAGGTCATCTCCAGTGCTCTTCTACGAGGAGCATTGGGTAGGACAAGAAGATGGTGAGCCAAAACAAGCAGGATGACGTCACAGAAGAAAGAGTGGGTGGCTGCATAGAGCAGTCTGGCGCAGGAATAAAGGGAAGTTACAACTTACAGGTATGACCAAAGCAAATGCACCACTTTTGGTCAAAAAGTGAGAAAAATTCCCTACAATTTATTTTCTAGCTCTGCCATATTGGTTTGAAAGTTGCGATTCCTTGTCAATTCCTGTTTCAGTAATTCATTCTGGATTACAGTAAATGGTATGTATGTAGTTGTACCGCATTTGTGCTCTCTGGTAGCAATGATACCAGAATAGCAGGGGAGACACAGAAAACACAGTAACATAATAAAAGAGACAGTCAATAAAATAAGACTTCTAATAAGTACAGGCCCAGGAAGATGGCTAGATATAAGATGGGGAAACAAAAAGAATGGTGGCAACAAGGTAGGCAGAAAATTGACAAGAAATAGAGAGACAAGATGAAACAGATTTGGTGATTACATAACTTTTTTCCCCCATGTTGGACTTGGCAATATTACAGATTTATGTAAGATCCATTCTATTGTTATTAAATGAAACGGACAGCCCTGCTGCAGGGTTTTATATCCATCTAAGCTAGACACAACACGAGTTTATACAATGAGGAAAAAGCACCATAAACACGTTTGGATCCCACTGGTATCCAGACAAAAAGACTTTACAAAATGTTATGTGGAGGGACAGATTAGCTATTAGATCCCCAAGATTAGATCCCAAGGAAACACACACACACAGGTGTTTATACACCAAATACTAAAAGTTTGTGAATTGAAAAACAAATTGCAAAATCTAGGTAAAAATCAGCAAGTTGTGACTTGAGTAAAGATGGAGATTCTCCTGCTCCCCCCCAATGTTGTAATTTTAGCTGTTTTTTATTCTCTATAGTTCACAGTTTGATGAAAGTCTTAGTACAGTGTTTCAATATCTTCATCCAACATTTCTTGCAAACAATATCTATGTTGATGACTGATGGAATAATCTTCATTGCCTGGCTGAATACGTATACATCATGCCTAATGAACACTTGCTAAGCTAAAATGATTTAACAGTGGTTAATTAACATTAAAGCAGTTCTTGTCATGAGATGAGGGTGAATCACAGACAGACTGCTCCTGATTTTATAAGAGCAGCAGAGGTTGCATTTACAACGATAACATTGGTCTGTATACAGGGCCAGCGCTACCATTAGAAGAATGAGGCATTGTTCTTTAGATTGTAAGCTTGTTTGGGCAGGGCCTGCTTCACCTACTGTACCTATGCCATACAGGTTTTCTAACAGCTAAATGTTTGCCATGTTTACCTATTGTACAGGGCTGTGTATTATGTTGCAGCTATATGAATACTTATAATTGCCTGGACTGCTGACTCTGCATGGACAAGTGGGGACATCAAACGATATCCCTGAGTGGAAATGTGTCCTCTCATTTTAGTGATGAAGCATGTGATTTGCAACCCCCCAGTGGGTTTCCGCCTGCAGCCTTTCATGTTTGAAGCATGTTCCCTCAGACATACACATGACACACAGCATCCACACCTACATACTGTATCACATACACACACATGCAGACTGTATCACACACATACATGCAGAATGTATCACACACATGCAGACTGTATTACACACACACCGACTTCTTCACAACCTTCAACACAGTGCAGTGCAGGCACACAGTTAAATTGTAAAAATGACTAATGGAAAAGGGAAAGAGACAGTAAGACATATAGCAGAAAAGAGAAATTAAGTTAACCAGAATAAGAGCCGCAGAGAGGTAGATGTGCAATAAAGGGTGGAGGGACGTCAAACTGTTTTTTCCCTCGGGTGGTATAAATCCTAGAACTGGTTCTGTTGGGCATGGAGGAATTTTAGGAATAAATATGCAAAAATTATTTTTCCATCCTCGTCTCCCTTTATATTACCTCATAAGTTGTGATGTTTTCCACAGTATAAACACAGTGACTGCCCTTTACGCACTCTGAATGTGAGAGACTCAATTGTATTGGCCAAATGCAAAGTGGAAAAAAATCTAATGTGTCTGGTTCAGAAAGAAACTTCCTAGTCCTAAATATTTAAGGAGATAGTGTTTATACCTATATAAACACAGTGTCCGTGGCACCAGCACATAGTTTGGTCTACTTTTCACCAATGATAAGATGAGAAACAAAGTTCTTTCGTACAGAAGGTTCTTATCACATATTTCACATTAGAATTAGAATATCAGCTGCCTGGGTATTATAGGGTAATCTCTAAATAAACATGTCCTGTAACAGATCGAGCACAAAAGGTTTAATTTCATTCCCGTTTACAACTTTTGATGGGAATTAGAAACAAACATCAGAAGCAAATATGGATTAATCTCGATACCATATTCCCTCAAATGTCCCATTGACAAATAGGATGTCCCTTTAAGAATTGCTTAGTGCAAATGACATATTAATCCAATATCCAGTTAAAGATAAATCTACTAACATCTGAGGATGTGGCCTCTCTGCAAGACTATATAACAGAATAAATCCTATTTCTAAGAGAGTAGCACACATTGTAAAGTGGGGAAAAAACTAATAAATGTTTTGAGAGGTAAGGTGGGTGTTGTTATGCTATTTTATTATAACGGACATTAATCTTCAAAGCCACTACATCATAATCTAGTGGTTTTGGTGCATTGATGAGATATCTTTTCTCTGGAAATGCAAAACAGTAATTTCTCACAATTACTTCATACATACATTAGAGAACATACGGATGGCAACTAGCCCACTGTAGTGTTTATGATGCCAGCAGTACTCTGGTCCTTTGCTTTGCAACAGTTTTTATCACTTACCTGCTTCCATGCTGGGCTCCGAGGGTCCTCTATGACCAGTGATGACATCCTGCTTCTGCAGAAGCCAGAAGTTGATATCTTTGGCCATTCAAGTGGTCATGGTGCATGGAGTAACCCTTTAAGACCTTTGAAAAGCAAAGCTTTTCATGTGCAGCAGTATCACTCACAACATGGTGACACCAAATGCATCCAGTGCTTGAGAATATTGTGTTCTTTTGCTAAGCTTGTATAGGTATCCAGTTAGCTTAGCTAAGAAAAACATAGCTGCTAGTGAGGTCTAAGCCTACACTGAACAATTACTCAGCTAATAAACAAAACCCAGGTATATCTAAAGGTGAAGGACACTAGGGCTAAGATAAAGAGCCAAATCCCAAAAGAGTTTACACAGCAGCCCCAAACTAAAGCTCAGATGAGTAGATCTGTCCCTATATCACCTCCGTGGACTGACCACTAGTGCCTACCTGAACCTCTCTCTCTCTCTTCCTGATTTTAAAAGAAAATAAAGTAAATAAATTAGTGCATATTAGTGCTACCAAGTGGGATAAGTGTTAAAACACTTTAAAAAAAAATTGTCTTGTTTTAACACTTATCCCACTTGGTAGCAGTAATATGCACTAATTTATTTACTTTCTTTTAAGATCAGGAAGGGAGAGAGGTTTGGGTAGGCACTAGCGGTGCAGAGGTGATATAGGGACAGCTCTACTTATCTGAGCTTTGGTTTGGAGCTGCTGTGTAAACTCTTTTGGGGTTTGGCTCTTTATCTTAGCCCTAGTGTCCTTCACCTTTGGATATACCTGGGTTTTGTTTATTAGCTGGGTAATTGTTCGGTGTAGGCTTAGACCGCACTAGCAGCTATGTTTTTCTTAGCTAACCTAGCTGGATACCTATAGGTATTTGTGTTGGTGTATATGTATATAAGTACACTCATACATATACCATTTTTGGCTCTCCCCTTACTGCTTACATTTCTGTTTTTCCTTAGGACTATTAAAGGTAGAGCTCCCCTTCCCTATAATTTGTGTTACTCGCCCTATCAGGACCTCCAGTCCATCTCTGTCTATTTAGCATATCGTGGGTTATTTTTCCAATCTCTAGGAGAGTAACATTGGGCATTATCTGGAACTAATCCACCAGCCCCCAGTACCATTGGGACTTTTATTTAATATATTGATAGATATGGTGGGGGAAGAATTGCAGACTTGTAACTGTAATAATTCTGGCAGAACATATTGGATCACCAATCTTCCACAGCAGGATTGTTTTACAGAGATTGATAGAAGTATTATACACTGTGTATATTTTTGGAGATGTCTGGCTGGAGCAGACATGCATAGCCGATTAAGAGAACAAAGATAACCAGCCAAAAGGCTCTAGTTAGTCAACAGTATGCCTCGGCCCCATCCAAGAACGCAAGCTGTGTAGGAGAGCAGAGTACGGAGACAAAATGGAAAGAGATTTGGTACAGTCGGGATTCGATAGAATGTTGCATTGAAATACACATACAAAACATCTCTTCTGACTCATCTAGGATCTTACCATCATACTATCTCCTTTGATAGTTGGTCTTTAATAAACAACAGCCAACAAAAAGCAGATATTTAAATACCTGATTGACAGGTGCAAAGGGCACAGCTTAGAACAGTGACTGATACAGAGTCATGATGGAAGCCTTCAGTTCCATGATAGAGCTAAATAAAGGGGTGTGCATTCTAGATTTTATTTTTCAGACCTCCAAAAACACATATTTAGCAACGATGGATGAAGAGTAAGCATATTAAAAATCCTGGGAAGGGACAGTTCTCTATAATGCTACAATACTTTCCTCTGTGATCACAGAATGAAATCCTAATTTGCTTCTCTGCCGTATAGAAATAGTACCCCCATGCACAAGCCTGAGCAGTGAATGCAACATTGACGGGTCCCTGAAAACAATCCATTGCATTCCAATGGCATGTTAGACAAACAATATGAGGAAATAGCTTTTTTTGTTTCAGTATCACTTTGGTAAAAGAAAGCCGAGGCAGGCAGCAAGCTCAGGGCGACTGCTCTTATCATAGTCAGACAACAGAGGCAAGCAGTTTAAAGAACACTGTGCTTAAAGTGAAATTAGACAAACTTCGCTAAATAATACACACCTTTTTAGTATTCTGCAATGGTTACAATTCAAAAACATGCATTCCATGATATTAGAAATAAATAAAAATCCTCCAGCAATGACAGGAGAGGAAACCGCCATTAAAAATTAAAATCACGCAGATCACTTTTGCTCAATAAGGGGGTCCTGTCCTTTTAGTTATTTGTTGTGTTTTTGTTGTTTTTATTGCAAAGGGCAAAATTCACTTTCTAGTGGTTGTCTGTTGACAAGGTACTAAAAAGCTCTTCATCTGAACTAAAATGAATAAACTCTGAAAGTCATGTGACACGGAACCCATTGAAAAGTATTAAATACAATGCTTTCCTATGAGGAATTGGTTGATATGTACATGGTGAGTACTTTCGTATTGTACCATCATGGGAGGAGGCCATGCATGTATCTCGGCTATTAGGGGCACTATAGTATTAGTAATACGGGTTTTTCCAGGCCCCAACACTGCAAGGCAGGGGTCCTCAAACTTTTAAATAGAGGCTGTGCTCCCACGGTCCCTCAGGCATCACTGCTGGGGCCGGGACTATAGTTTTACATTTAAAAAAAAATAAAAAATTCCTATATATAGTGGAAATGACAGACATTTATGTATTACGTAAACACACATAAGGACATACATACACACACACATACAAACACATACATACTGACAGACATACACACAGATAGACAGACACATACTGACATACATACACACAAACACTAAAATACATACATACACACAGACATACAGATATACACATACTGACATACATACAGAAATACATATACATACAAACACATACATACTGACAGACATACACACAGATAGACAGACACATACTGACATACATACACACAAACACTAAAATACATACATACACACAGACATACAGATATACACATACTGACATACATACAGAAATACATATACATACAAACACATACATACTGACAGACACACACACAGATAGACAGACACATACTGACATACATACACACAAACACTAAAATACATACATACACACAGACATACAGATATACATACAGAAATACATATACATACAAACACATACATACTGACAGACATACATACATACAAACACTAAAATACATACATACACACAGACATACAGATAGACACATACTGACATACATAAACAGATATACATACAAACACATACAGACATACTGACCTACACACACTCATACAAACAGACACAGACAGATACTGACATACATGCATACAGACACACACAGACATACAAACACATACATACACACTGACATACATACACTCATACACACAGACAGATACATACTGAAATACATACACATACATAATAAAATACATACATACAAACACACACACACACACACACACACACACACACAGACATACACATAGCTAAATTTTCTTACTTTTTTTGCAGGAGGATGGCCGGGGCTGATGGGAGTCGGCGTGGCTCTTCCCTCCTCGCGGCCTGGCTTTCTTCCCTCCCGCGCGTAGGGAGCTGGGAGGAAGTGACGGCCTCTTCCTCTCAGCAGTACTTTGCGGCTGCATATTTTTTAAGGGGCCCGGTCGCGCTATTGCACGGCCGCAGCGCTGACCGGGCCCCTGAAGATACAGGGCCCATCGGGTGGCCCTAAGTGCTGGGGGCCGGGTTCAGGACCCTGGCGGGCCGTAGTTTGAGGACCCCTGCTGTAAGGTCTTTTAAACAGAAGGTTGGGCACTTGTAATCAAGTATCGCATGATGTCGCAAACTGAGATTTGTTTAACACCCATCCCAACATCTCCGAACAGGAATGCAGAATACAAATACAAAAAGATAAGTCCTGCGCTAACTCCCATGACTCCTGGGCGGCAGCAACGACCACAGTACACATCAGCCACAGTACATATGTGGTGGAATCTCGGTAAAAATAAATTTAGTAGGCCGAGATTACCACGTGGCATGTGTACGTGCATATGCTGACGTATCGATCAGTTGGTTGCACGAGGCAAGATAAGATCAGTAGTGTACGGAGCATGTGCAAGAATACAGGATGTAGTATTCCCCTCCTCCATTGTGCTGGACAAGCCATGTGGTCAAGCAGGAAGTTAATTTTTATTTGTAATGATTGGTCAAGAGAATGTGCGGGTGGAGCTTAATATGGGAGGAGTTATGTGCCTATATAGGGAGCCTGCACTATTGTTCAGGGCTCAGAACTTGCTGTATTTTTGGTGACATTAGTCCCTCTGAGTCCCGATCGGTGATCCAACAAAGAATCTCTTCCTTCCTGAAGAAACCTGTGTCCATCCCTCTGTGCTTTGCTTCCGTCAGTTTCTCCGGTATCATTTGGTGCATTGGCTGGGAAGCTCATCGTTCAACGGTAGCTGAGAGGCAGAGGCGTGAGACGGTCTATCTTTGCCCACGTTCTCTACGGCTGCACCCCTGAACTTCTGCGTGGACCTCCCTTCGTCTCGGCGCCACTGGTCTGTTGTCCAGGAGATCATCGGCCTCTCCGTAAGAAGTGCTGGGGTGTCCCCGTCGATGAGTGTGAACTCAGGTTCAGGAACGAGGAGGTAAGACAACTGCTGTTTTAGACGGCAGACCCACTAGGGGTATACCGATTGTGCGGTAGGCCCAAAAGGGGTTTAAATCTGTGTATGGAATCTGCCCCCTCTGTCGGAGGGAAGGAGCGAAGGCGCACCGCTCGATCGAACGCTCTTTAGTAAGACCGTTTGATCTGGTTAGTCAGGCGGGGTCCTGTGTAAATAGCCCTAGCCGGACACCGGTGTCTTGTCTAGACTAGCGTTCTAGGGTGTATATTACGTTCGCTAGGTCGGAGGGACCGGGAGACTAAGCGGCGCCTGTGTAAATTCGGTTCGCTAGCTCTCAACCTATCTTGGCTAAGTGGGAAGGCGTGTAAATTTGGAACCCACTAGACTTTTGATAGAGTAAATAGACTAGAAGGGCAATTTTGTAAATTTCGCCCTCTAGTTCGCTATATGTGGTGTTTGGGCAGTGTGGCTAACCAAAAACGGGTGTATATAGTTTTAGGTAGTCCATTCAAGGTACTGGCCAATAGTTTAGTTGGGATTGTAAATGTGTTAAAGATTGTTAGTAAAGTGTATATCTTGTTAGATAGCGCGAGCTCAGCCGTCTAGCGAGAGTGTTAATAGTGTGTTGCTGTATCATAGTGCACGGTACCATAACCCTGTATATTTACTGACACTGTATATAAGTACTAATCATTGTCGTCTATTGCATGTTTAACACCGTAACCACTAATAATTGTATTGTGACCTTAAATTGTGCTTTGACCTATGCTAACCGTACTGTAACCGATACTAGTAAAAGACGATGTTACTGGGGTGTGTTATAGACGGGTAATTCATATATAGAGAATTATAGCGTGGGTGACTGTATAGTTTCGCCAAAGGGCATAATATTGATTATTTAGTGACTGGTGTAACAGCTGTGTGTGTACCGGAATTCCCTGAGTGATTATTGTGTTATTGTGTACGTTTCACTTGGTAACTGTACCACGTGGTGCTGTTGCCAGAGGAAACGGGTGTGACTGTTGAATAAGAACGCGTGCATAGTATTCGTTGTCAACGACGTTCCATTGATAAGTATGGGCGCGTCAGAGTCAACGATTTCGGATCCCTTAGGTTGTATGGTAAAGAATTTTAAAAAGGGATTCAAAACATGTGATTTTGGGGTTAAAATGTCTCCTGTACGTTTGGTCACTTTGTGCACTAGGGAGTGGCCTACTTTGGTTGCGGCATGGCCGCCGCGTGGCAGTTTGGATCCAACCCTGGTACAGCGTGTACACGTGGCTGTATCAGGTAGGCCTGAACTTTACGGACAGTTTCCATACATTGATTGTTGGAGGCAGGCCGTAAACGACTCGCCAAAATGGATCCGGATATGCCACGAGGAGCAATGTCGCCTCATGGTGGCCAGGACTTGTTTGTCCACTAGGACTGGTGTTAGGCCCATTTTGGACACGCCCCCTGAGTCCGAGATCCCTTTGCCGCCCCCTTACTTTCCTTTAAGAGGAAGTGACGCGAATGCAGGAAGCTCTGCACCCCTTCCCCTATTGCCCCCATCCACTTCCGCTTCCTCCTCCAGTACAGAATCCACCCCCCCTCGTATTAAAACTCCCCTTCCGGAACCAGGACCAACCCCCATTAGATCTGAATATCCTGATTTGGCGCCACTTCAAACTTCCGGTCAAGCTTCTTCTAGCTCGGCTCGGAGTATACTATTCACTAACTTTTCCCAAAATCAAGTTCCCACATCCTCATGCCCTATTACCTCTCGACCGGAACCTTTAACTGACGCCCCTCCACGTAGCCCCATACTAACCCGACAACTGACCGGTACCCAACAATTAAAACATTATCAGATGCCTCTTCGTCTGAATCCTGGGTCAGCCTATATCGATGCCGCAGGTCAAATGGCACATGCTGACCCAGTCTTCGTATATGTCCCGTTCACGACTACCGATCTCTTGAATTGGAAGACCCACAATTCCTCGTACACTGAGAAACCACAAGCTATGACCGATCTGTTCACCTCGATAGTTCAGACACATAACCCGACATGGGCTGATTGCCAGCAGTTATTAATGACATTGTTCAATAATGAGGAAAGGACAAGGATTAACCAAGCGGCCATTAAGGCGCTAGAGGAGAGAGCCCGTGCTTTAAATCAAGCCAATCCGGCAGCATGGGCCGCAACACATTACCCTAACACCGATCCTGACTGGAATGTAAATGGCGCAGATATGGCTCAACTTAAAGCCTATAGAGACGCTATAATTGCTGGCATGAAAGCCGGAGGGAAGAAAGCTATTAACATGTCGAAGACAGTTGAGGTGATTCAGAAAAGTGATGAAGCGCCCAGTGTCTTTTATGACCGATTATTGGAGGCATACCGCTTGTATACCCCCTTTAATCCGGAAGACGCTGATAATTCCCGAATGGTAAACTCCGCCTTTGTCAGCCAAGCTTACGGAGATATTAAGCGCAAGCTACAGAAATTAGAAGGGTTTGCAGGTATGTCTATCACCCAACTAATGGAGGTAGCGAACAAAGTATATATGAATAGGGAAACAGAAAGTAAGAAAGAGGAAGAGCGCAAGATGCGTAGAAAGGCAGATATGCTAGCGGTAGCGATCGCAGGCGTAGATAGACGGGGCCCAGATAGAGGCGATGGTAGATGGAATAGGGAGCCTTTGAGTAGGAATCAGTGCGCGTACTGTAAGGAAGAAGGGCATTGGAGGAACGAGTGTCCGCAAAGAGAGCAGTATGAGAGAGACTTACCCAGGGCAGGTTACGGAAACTTTAGAGGCAGAGCGAGAGGTAGAGGAGGCCCCGGAGGGAGTAATGGTAATAGAGGGAGTAATGGGAACAGAGGAAGTGTAAGGGAAGATAGGTACTATCCAGCAGCAAAGGTCCCGCGATAGAGAAGGTAGGGACTTTGTGGGATTGGCTGACACGGTCATGGAGGACTATTGATACCGACCGGGCTCCATCCCCCTTGGTCGAGCGGAGCCTATGGTCGATGTATCAATAGGGGGAAAAAGGAGTGCGTTCATGATCGACACTGGTGCTGAACATTCGGTGGTGACTAATCTAGTTGCTCCTCCATCTGGAAGAACTATTACTGTAATAGGAGCAACTGGAAGAAGTGCTGAAAAACCGGTTCTTAAAAGTCGACTCTGTACATTGGGAGGCCACGTAGTAAAACATCAATTCCTTTATATGCCTGAGTGTCCAGTCCAATTGCTGGGACGTGATATGCTATCCAAATTACAAGCGCAGATTACGTTCCTACCAAATGGAACAACATCCTTAAAGTTTAATGGACCTTCAGGTATTATGACATTGTCCGTACCAAAGGAAGAAGAGTGGCGACTTTATACAGTGTTGACTAGCCAAAACCCGAGGAGTGATGAATCCTTATTTAACATACCAGGAGTTTGGGCAGAGAACAACCCACCAGGACTGGCCCGCAATATTCCACCTATTAAAATCGAACTAAAACTTGGGGTTTATCCAGTAAGCCTGAGACAATATCATATTCCGCAGAAGGCTAAGAAGAACATCCAATCTTATCTGGATAAGTTCATACGGTATGGTATCCTAAAATTCTGTACTTCCCCCTGGAACACCCCATTGCTGCCTGTTCAAAAGCCCGGTACAGATGAGTATCGACCTGTGCAGGACTTGAGAGCAGTCAATGATGCGGTTGTTAGTATACATCCAGTCGTGCCCAATCCATATAACCTGCTTGCTTTAATTCCGGGCGGGGCTACTTACTTTACAGTCTTAGATCTCAAAGATGCCTTCTTTTGCCTCCGAATTGCCGCAGAAAGCCAATGTATCTTCGCTTTCCAATGGGAAAATGCTGTAACGGGCTCGAAACGCCAAATGACCTGGACAAGATTGCCCCAGGGGTTTAAAAATTCACCTACCCTATTTGGTTCAGCTCTAAGTCAAGATCTACTAGATTTCGAGTCTATCCCAGGAGAGTGTGTATTATTACAATATGTAGATGACTTGTTGATAGCAGCAGTTACAAAGGAAGTATGTCAGCAAGCAACGCACGATCTACTACACATTCTCTGGAAGGCAGGATACAAGGTGTCTAGAAGGAAGGCTCAGTTGTGTTTGCCAACTGTCAAATATCTGGGATTCCATATCTCTGAAGGTCAAAGAATTATGGGGCCAGAGAGAAAAGAAGCTGTGTGCCAAATACCGATACCCAGGAATAGAAGACAAGTGCGAGAATTCTTGGGGGCAGCAGGCTTCTGTAGGATATGGATTCCCAGCTACGCGATACTGGCAAAACCTCTGTATGCAGCTATCAAAGGTACAGAGCACGACCCCTTCTTATGGACTCAAGAACAGCAAACGGCATTCGAAGATGTGAAGAGGGCTTTGATGAGTGCCCCAGCATTAGGTCTACCTGACCACACACGGCCATTCTACCTGTATGTACATGAGCAAAGAAGAATGGCTGTGGGAGTATTGACACAGTACTTGGGATCATGGCAAAGACCTGTTGCCTACATGTCTAAGCAACTGGATGCAGTGGCCAGCGGACTTCCACCTTGTCTAAGAGCTGTAGCTGCAGCCGCCCTGCTAGTAGCTGAAGCCGATAAACTCACTCTGGGTCAAGAACTTTATGTACGAGTTCCACATGCAGTACAGACGTTGTTGGATTACAAAGGAAATCATTGGTTTAGTAACAGCCGTATGACCAAGTATCAAGCAATGTTGTGTGAAAACCCAAGAGTGCATTTAGAGACTGTAAATACCTTAAATCCAGCTACCCTTTTGCCACAACCTACTGAAAGTCAACATGATTGTTTGGAAGTAATGGATGAAGTATTTTCAAGTAGACCAGATCTTCGTGATTTTCCCATCCAGAACCCTGATGTTCAATATTACACCGACGGCAGTAGTTATGTAAAAGAAGGGATCCGCTATGCAGGATATGCAGTAACAACGATAGACAAGGTGATAGAAGCTCGGCCACTGGCAAAAGGAACATCAGCACAAAAGGCAGAATTGATAGCACTGACACGAGCGTTACAATTGGCTGAAGGTTTAAGAGTGAACATCTACACGGACTCCAAGTATGCGTTTTTAACCACTCATGCCCACGGAGCTTTGTATAAAGAAAGAGGACTATTGAATTCAGAAGGCAAAGAAATCAAATACGCAGCTGAGATCCTACAACTATTGGAAGCAGTGTGGGAGCCGAAAGAAGTCGGTATTATACATTGTCGGGCGCATCTGAGAGGAGATGGTGATGTAACCAAAGGGAATCGGATGGCAGATAGTGCAGCTAAGCGTGCTGCTGAATCAGGAAGACAGGAATATGTGGGGCATATAGCTGCTCTTATACCAACTCCACTGTCTCAATGGACTCCAATTTATACAGCTCAAGAAGAGGAGTGGTTAAGGACTGAACCTGGAAAGTATTTGGAGAACAAATGGTATCAGTTAGAAGATGGAAGAATAGTTATTCCAGCATCACTAGCGGTAGAAATTGTCCAAAACTATCATAACGGGACACATTCTGGGAGAGACAGTACAGAAGAATCTCTCAGAAAACATTTCTACATACCAAGATTGTCCAACTTGACTCAGGCCATTGTACGTAGATGTGTAACGTGTGCTAAAAATAATGCAAGACAAGGACCAGTAAAGCCACCAGGAGTCCAGTTTATGGGGGGACTTCCCATGTCCGATTTACAAATTGACTATACAGTGATGCCTAAATCGGGTGGACATCGCTACCTGCTGGTAGTGGTGTGCACCTATTCAGGCTGGGTAGAAGCATGTCCTACTCGTACAGAGAAAGCAGGAGAAGTCGTGAGATTCCTGCTACGAGAAATAATACCCCGATATGGACTACCCTGCTCTATAGGATCGGACAATGGTCCAGCTTTTGTTCATCAGTGCCTACAACAATTGACTCATATGCTTGGTATAAAGTGGAGGCTTCATACGGCATATAGACCCCAGAGTTCTGGTAAGGTAGAGAGAATGAATAGAACTATTAAGAATCAGTTGGCTAAAATGTGTCAGGAAACCCAACTTAAGTGGAACGCTCTCTTGCCCATAGCTCTATTGCGAATCCGTAGTACACCTACCAGAAGGATGGGCCTCTCTCCTTTTGAAATCATGTACGGGCGACCACCTCCCGTGCTTGGTAACTTAAGGGGGGATTTGAGTCAGTTGGGAGAAGGAATTACCCGGCAGCAGGTTGTAGAGTTGGGTAAGACTATGGAGGAGGTACAGAAATGGGTACAAGATAGATTACCTGTGAATATTTATCCCCCAATTCATAGTTACCACCCAGGCGACCAAGTGTGGATTAAAGAGTGGAATAATGTGCCGTTAGGGCCCAAGTGGAGAGGTCCTTATGTTGTTCTTTTGTCTACCCCTACAGCGATAAAAGTAGCCGAAGTGACTCCGTGGATACATCACTCCAGGGTTAAACCAGCAGCAGCCGATTCCTGGCAAGTTACAGCAAATCCAGAGAATCCCTGCAAGATCCGGTTAAAACGCACGACTCAGTCGGAGTGACGAGGAACCTTGTGGATTACAAATTTTATTGTTTCAGAGACTTGGTAAGTGAGTGAGAAGGCCATAATAAAGCCTGTCCACTCACCAACGAGTGTATAAGTCAGGGAAAGTCTTGAGGGGACCCCTGTGAAGACGAGCAGAACTCCATTCCCTGCAGCCCTTACATCCTGGAAGCTGAGGTGCCTTCGCACGGACGAAGACTGAGGATGACGACGAAAGATGTATTTTTAATAATGTTTATTTATGTGTATTTTTATATTCAGGAAGGTAGAGGTACCGACACTCCTAGCTGTGAGGTATGCATTAAGACTACAAGAACAGGTAACCATATATCCCAGACCCTAATTTGGCATTCGCAATATGAGTGTAAAGGAGATGTATCAAGATGTAGATACTTAAATATAGAATATAGTGTGTGTCATTTAGGAGTAGGAGAACCTAAGTGCTTCAGTCCTGAGTATCAACCCCGTACAATTTGGTTGACTCTCAGAAATGGAGATCCTCAGGGGACCCTAATTAATAAGACGGTATTAAATCCGTATATTCTTCAGGTGCTCTGCTATTTGATGCGTGTAAAGCAATATCAAGTGGTAGAAAGCCGTGGAATGTATGTGGGGATCTTAGATGGGAGAGGACGTATGGGTCTAACGATAAATATATTTGTCCCAGTAGTAAAATAAATATGTAAGTCCAAGATGCCCAAATAGAGATTATAACTTCTGCCCATATTGGTCTTGTGTGGGGTGGGCGACTTGGGGACAGACAGCAGACAAGGACATGATTGTGACTAAGTTGCCTACCGATCCATATTGTAAGTCTATGGAATGCAATCCAATCCATATACTTATAAATAACCCTGACAAGTTCTTAGATAAATATGGTAATTTATTTGGGTTTCAAATATATGGGACGGGTTTAGACCCTGGGACAATATTGTTTATAGGGATAGAGACTGATACGGTAACCTCCCAAACTCATCAAGTATACCATTCCTTTTATGAAGAGATGAGCATAGATAATAAGATCCCCCATAATGCTAAAAACTTGTTCATTGATTTAGCCGAAAGTATTGCCGGTAGTCTTAATGTTACCAACTGCTATGTGTGTGGAGGTACTAACATGGGAGACCAATGGCCTTGGGAAGCAAAGGAGGTAATGTCCGGTTCTGAGGCAGTTGACCAATTAATATCTACACAAGCCGACTATCATATGAGTGTTAGAGGTAAATCTGAGTGGAGATTGAAGACCTCCATCATAGGTTATGTTTGCATAGCGAGGAAAGGAATGATGTATAATACTTCTGTAGGAGAATTAACTTGTCTAGGGCAAAAAGCTTATGATGATGATACAAAGAATACAACTTGGTGGTCGGCTTCAAATGTCTCAGAACCATCTAACCCGCTTGCAAGATATGCCAATTTAAAGGACGTATGGTTTGATCTATCCATCACATCTAACTGGAGAGCCCCAGCGAATTTGTACTGGATCTGTGGTAAGAAGGCCTATTCGGAGTTACCACAGGACTGGGAAGGGGCATGTGTGTTGGGTATGTTGAAACCATCCTTCTTCTTGTTGCCTATTGAAACAGGTGAGACTTTAGGTGTTAAAGTGTATGATGTGAATCATAGGAAGAAAAGGGGACCCATAGAGATAGGTGCCTGGGAAGATAATGAATGGCCTCCCCAGCGTATTATAGATTATTATGGGCCAGCCACGTGGGCAGAGGATGGTACCTTTGGTTATAGAACCCCTATTTATATGCTCAACCGCATTATAAGGTTACAGGCGGTGGTTGAGATCATTACTAACGAGACATCACAAGCGCTCAATCTTCTAGCGAAGCATAATACCAGGATGAGGACAGCAGTTTACCAAAATAGATTAGCCTTGGATTATCTTTTGGCAGTAGAGGGAGGTGTATGTGGGAAGTTTAACCTGAGCAATTGCTGTCTTCAAATAGATGACGAAGGGCAAGCAATAGCTGAGCTTACTAGCCATATGGTTAAATTAGCGCATGTGCCTACTCAGGTATGGAAAGGGTACAATCCAAGTAGTTGGTTTGGTAGCTGGTATGAGTGGTTTGGAGGGCTTAAGGCAGTGGTAGGTGGAGTCCCACTGATTTTAATGTTGTGTCTACTCCTGCCGTGTCTTATACCCTTAGTAGTTAGGTCTGTGCAAAGCCTGATAGAAAATATAGCAGAGAGGAAGGCTGCTGCACAGATAATGGCAATTTATAAATATAAGGCTCTAGATCAGGGAGAACCAATGCAGGAAGACGAGTGTTGAAGATTCACATCATAGGATAAGTCTGGTCTGGTTCAAAGGTAACTTGTGGTGTATGCAAACCAAGGTTAAGTGATGCCTCAAGTAATTGTAAAATATCAAGAGGCATCAAAGGGGGGAATGTGGTGGAATCTCGTAAAAATAAATTTAGTAGGCCGAGATTACCACGTGGCATGTGTACGTGCATATGCTGACGTATCGATCAGTTGGTTGCACGAGGCAAGATACGATCAGTAGTGTACGGAGCATGTGCAAGAATACAGGATGTAGTATTCCCCTCCTCCATTGTGCTGGACAAGCCATGCGGTCAAGCAGGAAGTTAATTCTTATTTGTAATGATTGGTCAAGAGAATGTGCGGGTGGAGCTTAATATGGGAGGAGTTATGTGCCTATATAGGGAGCCTGCACTATTGTTCAGGGCTCAGAACTTGCTGTATTTTTGGTGACATTAGTCCCTCTGAGTCCCGATCGGTGATCCAATAAAGAATCTCTTCCTTCCTGAAGAAACCTGTGTCCATCTCTCTGTGCTTTGCTTCCGTCAGTTTCTCCGGTATCACATACAGTAAATACAAAAGAAAGTTACCTGTGCTCTCTCCTTAATCCCTATGTATATTTAAACAAATGGAGGTTATTTAGTTACTCCAATGGCCATTAAGGGATTAAAGAGAGAGCGCAGGAATGCAGAATGAATAGGAGAAGTAGTTTAAATATAATTTTTTTTCTTTTTCCTTAATGGTTTGATAAAATGCGGTTTATGTTTTTTTGCCACAAACAGATACAGACTCCCTTAAATACTGAACATTTGAGGTATTATTTGAGGTTTGAATCCCAAAACAGGCACCGTGCTTATACATGTTCCTAAAGAAATGTGACTTTGGGCCAGACATATTTGTAGCAATGAACATGCTTTCCTTGCGATTGAGGAATGTCGCCTAGCCATAGAGAATTACTTAAAAGGGTCAAAATGTGAGTACCCACAGTTACAGTTCAGCACCCTCACCTCCCTGGCTACTGGAGAATGACTGAGGGGTATAATGATGTCTGGAAGGTGCAGGTCATTCGGTCTTACGGATTGACACCTTTGTCACCTGTGTGTTTGGCAGATGAAGGCAGTGTATGCAGTATACATATGAATGTGGGGAAACATTCAATTATGTGATAATACACAAAAACATTATTTCATTATTTAGATGCATTTACACAGAAAGTGTCCATTATACTCATGGCAATTCATATGTCTCTGATTTGGGTCTGCACGCAGGAGTCATCTGTTTAAATATATACCTAATCCGTTCACTGTGAATGTTTATTGGACCTCCTATCGAGAGATTACAGGGAAAAATTCCATAGACAGACAGTTGCCTTAGTAGCTTAGAATATATATCTAGACACTATATAAACAAACATTTTACTCTACTGAGATTAATAAACGTCTGAATGTGCTCTTCATTTAACAGGAATAGCTGGAAGAAGGAATCTGCAGTCTGTTGTAAAGGGATGCTTCAATTTTATTCCTAGCTGGGAGATGAAATAACGCTGACTGGGGATTACATGCCAACTGTCAGCTAATGGTCACTTTGAGAATCGAAAACAAAAAGTAAAAAGGTAAACTACGTTGAAACACTACAGACAACACTGGCGTTGGGGCTGAAAGCGCCTATTTTTGTCTGTCTTCTGTAATTTACTTTAACCTAAATAAATATAAAACAGTGGTACTTCTAGAATAAAGCGGCACTATAAGCACTATAGCAACCACTAGTCAGTGCCTTATTTATGTTGACATCCTGAAAACCAAAAGCAACACAAATAAACAATGCTCTCCTGGGCAGTCAAAGATCACCCGTTCTTGGCTGCAAGGACAATGTCGAATTTATACTTCTGCATAATTAGTGTTCATTTTGTCCAAACAGAGCATTGATAGGAGTGTTTAGCTTAACTGCCCCAAGAGCTCTAAACCTAAATTGCTGTTCATGTGGGTAAAACTGACATAGATAATGCAGATGTGTTAATTCTACAAAGTGCTTTGAAGTCAGTTAGGGGACTTTGGACCATAAATCACACCCTGTAAGTAACACTTGGTAAATTATAGTAGAAGGTTGCCTCTCTACTGAGCCATAAAAGCATGGTGTACCTTGCGGGCAGGGACCTGACTATGTAGCCAGACAAGACGTGTTTGAGAAGAGCTCCTTACCAAAGCTTGATTATCCGGATTATATTGTTATTAGCCCGAAGCTTGCATTCTAGCGACTACTTTCCTGATCTACTTAACAGAATGGAACCCACGCTGCAAATCTGAGCTTTCACTCATTCCACAGAATGAGTTCTTGACCTGCTCGGCCCACAGGGGCCTTGGTATGGAATATGCGTCCCATCTCCCAGCCTGCAGCTGTTAATGCCTCTGAGGCGTATGGTTGGTGCCTAGGAATTGCCTACCCATGCTACTGGGCCCTAAACAGTCGGAATGCTCTACTTACATCAAGCAACCTAAAATGGCTGCAGACTTGACTGTGACAGAGTCCTCAACAGAGGCGAAGTTTATCGCGGCACATCATCCATATTCCCTGGGCGATCGCTCTACAAAATAGAATGTCTTGGGGCAATCAGACGTTTAGTGAATGTTCCTAAACAGGCCTGGGACTGGGAGTGCGGATCTGGGGGGGAGCAGGCATGTCTATCATGTGGATTTGAGCCAAAACGCCCCATACATCTTCTCCTGCCCAGGCATCGGTTGAACAACCACAACAACCTGACAGATGCTTTGAGCTACACTAAAATGGTAGACTTCCATCTTCTGTTTAATATTTTTGTTAGTCTTAAAAAAAATAATAATAAATGTAAATACAAAAATCAACCAAATGCTAATATACCGTATGTTGAAATAGAGAGGCATACCATCCAGCCCCGATAATCAAACTGAAGAGTGAGCAAACTGATGGCAAAACAATATACGGTAGTGGTAGCTATAGTGGTGAATGGTTTAGAACAGTCACATCAATCTCTAGGCAATGGATAAAAGCAAAAGATATTTGCATTCCATTGAAAATAACTCTTTGGGAATTTGTGTATCTGTTTTACACCTGAGTGCAGCATAGTCTCAAACAGCTCTAACCAGATCCATTTTTCCGTGCAGTTTCATCATATCCTGAAACAATAGCCTCAGAGAAAAAGAAAGAATAAAAGAAAGTCAAGAGAGAGAGAAAGTAGCAACTCAAAAGGAGCATAAAATGTAATGCATCTAGGCCAGGTAACTGCTACAATACATGCATCCTCGTCAGTGTAATGGAGACCAGATGGAGGGTACTCGGCACCACTATGCATGCTACACAAAGTTGTTATGGTGCTTACAGTGCCTCTTTACAGCTAAAGCGGTATTTCAATTATAAAAACCTATGCTTCTTGCACAAGCTGCCGTGCACATTGTGTATATACAAAAATTACAACAGCTATATGGTAACTTACAGATGACGCAAGAAGAACCGTATGCGTCTCCTTCATCCTGTACCCATAGCACACACTGTCCAAGTCTTTCCCTCCTATAAATGTGACTTCCAGAATGAGAAAGTAGCTGACAGTTATCAGCAATTGCTTAGTTTGGGCAGAGCTCACTACAGGTAGCTGTAAACCCTGGGGATTTTGCAATAAATGCTGAAACGTGAAAAATTATTTTTATGGTTACTTTTATTGCACTCAAATGAATGCATTAAAATGGGGATTAACTCTAAACTGTCGAGTCCCTTTAAAATCACACATCAATCAAACTTCAAAAAAAACATTGTTTTTAACATATTGCTACAAACAAACAACTTTAAAGATAATAGAAACCGTGATAAAACGTGTTACATTGAACAAGAACAGTAGCCAAAGGGGAAAACAAATAAATAAAGCAAAATACGTTTCCTCCAGATTTAACAGATTATTGAATAAACAGCAATTATACAATTATCTTTTATTCATAATGCACTTACATATTCAACAGTATAAAGCTTTAGACAGACAATTCAACAAGTAGAAACCTTATAAACAATACAACTCTGGGAGCGATTAAACAGCATCTATTAATACTACAGTGTGTTTATAATAAATAGCCAATGTATTAAACTTAAAGGGAGCTAGCACAAGAAATTAACTTCTCATAGGTTGTATCAAATTTTAATACCATACTTTTCAGGTAGTAATTGGATAAAGCTTTGGTATGGGTGTATTGCCCCCCTGCAGCCAGAGCGGCTGTGTTTCCTGAGAATTCTGTCTGACTGCATGGAACACTGGTGGCAGCCAGACATGCATTGTTTAAAGCAGGACAAGACCCTTGCTTAGTTAGTTTTGTTTAAACAGTAACGTTATGAAAAAAAATATTTAAAGGGTGCATGTTGTGCCCAACAGCCTTTTCTCTTCTTAAAGAGCATTAATGTCTATCTATACATTGTGTTAGCAGATTTGCAAACAAATGTATAGAATGGGAGACAATAAAAACTATTTAAAATAGGTCTCTCTCGCAACCCACCTGTCAGTCAATTCTTCTGCACAGACTTTATTTATGCCAAAGAATTGACTGAAGAGGGAGAGCAGAAAAGACCTTCAACAGGTATTCTTCTGCTGTCCATACACAGCAACCACAGAGTATGCCCAGTAGTTGCTATAGCAACTTCCAAGCCAACGCTACCGGCATGTTGGCGTTACGGTGGAGGTTTGTGCTGCGTGGGGAAGGGTCCAAGCAGAGCAAACCTCAGGCAGACCGAAAGTGGGAGTTATGATAAGAGTAACACCCATAATTTCAGTATATCTCAAAACCTTACATTGAATACATAATGTATCTTTGTGCCTCCCGACAATCAAACCGTGAAGGGAAGCAATATCACAATGTTTGCATCTCCCCTCCTCATTTGCAATTTGTGCTGTGCCGGTGCCGAACTGTTTTGAGATGTTATTTGCAGCATTTTTAATACAATGTAAAACAAAGATGGAGCATTGCATGAAAGAAAATGAAAACAAGTTATAGGTGATGTGCAAAGTTAAACTGACTGGTGTAATTTTTAGAAAGGAAACTGCTTAATTTTAAAGGGACACTATAGTCACCAGAAAAACTACAGCTTATTGAATTTGTTCTGGTGAGTAGAATCATTACCTTCAGCTTTTTGCTGTAAACATTGTCTTTCAGAGACATTCAGTGTTTACATTACAGCCTAGGGATAACTTCACTGGCCAGTCCTCAGATGGCTGTTAGAGATCCTTCCTGGGTCGTGGCTGCCTAAAATGCATCCAAGCATTCATTGTCTCCACCCTCTGCATGCAGACAATGAACTTTCCTCATAGAGATTCATTGATTCAATTAATCTCTATGAGGAGATGCTGATTGGCCAGGGCTGTGTTTGAATCATGCTTGCTCTGCCCCTGATCTGCCTCTTTGTCAGTCTCAGCCAATCATATGGGGAAGCATTGTGATTGGATCAGACCACCACTTATGCTGCAACAACTACAACTTGTTTTTCTGAGGCACACAGCATGCAGATCTAGAGCTTCAGGCTTGAATACAGTAAGATTTTGCTACATTTATGGAGGCATGAGGTGGCCAGGGGGATAGATGGTGGGTTTAACACTATAGTGTCAGGAATACATGTTTGTGTTCCTGACCCTATAGTGATCCTTTAACTCCTATCACTGCAGTAAACATATTGTCTGCAAAGGTAGTTCAATGGGCTTCCACTTCACTTAATTATACCAGATCATCTTGTTTATTGTACAAAACATGACGTAATTCAATATAGAAATGACTTATTAATATATAGTACTTTCCGGTCCTTGATGGGCAGCATGGGACTGAGGACAACCACACAAGAGCAAATGAAAGTGGAAGAGAACCAAAATCCTATGTAATGCTTTTAAAGAAACGGTTTACAACTTTTGAACAACATTGAAAATGTTATGCTGTCAGGAGCTACCTGGTGCTTCCTTATCTCAAGGGATTAAACCATTCACGAACAGTTTAACCACAAAGAGTACAATCCAGCTGTTCCCAATAACAACCTGTGTCTCAGATCCATATAAAGGAAGCAGGGACTGCTGCCGGGCAGGGGCGCCGCTGATCGGCTTAGGACGTTTAGCTGACACTCTAAGCCAATCAGCAGACCACTTAATTATAATTAAAAATTTTTTAATGAATAGAGAGATACTGATTGGCTTAGACCGCTCTAAGCCAATCAATGACGTCCTTACATAGCAGCAGCCTTTGCTTCCTCTATCCAAATTTGGGAACAGCCAGGAATGCCGCTCGGATTGCAATCTTTGGGGTTAAACTGTTCGTGAACGGTTTAACCTTTCGATATAAGAGAGGGCCAGAGACCTCCTGGCACCACCACAACTTAATTTCTATGAAATTGTGATCGTGCTCAGTACAATAAAACACATTCATGTAAAGTGTCTAAGTGTACTGCAGAGCTCCAAAGCAAGAAAACTCACAGTGTTGAGTGTAATGGCTGAGTGTGGTTGTGTGTGGAGGCTGGCTACGTGTGATTGTGTTGGGGGTTGGCAAGGCGTGAATAGATTTTGGGTTGGCTGAAAGTAACGGTGTGTGAGGATGTTAATAAAAATTTTTAAAAATTATATATCACATATAATAGTAATATAAGGTAAAAATGGATGTCAGACACACATACACAAAAAGTCATAGTGGCAGAGGGAGAGATTTTTCAAAATATTACTGACATTTTTTAAGTCTAATTTTTAGCACAAATCTGTAAATTTTTCTTATCTGTTGCTACTACTGAAACCTTTGTCGTTTTTGGTGTAATACAACACATTTAGCGATCTCTCAACTGCATTTTCCAACAGAAAATGGTCTGTTTGACTTCTCTTTTTTTCTGCCATTCTAAACTTGGCAGACGTCCAAAATGGAAATTTCAAATTTACGAAGAAAATTGTTATGAAAACAGATCAGCATTACTTTTACCGATTTGTAGGTGTGACACCTCCCACGTGGGCTAGTGCCTTTATAATTTCTATTTTCAGTAAACGGAGGTAAAAAAAAAACATGGGGTAAATATGTAATTATGGGACAAAAATTATATTATATTTCTAACTCGTTGAATAGGGCAAAAAAAAATATATATAAAAAATATATAGATATCTTCAAAGTTACCTTTATTGCACTGTTTAGTGCAAGGCTCGACAAATCCCAGGCGCCAGGTCGCCACAGCGACTAAAAATTTCACCCTGGTGCCTGGGATGCGGCTGCCCTGAGGAGCATGGTGGCGGGTGGGCGGCCACCCTGAGCAGCATGGAGGAGGCGGACGCCCGCGGGAGCATTGTGGGCGGCGCGCGAGGGAGCAGTACTCTGCCTGTAGCTCCTCTCTGCTCCCTGAGGTTTAAACTCTCCCAAAGGTAGGGAAGCTGAGTGGGTTACAATTCAAACAAAAATGTGTGTGTGAGTGAGAGAGCGAGTGTGTGTGTGTGTGTGTGTGAGCCTGTCAGTGTCTGTATGTATGTGTGTGATCGTTGTCAGCGTAAGCCTGTGTTTGAGCCTGTCAAGAGACTGTGTGTGTTTGTGCGAGTCTGTCAAGAGACTGTGTGTCTGTCAAGAGTTTGCACCTGCCCCCTCCGATTGACTATCACATGGTGCAGCAGTGACCCAGGACTCGCTAGTGACCTTCTGAGTGACTGTTACTAGAAGTGTTACTAAGCAGCAATGTAAATTCTGCCTTTTTACAAAAAAGGCAGTGTTTACACTAAAATGCCTGCAGGGACAGGCTATAGACACCAGAAAAACTACATCAAGCCGTAGTAGTTCTGGTGACTATAGTGTCCCTTTAAGAATTGCATTTTCTCATTGAAAATGACAGGCTCCTAGATTCCAAACAAATTTGTCAAGGCCTGGTTTAGTGAGCTTGCCTGGCCAGCACAGGATTAATGGATGGGTCAACCAGCAAGGACAGCTCCACTTATCACATTGGAGGAATTGACTGTAACTGGCTGGCAACCCGAATTATGTGCCGCTATGAGTAGAATCACTGTGCGCGCATGCGCTGTCATTGGCGCGACTCTCTCATAGGAGGAGAAAAGTGCAATCTAATCTGTGCATGAGCTGGGCAAAAATTGGTCCAAATGAACAATTCTCTCTCCAGGCTGCCTGATTGATAAGTCTGATGGGCATGCTTACAGCCATAAATTATAATCCACTCTCAGAGCAGAGGGTAGGCTCAGAGTGCTCAATGCACCATCAGCTTTGCAAAAAGGAAGGAACCTAAAAAAACATATCCTTATTATCAATGAGTCATATTCCTGCATGCAGTAGGAAGCCGTGCCTCTACTTTTCTTAGTATTTGTATCTAAACGGAACATTTTGTGTTTGTGAACATGTTACTTTCTGCTGAACGGAAAAGCATGTTTAAACAGACAAAGTCCCTTGCTGAACTATAATCCCCACCTTTCTCTGGCATCCATGAAAAAAAAAAGCATAATGAACTATCAATATTTCTATTATTGGCTTTGTACGGGAGTCTTAAAGTATATATATAAAAAAATAAATTATAATGATCGAGTGTTTTTTACACTATTAGAAAATATGATCTACATTGGCCTTCCTGCCTGGCTTCTTCAATTTTATTTCCATAATGTATTTTAACTGGTGCAGAAAAGAAAGGATAGAAGATCTGGTGCAGGAAAGAAAGGATAGAAGCACTTAATGAGTGCATATATTATTATATATAAAAGAAATAAACAGCAGATTGCACAAGACCATGATTTCCTTTGACTATGCATTTTTGGAAAATAGTAGAACCACAAGTGTTTAATCGTCAATTTTGTTGCATTTCCCTCATTCCAGGATACATTTTTATTACTTTGGTAAAAGAGGAACTATCATCAACTAAGTTCACAGTCCCTCTTGAGAAATAGCTGAAAAATGCTTCAAATAAAGTTTAAGATTTTAGTTGAACGTTTAAAAAAAAAAAAAAAAAAAATCTTACTATAGCACCGATTTTAATACTCCTTTGGCTAATGTAACATTATCTTGGGTAACAGGTTCACCTGAGTAAGGCTGCCATTGGTAAATAAAAAAGGGGCCAAGGCATATAGGCTTTCACTACTGACTACAGACTGTACTATGATAGCCTCAAAATATAAATTGTACAATGACCACAGTGGCACTGCTTTGTGAGAAAGAAAACTATACATTATAAATGAGACTTACACAGAACAGCCACAGCACCGGACTCAAACATAAGACATTCCTCCTTGTTCCTTGCCTCCACAATTAAACTGAATGGAGGAGGATCCAGCTTGTGAAAGATCCTGTATCCTTTGCTGAAAGCCATGGTGTTCTAGTCAAGGGGGACCTGTAATGCAAAAATAATAAAATAATTTCTGGTAAGAAGACACAAGGAAAAAAGCTGCACGGCTCTGTGAAAAGATTATACATTACAGGGAGTAACAGGGAACTATAAATAAGAAAATCAAAGTGTTTTACCAGGAAAGAAGCAGAATAGATTTTATATCATGTTTCACGGATGCCCTGAGGTACGGTACTCATTTAGCCAACTCAGAAAGATGAAAGGCTGAACCAACCCTGCAAGGAATGAAGCCTGCAACCATAAGGTTTGAACAGGTTCAGCGGTCAGTGCATGGAAATATAGAATCTGCTATTGTGTTTCACTCTCTGGCATATCAGAGATGCTAGATTTGTCTGCTAAATGCAGCTGATACAATATACAGCTAAGTAGCTGGACTGAAGTATACATTTCATGTATTTATTTTTTTTGTAAATAAGTCTTTTCAGGACTGTAAGCAATCTGAAAAACCCAGTAGTTGTCTGCACAGTTTGCACTCTGATTCTATAGATCATTATTTTATTAATGATACGTACCAGTACTCTGTCACAGCATATAAAACGTACAATGTCCGTAAAGCAGAGTAACACAAGCCTTTTCTCCATAGTATTGTACCAGAGTTAAGGAATCAATAATCCCCCAAACAAAACACGAGTTTAGTCAAAAAGGGATCTACAGCTATATTTTAAGAAGAACCTTTATGAAATGCTTGTTCATTATAGTCTTAGATTAGAGGGGCAAAGGTATAATAACAACAACAACAGGAAGTATTACTTTACTGAGAGGGTAGTGGATGCATGGAATAGCCTTCCAGCTGAAGTGGTAGAGGTTAACACAGTAAAGGAGTTTAAGCATGTGTGGGATATGCATAAGGCTACACTAACTATAAGATAAGGCCAGGGACTAATGAAAGTATTTAGAAAATTGGGCCGAATGGTTCTGATCTACCGTCACACTCTGTTTCTATATTTCTATTATACAAGTTTTCAATTTAATCGTTTAAACCTCAATAAAGTGGCATATTCTTTTAAAAAACATATCAAAAATGAATTGCTCCAATAACCATGAAGATATCCGACAAAAACTATTTATTAATATCTGGCATGCATAAAACAGGAATCCTTCTCAAATCAAACCAGAAACACTATTCTAGCCACATGAATTTTATCATTTATGTGCAGATGTGCGTGGAGACCATGCCATACTAAAGAAGACATAAAATACAACATCATAATGTATAAAATGCCTCAGTATCTATAATACAGTCCAGAATTAAACGGGTAATTTAGAAATGTAAAATACTTCATTGTAGAATACGCTGTAAGACTAATGAACTATTCCTCGCATATAATAGTTTAAAAGAAGAGGACTAACACAAACATTACCACACAGTTTATGAACACAGACAGCCTCCAAATGATATTCAATATATAATTGTCGTTATTTAGGAAATGCCCAAAAATTCCACAGAGCTGTACAAAATCATACGAGGAAGTCATTCAACATAAAGTCCATTTAATTTATTTTTTTTATTCAAAGGACTATTCCTTAAACAGGAACTTGTGAACAATTTACAATTGGACTGCAAGTTTTAGGCCCAAATAAAAAATAAAAAAATGTCTAGCTATATTAGCCATATTCAATCTCCCTAGTCCATCTCCACCAACTCCAGTGCAATCAATTCCCTTTACAGAACACCCTAAACAGGCCACTGTATTACACAGGCAATATAAACCTTGTAATAATGTTGGTGCTTGCTTACAATAAAGGACAATAATGTGAGCATGCCAACCATCTGCCAACCAAAACCACCCCCATCTATGGCTACATGTATTCACCCATATTAAAAAAAAAAAAATTGAAAAAAAATCCTTACAATTGGAAATGCCCTTAACCCCTTCAATGACCCCAGACATTGATCCCCTGAGATTGAATAATAAACCCAATATTAATTATTATTGATTATTGATTATTATTATGTTCCCCCAGGCTGTAAAGCAATAATGACAGCCCAGCATGGTGCTATCCACTGCCCAGGGTCCTGGAGCTGGCCAGAGCTCTGACAGGCTAGTACAATGTGCCAGTGCAAGGCACCCTCTGGCACTCCACATACTGAGGACTACATTTCCCATGATGCTCAGCAGAGCTCGGCCTGGCAATGTGAAAGGGTTAAAGGCTCCCTGACAGCTCGCCAAACCCCCGCTATCCCATGGCCAGGGCACGGCCAGCTACAGCCTGTCTGCAGGGAGAGCACCTACCGGGGGGCGGGAGATGGAGCTCCGGTGGCCGGTACCAGCTGACTGACGGTTCCTGGTCCCAGCGTGAGCGCGCTCGCGGGTCTGCGCACGCAGGCTCCACCTACCGACTCCGGCCACGCCCCCTTGGATTAAGCCGTGCCCTGGACTCGTGGGCGGGGCCGGGCTAGGAGACGCTAGGGCGTCAGGGCAGCTGTGGCGGCCATGTTTGAGACTGGCACAGCAGGGTTTCTGCAGATGGAGTGCCTATAATGGGATTAATATTGGGGTTTCAGATAGCAGAGGGTTTGCACTGGTTTTAATGAAACAGAGGGGATAATATTTTATATAGCATTTATTATCCACTGGTATAATGTGAGGAGCTGAGCAGGTGTACACAGGGACAATAATCCTATTTACTAAACTGGGAATTGTGGAGGAGTGACCCTGGGATGAGCTATGGCAGAGATAAACCTCCATACTGAGAGCATTATAGCAAGGGATGGCCAGCATTAAAAAAACAAACAATTATTTCTTTCCAATGTAAATATTTTGGGTTATTCACCAAATGTATTGACAAGGTGGATGTGTTTCAATGTTGTGGCTGATCAGGGTACAGCTAAATGTGTCATTTCTGTCCTAATAGAATACAATCCACCAGAATGTAACTAGTATCTGTAATTGTTTGGAAGAAATGAAGATCCCATTGTACAGCGCTACGGTATCTGATGGCGCTATATAAATAATAATAATAATGGGTAGATATCACCTCACTTTCTCCTGCCAAGGTCTCACCAACCTGTTGCCTAAATGAGTCTTTTAAAACAAATGGAGACACAGGTCAACTAAGTCCTTTTTAAATATCACAGGTAAGCGGTACTTGCTGCTAACCTGACTGAAATCTTATTGCTTTCTGGTGGTAATATCATTAAAAAGTATTAATTGCTGGCCCTGGCCATTTGTCTCTTAAAGGAAAAAAAAAAAATCTACTTGAGGATAGAGTTTGCCAATGTCTTCATGAGGTGGGGCAGACATGATCATTCAGATTTTGAAGTTGACAGTCATTTATTCCTAAATAAATAATGCAAACTATTCCAATTTATAAATTAACCCCTTAAGGACCAAACTTCTGGAATAAAAGGGAATCATGACATGTCACACATGTCATGTGTCCTTAAGGGGTTAAGCCAAGCTCGAGGCCATAAAACGTATGAAGACCACTCACCAGAAAGATGGTCTCTTCTAACCACCTAGGTTGGGTAGGTCATTGAAGAAATGTCAAGCTGGCTTTTAGAGTGGAAACTTACTGGATATCGCACTCACAAAGTAACCCAGGTGCTCCGAAACCAGGGCTGGCCAAGCCACCCTTCCAGAAATGTAGAGTAAATAATGGTTCAGGCACTCCGGGATAACAGAAAATAGCAGATTTAGTGGGGCAAAAACAATGTTTCTACTCTTCTGGGTCTTTATCAAAGTTTTTATGTTAAAGTCATGTTTGAGATAAGGGTATTTTTGAAACCAGCACATAAAAACTAGACATATCCATTTCGTTTCGTTTCATGCTTCTGAATGTCCGAAATGCCAAATTTCGGAATGCTGAACCAAAGTGCCAAATTTTGGAACTGCCGAAGTTCTTCGGATTTCTGAAAAGTGGCAAAACAGGAGAGGTTTGGGGTAGGTTTAGAGTAGGGTTAGTGGTTGAAGTAGGGGTAGGGTAACCCTATTTCTAACCCTAACTGTACCCCTAACCCTGCCATAACCCTACTACTAAACTAACTCTACTCTAACCCTATTACTAAATTAACCCTACCTCTAACCCTACTCCTAAACCTACCCTAACCTTACCTCTAACCCTGACCCTACTCCTAAACCAACCCTAACCCAACCCTTAACCCTACCCTAACCCTACACTTACCTGAAGTTCCAAAGTGCCCAACCAAAGTGATGAAGTCCCAAATTTCGGAATGCCGAACAGAACCGAATATTTTTCCCATGCACATCCCTAATAAAAACTTACTCTATTAACATTTCAATTAAAATAGAATTTAAAATGTTATGTGTTGTTAAACGTGTTGTTTATTCTTCAAAGCATAATTCAGTTTGTTTTAAAAGAAAAATGGCTTTAAAAGTTATTCCAATCATAAACACTGGTTTGGGTAGATTAATCCTTTGTGATGTACCCCCTCAATAAAAATTTTTTAAAAACTAAAACATACTTCCAGACCTCCTTTGGCTGACGTCAGACTGAGGGGAGAAAAGGGGTGGCATGGAGGGAGTGGCTCCAGAACGCTGTGTGTGCTGGCATTAGATGCCAATTTTGCACAGATTTGACATTAGCAGGAACGGAGCTTTGCTCTGAGCTAGGTAAAGATGCTGCTGGAAAGGGAGTTACACCTTCGGAAGCTACGGGGTCAATCTCTGTATGTGCATTGTTTCAAAGTAGGGATCGACTGATTATTGGTCTGGGCGATATTATCGTCCGATATTCTGTATTTTCAGCAATATCACCGATATTGCCGATAATGCAGACCATGGCCGCCATCAGGGTCCTGGGGGGCCCAGCACACTCTTACTTACCTTCCCAGCAGCTTTCTTCAGCTCCCCTGTCTAACTCTCACTAGTCCCGCGACCGTCAGGGCGGTGACACGGGTTACCATGGCAATGCTGCGCAAGGCACACAGGCTGCGAGAGTTGGACAGGGGAGCTGCTGGAAAGCTAAGTAAGAGTGTGCTGGGCCCCCCAGGAAATGCCATATCCACACCCCCTGGCCAGGTAAGAGGCAGGGTGGAGGGGACTAAAAAAAAAAGTTACAAAAATAAAAATGCCCCCCCCGGTCCAATTTACACAGTTAACATACCTACACAAACACTCACTGCACAAACACACACTACACAAACACACTTACTATGCATTAATTATATACACACACTACACAAACACACTGCAGTCACTATACACACACTACACAAACACACACACTCTGCATTCATTATATACACACACTACATAAACACACTGCATTCGCTATACACAAACTACACACACACTGCATTCATTATATACACACACTACACAAACACACTGCATTCATTATATATACACACTACACAAACACACTGCATTCAGTATACACACTACACAAACACACAAACTGCATTCATTATATACACACACTACACAAACACACTGCATTCAATTTACACACATGCACTGCATTCATTATATATACACACTACGCAAACACACTGCATTCAGTATACACACTACACAAACACACAAACTGCATTCATTATATACACACTATACACACACACTGCATTCATTATATACACACACTACACAAACACACTGCATTCACTTTACACACACTACACAAACACACTGCATTCATTATATACACACTCTACACAAACACACTGCATTCACTTTACACACACTACACAAATACACTGCATTCACTATTCACACACTACACAAACACACACTATGCATTCATTATATACACACACTACACAAACACACACACTCTACATTCATTATATAAACATTACACAAACACACACTGCATTCACTATATACACATTACACAAACACACACACTGCATCCACTATACACACACTATACACACACTACACAAAAACACACTCTGAATTCATTTGATAAACACTACCCAAACACACACTACACAAACATACACTGCATTCACTATACACACACTACACAAACACACACTGCTTTCATTATATACACACTACACAAACACACACTGCATTCACTATACACACACTACACAAACACACACTCTGCATACACTATACAGACACTACACAGACACACTGCATGCACTGTACACACTACACAAAAACACACTCTGCATTCATTTTATAAACACTACCCAAACACACACTGCATTCACTATACACACACTACACAAACACACACTGCATTCACTATACACACACTATACACACATTACACAGACACACTGCATTCACTGTACATACACTACAGAAAAACACACTCTGCATTCATTATATACACACTACACAAACACACACTCTGCATTAATTATATACACACTACACAAACACACATTGCATTCACTATACACACACTACACAAACACACACTCGACATCCACACACACACTGCATTCACTAATCAAATACTCTCACTGCATCCACTACATGCACATATATTCTTGAAAACAAAAAACATTCTGACCGGCATGTATATTTTGTGCATTTACCTTAATAAAAAAAAGATTTACAAATAAATAAATAATAAACATGTTCAGTTAACAGTAGATTTGTGTAGAAATAGTTTTTTTTTTAAAATGGTAAATGTACAGCGTATCGGTATTGGTAAGTTATCAGCTATCAGCCTGATAGTTTGCAGATTATTGGTATCGTTCGATCCCTATTTCAAAGCAAAATTAGCACATACAGACTCCAGGCACCATGACCACTTACAGGGTCATGGTGCTTGTAGCAACCCTTTAATAATATAGACAGCAGCCTTTTGAAAAAGCAAGTTCTCCATTTCCAGCTAAATTATGTTAATAGCGTGCATGCAGAGTACACACATGCAACTTGTACTCTCTACTTGGAAAACCAAGTGGCGGACCACACATGCAAGGTTGACAGCTCTGCGAATTAATTAGCTAAACTGTGAACCAGACGGTGCGTAAAGTGACATCAGCCATGTATTGCTGTTATCAGTTTACAGTTTCACCCTATCTATATCATGTGTGGAACTGCTACTGGGGGATAAATTACATATTCCACGATCCTTTGCAGGACACAAGTTTCAGAGAGCAGATCCCGTAGATCAGAGAGTCTCTTGATTGGGAGTTGTGGGCCTTTTCTTGGTGAGGAAAATTATGAAGTATATAGGTATTTGTGATTTTATACCCCCATATACAAAACAAAATAAGGGATCGGTTTTAAAGTATACATTCCCTTTAACATTTGTTGCTCACCTGAATTTTAATAGTTCTGCAGATTGGTATTAAACAATTTATTTAAAGGAACACTATAATGTCAGGAATAGAAATGTGCTAAAAACCCATTTTAGGTATGCACACCCGAGGTGGTAATGCGGTCACAACGTGAAGCGGAGTGGCCGTTACACCTCGGGTGTGCATTATTTTTTTCTAATAATTCAACGGCCTGGAGTCAATTATTCTGCTTATACTACATTTACCGCACCTCGAAACATTGTTCAGATGATGTATTTCAAGACGTTTGTCAAGTTTTTGTAATTAAAATGCTCTTGTATGTAGGACTAATTTCTAACGCAACTCTAATGTGGTTAAGACCTGTCTGGAACTACTTTAGTCGTGCATCTCCCTGAAAATAATGCACACCTTAGAACGTTCGTCAACCAATGAAGCATTCAACGGCCCTGTAGTATAAAAAGAACATAACGTAACAAGAACTTAACTAGAGAAAAAAAAAAAGATATACCATGATAGTAGCTATTAATAATGGGTATAGGAGATATTTCTGTTGGCTGAGTTGTGGTTCGGTTGGCTGCAGCTGGATCCCTGTGCAGAGCCAGGGTGTTTGGTAAGAGGACGGTATGGGGTATAGCGTGTGCAAGCTAGGAGAGAAAAGAAATGGGAGTGCCCTAAAGCATTCTTAGTGTGTGGGTCTCCAGTCCAGGCTCCTTTGTTGGCTTACAGCCGTGACCTGGGTTGAAGACTTTGGGTGTCTTCGTTAGGTGGGCGTCCCTTGCTATACTCGGCTGTAGTGAGGTTTCGATTTCTCTCATTGCTGGGAGGTTTGTTGTTGTGCTTTACACAATTCTGCTTTGCATTTGTCTAGTGCACTTTATAGGGTTTTGATTGGTAGATGAGAAGAAAACAATTAGGAAAGAAAGGAAAAAGAAAGGTAGTTGGTCCCCCCCCCTCCCCAGGTTTGTGAATATTTCAGCTGTTAAGGGTATAAGGTAGTGTCTGTTGGCGTGTTGGGGTAGTCAGACATGAGTAGTTCTAATTGGAGTGGAGGCTCGTTGAGCCACAGGTCCCAAATCTTGTAGAAATGTTTTGAAATTCTATTGCTTCCTTTGTTTTGCGGATGACTGTCTGTATTGTGGGTATGTTTGGTGCCAGGGCTGTCCTGTTTGTCAGTTTGTTTTGGGCTCTGGTTAATGGGTCCGAGGGTTTGGAGAGGAGCCAAATCCACGGGTCTAGTGGGATGGCTATCTGCAGGAGGTCCGAGACCAATTTGGCGACTTCTGCCCATAATGGGATCAGCTTGGGACATTGCCACCAGAGGTGTATATACGTTCCGCATTGTTTCCAGCATAGGTCCGAGGCTGACCTACCCATTCGGAATAGACGTGTGGGTGTCAAGTACTATCTGAGCATGGTCTTATAGGCCTGCTCCTTATGGTTCACACATGGTCTCCCATATGTCCTGCAAATCGGATGTTTCTTCTTGGGGTCCCAGATCCCTCTCCCAGGCCGACACACAGGCCAGTGCCCCTGAGGGCTGGTTAGTGATGAGGAGTGTGTAGTTGTCAGTGATCTGACCCTTGCAGACTGGGCCATGGTTCTGGCTTGATCAAAAGATGAGAGTTTGGTGGTGGCAACTGTCCTGTTTTCTGAGTGTTCTAGGAAGCTGTTTATTTGTAGGTATCTGAAAAAGTCATGGGTATTGTATGCTGAGTTATGTTGTGGTAAGTCATTGTATGGGAATATACTTCCTCCAGCGAAAAAATAACCTATAGAGATCGTTTTGTTCGGACTGTGCGAAATCTTTAGGCCTCATGCCCAGGGGGAATGCCCTGTTGTGCAGAATAGGGTTGATTGGTGTCAGGTTGTTTATGATAGCAATGTCTTGGTGATTTTGTTCCATTTGTCTATTGAGTTGATGAGCTGAGGGAGCATGAGAGGTGGCCTAAGGCGGGATTTCGTTGGTACCCAGATGCAGAGGGATGTGAAATCAAAGTCGAAGATGTCATGTTCTAGTTCTACCCATCTTTTGATTCCTATTGGGGAGTGCAGATTTTGGATTTGGATGAGTTGCGCGGCGTAATAATAGTATTGGAAGTTGGACAATCCTAGTACCCCTGTTCTGTTGGTGATGTACATGGTGTAATGTTTAACTCTAGGCTGTGTGCTTGCCCATATGAATTTGTCGGTTTGTTTTTGGAGGTATTTGAAATCTGGGGTTGGGATTGGGAATGTTTGGAATAAGTAGAGGAAACAGGGCAGGAGGTTCATCTTTACCAAAGGTAGGCGTCCCAGCCATGTGAGTGACAGCTCCTGCCATCTGTTGAGATCATCTGTGGCTCGTTGTAGCATTGGGGTATAGTTGAGAGTGTAGGTTTGATGTAATTCTGCTGGCAGGTTGATACCAAAGTATGGTATGTGGGAGGTTTTATAGCAGAATGCGTATACTTTGCTCACTTTGGTACTGTCTTCTGGAGTGATGTTCAATGTTAATGCTTCGGTCTTGTCTAAGTTTAGCTTATACCCTGAAACTTCAGAATATTTGTCTAGGAGGTGTAGTAGTGGCGGCAGGGAGTCTGTTGGGTTGGTGATTGTTAGTAGAAGGTTGTCGGCATAAGCAGCCACTTTGTATGATTGGGAGCGGATGAGCGGTTCCAAAGAGAGGGAAAATAGGATGGGCGATAATGGGCATCCTTGCCGCGTACCATTGTGGGGAAGGAGGGTGTGTGTGTGTGTGTTTGGTATAAGTAGGTTAGCCGTGGGGTGGAGTATATAGTTCGTAGGGCTGCTATGAAGGGCGCAGGGAATAAAAAATAGCCATAGTAATTGGTCAAATGCCTTTTCGGTGTCGAGGGATAATAGGAGAGTTGGGGTGGTGCGGTGAGGTGATTGACCACCCATATCAGGTCTTATATTTTTCTGGTGTTGTTGCTTGCTTGGCGGGAGGGGATGAATCCTACCTGGTCTGGGTGGATTAGAGTGGTGATGTAAGAGAGGAGGCGATTAGGGAGGATTTCTGTAAATATTTTCATGTCTACGTTCAGTAATGGTCTGTAGTGGCCTGGATCTATCTGGGGCTTATTGGGTTTGGGTAGGAGGCATATGTTTGCCGCTAGCATTTCTTCAGGTAGCAGGTCGCCCTTTGTAAGGTGGTGTAGGTGGGGTGAGAGAATGTCCTAAAATGTTTTATAATAGATGCCTGAGCTTTTATTGGGTTTTGTGGCGCCTATTGCCCCTGCCACTTAATCTTCAGTGATTTCCAAGGAAAGTTGTGCTGTTGCCTCGTGGGAAAGTGAGTGCAGGTGTATCTAGTATAGGAAGGAGTGTATTCCGTTTTGCAAGGTAGTGCCTTGTCAGTGCTGGGGGGAGTGATCATATAGGTCAGAAAAGTACTTTTGAAATACCTCTTCAATTTTTGTTGGGATATCAGTGGGTTTCCCGAAGGAGTGTGAATGTTGGGGATTTGTTTGGCTTGGGTACGTTTGCGGACTAGAAGTTTGTCAGATTTATTGGATTTTTCATAGAACATTTGTTTTATCCATTGTAAGGCTTTCGTTGCATCCGTAGCCACAGCCTGTTTAAGAGCTTGTTGCCGAGTTTGGAGCCGAGTAGTGAGGTCTTGTGTGTGTGTGTGTGTGGGGGGGGGTCTGTTTGTGTTAGGATTCTAGTTGTCTATCGCTATCAGGAATATATTTTTAAACCCAACGATGTCATCATCAGGCTCCTTTTTTGTGAAAAAGGGTCACAGAGTTTACCCAGTTACTTGAAAGAAAAAGATTACACAGAGGATAAAAAGACCCTGCAGGTTTAACATTCAAAGCAGTATTTAAGAAAAATAACAATAGCAATCGGAAAATATCTCCCAGCGTGAAGCTGTTATCGCATATTGGATGCTTGTATTTTCTTTTATTAATTTTACAGTTCTGTTATACGTTGCAGAATCCAGAAAAATGCAGATGATTCCAATGTGTGCTCAAAATGCTCATAGGTAAGGGGGTATGAATAAATTGTAAAATCTATGTGATTTAATTAGAAGAAAAGAAAAAATGGAAGGGATTACCCATTAAACACAGGATTAAAGTGATTTTTAATACTGCGAAGAGCTACAGAACATGTTTGTGCTAAATAAATATACTGAAAACTAAATTGCTTATTTATTCTAAAATAGCAAAAGTTTGACTATACTTACATTGGGGATTTTTACCAAATCAGCACTTTTTACCCAAATTTTGCAATAGTGTTGCATTTTGCATTTTCCCACTCACACATTCAGCCACTTTACGAAGTGGGAACCATGATATATAGTTAAACATTTACTTAAAGAGTTATTTCAAGCACCATAACCACAACAGCCTGCTGCAGTGGTAATGATGCCAGGAGTACCCGGGCATGGCTCTCCGGTAATGGGGCAAACTGTTAAGCAACGGTCTGACCCCTAGTAGTACAGTGATGCACTTCTAGCTTCTGCAGACCTGCCAGAAGCCGTTGCCGACATTTAACAGAGTGAGTCAGCTGACTGCTCTCAGCCAATGGGGATAAGCTGCATATGTGCTACATTTCAAAGCAAAAGCACTGCACATACAATCTCTAGGCACCATGACCACTTCAAATAACTGAAGTGTTCATGGTGCTTGTAGTAACCCTTTAACACATTCTGTCATGATTAAAGAAAACAGGCAAGACACTGGCTCAATATAACCTTTTGCTGGTCAGGCTTTGTCACTTGGGCCCTGCTATGTCTCGTGCTCCAGGGATTGCATATATGAGGGACTTGCCATCACTGTGTGGTGGACCCTCCTGTGGATCAGATCTTATGGATCCAAGAGTTTTCCCAAGATTGGTGTGGTTCAATATTCTGATGCTTGTATAGAACTTTTCAAAACAATGAAGCATCTCCACCTAACTTGACAAGAATCGGTTTTTAATTTTAAGGGGGAAAACCCATGTACTGCCCAAATCCACAATATCTATATGCTTCAGATCCAGCCATTCTAAACAAATTATGGTATGAATGGCGCACTGTTCCTGGAGAGTAATTTGTGACTGCAGTTCTAATAAGATGCAGGGATCTTTAATTTAAACTGATACAACTGTAGTAAATTAAGTAAACACAAAATAACTCAAAACCACATATCTACAAAAAGAATTTATTCAATATCTTTGTTACATTTTCAGAAAATATACAGGCATTTCCATGAATGGTTTAATGCTCCATCACTGTACACATTTCATTAAATTATCGACTGTACACAAATCAGAAGAGAGGAATCAGAGTCAGAAATATACAGGCACTCGATAAAATGAAAAGAACTAAACCTGTACAGCACATCGTTTCAGCAAACTTAAAAATGCAGTAATTTCAGGAAATGACTAAATAGCTAAATTAAGCCTGTAAATGAACCAGAAAAATAAATAAAAATAATATTTTCTGAAAAAGGATGTATTTACATGACACTTCCTAAAATCATACATTCACTTAGCAAGTTCTTTATCAGGATGCAAAAAGAGGTTTAAAAAAAAAAAAAAAAAAAAGTTTGTTTTCAGCAATAAATTCATATCATGAAAACTGCTCTTTAAATCTGCTTTCAGTGGAGTCTTTCCTAGAGGTGTACATACTGCGGTTTAAATATGGATGATAACGTATTACAAGCAGCCAATGCACATATTGACCTACCTTCAGGATGAGACTACTAAAAATCTTTGAAGTTTTTTTTTCTCTAACATAAGGTAAAGCAGATAATATATGGGATCAGCCACTTGATTTATGTAGCTTTACAGTTGTCCTTTCATCATTTTTCTAACATCGACGTCATTTCGTAAAAACATCAGAATGTGACTAAATGTTTTATTTCGAATATCTGTATTTTTTGTTTATAAAACACACACACACCAGTAGTTTTTGGCATTTTCAAACTTCTGCATTAAAACAATCTGTCATCACTATACAGCTTTATTTACACACCTAAAATTTACAAAAACACAAGGAACAACCGGAATGCAATTGTGGTGTTTATTTAGCTTCTGGCTGGGCTTTGACGTCTTTCACGTTGTAATCATTTGCAACAGATATTGCATTTTCCAGTGCTCTGACATTTGCTAATAATTTCACAATCTGCCTGATTTGGTCTCTGAAAAATTAAATGATAAAAGCATGATTATCTCAAATACAATTTATATAAGGAAAAAGTACTATCCAATGTATTTAGAAAACTTCTGCTTAAGTCAATGTCTGGTAATTACACTGGGACAAATGTGTGTTTCCAGTGTCAAATGACATTCAGAAGGCTACTATTAGCCAAATATTAGATTCTAGTGACTTAAAGGATTTGTAAGATTTAGGGCAATTCACTGTTTTGTGAAAACACCCAATATGGTTACAGGAACACTCCGGACTCCATAACAATTTCATTGGAATGATAGTGTTATGGTAGCAGGAGGTCCGTGGCTACTCAGCAAATAGATGGGCTGCCAATTAGTTGTGTTTTTCATGGATGAAATGTATAGAGGTTACTAAGTCACTTTCTGATCCTTGCAATCCCAAGAGATCGCAACAAACTGGGATTTTGTAAAGGATTTAAAAAAAAAAATCAAAAAAAAAAATCACATTTTGCAGAATTACAAATTACACTTCGGCAGCGAAGTTGTTAAACTCGGTATGTGCAGCGTTTCACAGTAACATGCTGCACTTATGCACTATGGTCACTTTCATGTAACGCTGCCTGGAGTAATCATTTTCATACTGAAGTATTAAAAAGTGAAACCTGGCCCAGGTATTCCCTTCCTATAGAAAGCTCCTCTCTGATTAATTCCCCTTCCCCACTGACTGTGCTCTTTAGTTAATTATTTCAAAAATTAAAAAGAAGCATAGACTCTTGTTACAAGCAATTTTGACTTGGACAATTATAATAATTGCAACTGGTAGGTAAACATGCAACTTCAGAGCTTTTAATAAACGGTAACTCCACTAAGTTTTGGACAATTACAGTTTGCAGAATATGCCGAAAGGGAGTTGTGTTGCATTAGGCCCCTGAACTAATTCATCCAGTTAGTACTATCCCATATGGCTCATAATGTCTTGTGTATAAAGAATGATTGTGGGCCGTCTGCAAATGTTACATTCTACTTTTAATCCTCAGTGTAATAACCACTACAATCTTGACACACTCTCCTTAGATTAGTAAAAAAAAAAAAATCTTCCCAGAGTTTCTTGTAAAAGCAGACAAAATATTACAGGACACTGTTCAAAAACATTTAGGGTAACATCATGTGTCTCAAAGTTTATTTTCCAAGCTATAGAACCATTTACCAGAAAAATGATAAATATTTGGATCATAAAGCCAAAACCTTTGTAAATTACAAATATCATTTAGGGTGAGGTCAGCAATAGGCCACTCCTTTACTGCTTTTGTAAATTCAACATCTCGGAGGGTTATTCAGTAAAGTGGGATCTGTCAGTAATTCAAGGTTCACATTTTAGGGGATCAGCTGGAAAGACTTCTGAAATTCTTTCAGTGAACCGTATCTACTTGGTAGACGTAGGAAGGATTTTTAGGCCAAATTCTATTCATTAAGTGCTAGCAGAGCTGACAAGAGGCCTTCTAGATACTCTAATCACGAATTGGTGAATAGAGCACCAAACATTTTGCAAAAGAACTGCTACATTGGCTTATGTCTTCATGGCCTGCTTCCTAAAGCAGCACTGTCATCGTTTGGGGACTGCACACGAACATACAGCATTGAGGTCTATGGAGGATCCCGCGAGATCATCCATAGATACAACCAATTCCCTGCAGCCGTCACTGGTGACAGCTGTCGAGATTGACACTTAGACTCCACCTGGAGTCTAAGAAAGTCAGGTGGAGAAGAAATAGAGACAATGTAGTCCCTACTTTGTCTCTGTATACATCTTGACTGGGTTAGAATTTCACTGAAATTCCAACACAGTCAAATTGAGTATTTTAATTAAGATAAGATATTTATGAAATACTAATTTTTCAGGGGGAGGAGGTGGTGGGGTGACAATGCCACTTTAAAGTGACACGATGGTAATGTCCTTAATAGAAGAAAAGCCCCATAAGTACCTTGCATTTCTTTTCTCCACATCTGAGCATCCAATGTTCTTTCTATAAATCACGCCAGCCAGGTGAGTAAGATACCGAACCATGTTTTCCAGCTGAGGAATGGTAATGCCCCCCTTAAGATTTGAAAACCACTGCCTTGGGAAACATGCAGTCACCTAAAATAGAACAGAATCAAATATATATCCAGTGCATTTAAAAAAAAAAAAGAAAAGAAGCCACGAGCCAAGAATGAATGAAAACTTCCACGGTTTCCAGAGTGAGTTACATTCAAGAAGATGATACAACTAAATAATGATTTTGAGGTCATGAGGTGACATAGGACAACCCCCATATAAACTGCACTAATCATGGCTGCTAGAAAAAGAACAATAAGCCATCATAATATGAATAAGGATTGGCTGCGGTTATTCCAGGTAGTAAAGCTTGCAATATTTTCTTCTAGCTCGTGAGCGGCCCTAGTTTTTATTAAAGACCCGTTTATATGTAAATATTTCATTCTGTTTAACCATCAGCTCTACACATGGTAGAAAGATAGAGCTGATGCAGTCTGTGCGGAGCCTATAATGTAACCAGAAAGCCACCATAGACAGGAGAACTAACTCTGTCCCCTATCCCCTATTTTAAATGTATAACAAAAACAGTACGTTGGGGAAAAAACTTCAACGTAAATAAAATGCTGTTTAGACACCAGGCAAAAAATAAAAAGTGTGTTTCTGCGTGATGCTTTCTTGTCCATTAGGTGTCTAGTGTGCCCATTTAATTTACCAACATTTGAACAGAGCAACAATGGTACACTGATTTTATATCAGTTACAATAAACTAATATGTTTTAAAAATCATAACTAGCAATATCCCCATTACAGCGGCAACACAGATATATAAGGATTATAAATAATCTAAATAATAACAATGTTATGTTGTTTTATATTTCAAGATTACAATGATTACTTTTTCATATAAACCTGTTTGTCTACGTACAATGACGCCAACTGTAGGCTTAATAACCCATATTATAATTGATTTGCACACACAAACACATGGAAGTAATCCTACGCAGTCATATGAACTGCAGGCTTATAATCAGATTTTAGCCTTTCTGGGGCCAGAAATAATTGGATTTGAGGATACTAAAGACAAATGCTAAAATGTAAAGGAAATCCAGCATTAGCTGAGTGACAAGGTAAATAATCATACATTTTTACTGTATTTTACAGTTTTTCATGTAGTTTTTTTCCCCAATGGGATCCAGAAATAGTTTGTTCGGACAGAAACTGATATAAATTTAATGAAGCACAAACACGGCTCTAGTATATCCACACTAAGATTTAGGTTCCAAATGAAAACATAACGTTAACAATAATTTAAACTACTGACCACTTCTAATGCAATAATGTATGAATTTTGCTTAAAAAAATGGATTGCTTAGGACACTAAGAAGTGCAGTCAATCACCACATTCATTCAATAAACTAAACTTCTGCAACTAATAAAGAATTCACAATGATAATATGTCTTGCTGCTACTTCCAGCATCACAGAGAACAGGATCATACGGTCTCTATGTAAAGAGCACAAAATACCAGATAGAAACACATTCAGCCTTAACTGGGCATCACATAGCTCTTCTATATGAAGCTTTGTACCAAAGTAAAGCCACCACCACTATAATTCCAAGATAACTGCGAAGCAAGAAGAAGCAGAGCACAATAGAATTTCTCGGATAAGATTGATCTGCAAGGTTAAATGGTATGTGAGCAAACTAGTAAACCAGCAAAGTAGTTAAAATAAAACCCAAATAATGCCAAATCACCCCATTGTATTATCCTGTAAAAACAAACAATTTGTATACAAATTGTGTTTAACCCCTTAAGGACACATGACATGTCATGATTCCCTTTAATTCCAGAAGTTTGGTCTTTAAGAGGTTAAATTGGAATGACAATAAGGGGGTTTCCTTATAAATTGCTCGTACTTACGATCACACAGTGTTAAAGGATGTGTAATTTAAAAGGATTTAAACTAGTCGTGCTACAATGCTACTTACACTTTGAGCTTTTTTGATGCAATCTTCCCCGCTCTCGTTGTTCTGAAAAGCCATGAGGATGTATCTGTTGAGCAGCCCATCTAATGCCAGATCCTGTAGAGTCTTGTTAGACAATGTGCCATGCCACTTCAGGAAGTTCCCCAGTAACTGAAGCAACACAAATTCCAAAAGTTCATTTGTTTTTACTGAACATTTGTGTAGTGCAGTAACACAGCCAATTAAATTACAAAGATTATCAAGTAAAATCAACATATTTATCTTTGTAAACCTTAATAATGCATTACATGATAAATATTAGATTCGGCTTTTTCATAAAAATCCACTGCAGGCAAGTTTCTATAATTAAGGAAATCAGCCCATGTTACTGTTTGCTAGCTTAAACTTTTTATCAAGGTGAAATTTCAGAGTCCAATCACTGATTATGTGCTTGGACAGTGACAGTTAACCATGAAGATATTTCTTAAAAGGACACTATAGGCACCCACACTACTTCAGCTAATTGAAGAGGACTGGGTGCACTGTCCCTTTTGCACTTAGTGCTGCAGTTCCAGAGAAACAGCAATGTTTACATTGTAGCACTAAGTCCGGTATCAGACGCTGGACGTCCTCACGCTCTGCATGAGGACATCAGGCGTCAGACTTTTCCCATAGGAAAGCATTGGTTCAGTGCTTTCCTACGGGGAGGTCTAATGCACGCTAATCAAAGGGGAGGAGCTTTAACCCAGCACCGAGGGACATAGTCACTGGGATAAGGCAAGTAAATAAAAGGTTTACTACCTTTTATTTAGCGGGGAGGGGCGCGTGATGGAGTGGGGAGCAATAGTGCCAGGAATACAGCTTTCTATTCATGGCACTATAGTATCCCTTTAATTTCCCTAAAGGCTGGCACTGCACCAATGTAGTTCATAAATCTGCAGTACCAGTTAGCCATTAATAGTCTATGAAGTATTTGAGACATGTCTGGGCACAGCCGTAAGCTGGATACACTAGTGTTAGCCCTGGTTCTCCTGTTCTTATAGGTAAAGCATAGATTACATAGTATTATCAGGAGTCCGTATTTTTATTACCTTCACAGAAGACCAAAACTGGCGCTGAAAAAATACACAGGGTCCAGAATTCTTGTTTTCGATAACACTAAAAATAAAAAGACAAGGAATTTATTAACAATTAGCAAATACAATTAGCTTCAATCTGTTCAAGTAAATAGTGGATGTTTTGATTGCATGATTTTCAAGGAAAACAAAAAAAACCATCTACAATAACCCCTATTTTGTAGTGCATTATACAATTAATGGATAATAATAATTGCAGGTCTGTGGATTCCAATTTTATCCTATAAGCTTCCGCTCATATTGTTAAGCCTCCAGCATCAGTTCCACTTATTAGATATAATGACTAACTGCTGACCACACTAGGATGGTGAATGTCCCATTTTCTTTTCAAATTACATATTAATTTTTATAAGACTATATTTTACATTAGTCACCATGGGTTACATAGGAATTGCCAGTGTTTTATTCTCTGAAAAGAACTATATACACACACAAAAACATATACATACATGACAGCTTCAAAACGTTTCTTTTTCATAGAAAGACCATAATAGCTATTTAGTTGCATCACCAGGATGATTTCTTACTACACATAGCATAGTCTGTTCAGTACACAAACTAGTTTTCTTTGTTGAATTTCTTTTTGTTTCTTGCAAATCGGAATTACACAACTATTTTCCCAAAAAGTACTTAAGGTACAATGGGTATTGTGTACATACACAACATCTTTATGGTTACTCTATAGCAGCGTTTCCCAATTGGTGTTCCGCGGGAAAATGTGGAGAAAAATGGCCGCGGGCAGCCATGAGCTCTGATCTCCCTGCTCAGCATCCTCGCGCGCACAGCAGTGATGCCGGAGCCAGAATATGGCGTCACTCCGGCTCCGGCATCACTAGGAGGCGCGTGAGGGAGCTGAGCAGAGAGATCAGAGCTTCCTCGGCGCCGCCTCCACCGCTCACCTGTCTGTCCCTCGCCGCCCGCCAAGCTGCAGCCACCCCCACTGGACCACAGGGACTCCATGCCAGCACTCCTAAAGGTGGGGGGCTGGGTGGAGTAAAATGTGTAAAAAAAATAAATAAAAAATTGTATGTGCGTCTGTTAGGGAGTTTGTGTTTGTCAGTGAGAGTGAATGTGTGCTTGTCAGTGAGTATGTGTTTGGCAGTGAGAATGTATCTCTTCTTGTCAATGAGAGTGTCTATGTGTTTGTATGTAAAAGAATGTGTGTTTGTCAGTGAGAGTGTATGTTTGTGTCAGTGTGTGTGTATCTGTGTCAAGGTTTGTGTATGTGTCATTGTGTGCATGGGTATGTGTGTGTGTGTGTGTGTGTATGTGCCAGTATCAGTGTGTTTGTATGTGCCTATGTGTGTGTTTCTGAGGGTGCAAGTGTGTGAATGTCACTGTGTGTATCTGAGTGTGTGCGTGTGTATGTATTTGCGAGTCAAGGTGTGTGTATCTGTGTGTGTTTATATCTGTGTGTCAGATATATATATATATACACACTGACACAGATATACACACCTTGACACACACCGGCACATGCAAACACAGATACAGTGTGTTACGTTGTGTGTATCTGTGTGCCACTATCTGCCAGTGTGTGTATCTGTGCCAGTGTGTATGTATCTGACACACAGATACACACACTGGCGCATACAAACACAGATATATACACCTTGACACACAAAGGCACATGCAAACACAGATACACACACCTTGACACACAGATACACACACCTTGACACACAGATACGTATCTGTGTTTGCATGTGCCTTTGTGTGTCAAGGTGTATATATCTGTGTTTGTATGCGCCAGTGTGTGTATCTGTGTGTCAGATACATACACACTGGCACATACAAACACAGATACACACACCTTGACACACAGATACACACAGTGTGTTAAGGTGTGAGTATCTGTGTGCCACTATCTACCAGTGCGTGTATCTGTGTGTCAGATTCATACATTATGGCACATACAAACACAGATACACACACCTTGATACACAGACACATACAAACACAGATACACAGACTTTGAAACAGATGCACTCCCCTTGACACACACATACATGCATACACACACACACAGATACACACTGTGTGTCAAGGTGTGTGTATCTGTGTCAGTGTGTGCATCTGTGTTCCACTATCTGCCAGTGCATGTATCTGTGTGTCAGATTCATACACACTGGCACATACAAACACACACACCTTGACACAGAGATACACACGCAGTGTGTGTATCTGTGTTTCAGATATACAACTGGCACAGATATACACACACACCGGTACATTTATTTATAAAAAAAGGCGCAATTTAAAAAAAAAACATTTCGGGGAGGGAGGTTCCACGATGTTGATACACTATATCAAAGGTTTCCACGGGAAATATTAATTGGGAAACCCTGCTCTATAGTAAGAGCAAATTTCTCAGTAGTAAGCAAGAAAGGCAGAGGCAACATGGATAAAATGAATCACACACATAACATAATACACCTCAACTACAACACAAATAATAGAACTATACAAAAACACATTAGGTGCACTCAACACAGTATAATAAAAATGACTTCAATATCAGCTACAGTAACTGAAATAGATTTAAGTTACAAACTTACTTTTTGGGATATAACGGCATGAAGACATCATCATCCAATGTCCTTCGCATTCTGAAGAGCAGTGCCTTAAGGAGTGCCTAAAATTCAGCAAAAAATAAAGCTATTAAAAACAATCAGCAAAGTGGGAGGGTTGACCAAAAAATGAATGCAAATACTGGCAAGAAAGCTTTTGAAACAGAGTCTTGTTAAAACAAATTGATATGTCTAAACAAAAATGCCTTTTAGTTCACACCAGTACTAATCCATTAGTCTAGAAAAAACAAACGTATTTATCTTGAATAGATTTGTTTAGTGTGGATCGAAAGGATTTGGACAAAACTAATTGCACAAGTCCACTGCACAATTAATATTATACATACAAAAAATAGGGAGGTGTTAACTACAGTTAAGTGATAAATTTGCAGAAAATATATATCCAACTTAACTTTTATTTTCTTCCACCACTCAATACTCCCCACTTTTTACTGTAACCACTTATGTAGTCAGCACATCTGCAAAGAATACCTTTAACACTGTAGCCCTAGAGCAGTAGGAATGCAAACAGGCACACAGCTACAGCACTTTGGGACCATAACCATTACAAACCAGATGGGAGATGAAGGTTATATTTTGAAATCGACAACTATCCCTCAACAAATACATTTGTTTTTAAATCGGTCAGAAATGACTTATGATGGCAGAGCAGTAGTCAAGTAGAATGGGAATAACCATGCTTTAATATGTTTAGTTCACAACTGTCCCTTCAGATACAGTAAGCAAGTACTAGCACCAGATAACCAATACCCTGACAGCAACATAAAACCAAGGAATTCTTACCTCTGTGTTTTTGTTTTCTGAATTTACAACTGTAGGATATCCATTCACTAGCTTCTGAAACAAAGCAGTAAATCTGTTTGTTTGTGTTGTTGAAAAAGGGTCCCACACGTTTTCAGCAATAGCTTTAAAAAAAAAAAAAAAGGGTTAAATATGAGTACCCAACACCACGTAATCATGTTGTACATAGATATCCATGTCTACTTGCATGGTGGTGGACAGGTGGAGAGAATTAGAGATATATTTATATTTCCCTCCCTCACCCTTTGTGCGTTGTCACTTGACAGTTAAGTTACTGATAATGTAGCTCCCCCCGAAGCTCTGTGATTTGTATATTCCTGGGGATCTATGGACCATTGCACAGGATCCTACACAAATTATCTACTGCATCCACAAGGAGATGCCATAGGCAGCTGTTTGAATATGTTAAAAATTATCCTTTTTGCTTAGTTTTTCAGAAAACTGGCATGCACAGCCGTACTTTGTTTCTGATGGAATGCCACTGAAATTCCTGTACAGTGAATGTCCGTGATAAGTGGCTTCTGGCATTGATACCAAGTTATGATTCTGAATATTTATCAATGATCCGTAATTCTTGTTTGATACAGTCAATATGTTCGACAATATTTATGAAAATCTCAGAAGTGACAGCCCCATTTGAATACTGATATGGAAGATGGTTTCCAATAAACATGCACTAATATAAATAACTAAAGTATGTAAAAAAAAAAAACGCCTTAAATTTAACACACAGTATGGTGCTTCATGTCAGCAGAAAAAATGGATCCTAAATTGGATTAACACATACTACCATTAGTGATGTCCCGAACGGTTCGCCGCAGACTCATCATTGAGTAAACTTTGACCCTGTACCTCACAGTCAGCAGACACATTCCAGCCAATCAGCAGCAGACCCTCCCTCCCAGACCCTTCCACCATGATGAGTCCGTGGCGAACCGTTAGGGACCTCACTAACTACCATGTATTGGAAAATGAGAACAAACTACTGTATTTGTATTTTAAGGAAAACACGTTCCTTTAAAAAAAAATTTTTATTTAAAAATTTAAAATATTTAAGCAATTCCATAGACTAATACATTAAAGTGTGAGAACCAGTGAATCTGACCACTGCAAACACATTCAGAATAACAAAGTGATTGCAGTAGTGTCAAAACAAATCTTATCTACCTGCAAGTTTTGGAAGAATAATTTTTTCAACTATGGAAGGTATTATTGCAACATCGGCATCTTCTTTGTCATATTCCTTTTCTTCACAGCCATAAAAAAGTAACGACTCAAACCAGTCCATGCTTTCAAATTCACAACATTTTGCCTAAAAGTAGAATTGTTCTGTTTAGTAATAAAGCTTTATAAACATTTTTTTTTTTTAATGTAGTGTTAAAGCAATCGTTAAAAAAAAATAAAAAAAAAATTAAATAGAAATACCAGCAAGTAAATGCGACAATACATCAAAATAAAGAACTGTAATAGACAAACAGAGCAAATTAAACGTGTAAAACTGGATCTCCCATGATGCTCAGCCAGCCCAACAGCTCTGAATAGCAAGTGATCTTGTAATTAATATCCCAGCATAATTACATTGCAGAACACTATCTGAATGTCAGGTCTCAGCACAAGCTGTAAGAAGTAAAATAAACGTATGGTGCAGTTTTAGTAGCACTGGGTGAGCATCCAATATGCAACATGTACATAAACCTCCAGCATTCTAACATGGGATCTACAGTTCACAATATAGTACACTACATTTTCTTTAACTTCTCAGATATCTGACATTAGGACAATGTATGAAATTTAGAGCACGTTGCAAAATAAATGATGGCAAACCCCAAAGCCTCTACCCTAAAAGGAGACATAACAAACAAGAGGTATATGCTTGTGGCATCAGTAAGGTACACTATCTGCACACATTGAGCAGCATATTAACAGCAACTTACCTCTAGTGGATTCCACGTTATCATTTCAAGTCGTATTAGAGGATTTAAAAGTTTTGGCAAACATAGACCAATATAAGCATCTTTATAAGTGCCATAATAATCTGTTCGCCAGGTTTCAAACTGAGATTTGATGCAGTCGATAGAATGAAAATTTTCTAAAGTATCTTCAAACACTTTACTCGACTCTTTCAAAATACGATCTAAATAAGAATAATTAAAAAACATAAGATCAGAATTTTAAAATACAATTTTAGAAATGAGAAACTGGGAAAAAAGATAACATGCTTACACCATTTTAAACTTAAGCATTCATTGTATTTTACATATTTCTAAATAATTACAATTGCACTAATCTGTTTAGTTCCCTCAAATTGCAATCGATAAAATTACTTATTTATGTAAAAATATTACATAAATATGCACGTAGAATTTAAATATTATATATTATACATACACACACACACACACACACACATTTATATATTGGAAATTACGTGAATATTTATGACATTTATGTAATTATGTATATGGATATATATATCATTTTTATTTATATATACATAGATATATATATTTTCATTCTAAGTGTATTTTGATATAAATATATTAATATCAAAAAACAGTTAAAATATTATAATTTTTTTACATTCTTTTAAAAAAATTGTATTAACCTCTAATTTATATTTTATACTATACTGTATATATATATAAAAAAAATATATATATATACACACACACAATATATAGTTATATATATATATATATATATATATATACACACACACACACACACACACACGTGTGTAATTTAATTGTAAGTTTATTTTTAGATTAATATATGTATATATTAATAGAAAAATACACTTAGTATGACATTTATATATTTATATTTTTTAATTTATGAATTTTTTTTTCCAGCAGCAGGAAGCACTACGGACGCCTATTGCGGCCATGTGATTGCTCTTTTAGCGTGATCACATGGCCCGCGGGGGAACGGCGGTGATTGAGTACGTATTAAGGACATGCCTTAAGGACCGTTTATTTTTTTGTTGGACTACCTAGTACGTCCGCGGTCCTTAAGGGGTTAAACAGACCATAGAAACAGACACAAATTGCTTAAATAACCATCAGAAAGGTCACTTAGTAAGGGCGCAGTTTACAGTATAGATGAGGCAGATTTAGCTCCACTCCACCCTCTCCTGCCTTTCTCTTGACATGAAACACCATGTACTAAAATTGTATCCATATTCACAGACATTCAACATTCCGATGTGTAGGTCTCGTATCGTCATTACAAGACAAACTATGTTGGCTACTGATTACTTAAAAAGAGTAAGCAGCAATACCCTACATGAGCTGTAGTTTAGAAGTAGTCAAATACTAAACCCAAATCTGTTAGCAGTTTACACCTTACAGACACAATTACTGATTGTTGCTGCCAAAGGTTATAGGAGTTGTAATCAGCTTACAGTTGCAGGTCCAGAATTTCACTATCTATGCAGTAATTGGCAAAAAACATCAAACAAAAGAGTTGTAGTACAAAGCCCAACCTTTCTCCATGTTAAAGTTGGTAATATCAGTTGATGTTTCTTCATCATCACTAGAAAGGCCTTCAAGATGCTCTGCCATCTTACCAGTTACCTCCCTGGCTTGCCGTCGACGTGCTCTGTAACACAAGTGATTATCCAGTTACTTATTCATATGCACAAGTTACATAGTTACATTGGTTAAAAAGAGACGTGTCCACCAAGTTCAGCCTTTCTCACATTAGTTTTTTGCCGTTGATCCAAAGGAAGGCAAAAAACAAACAAACCTGTTATAAGCACCAATTTTGCAACAAACAAGAAAAAAGTTCCCTCCTGACCCAGAATGGCAGTCAGATTTATCCTTGGATCAAGCAGCTATTATCCTACAGTTGATGGTGGCCGGGTCTCTGGCACTCTCAGGAAGCGCACGGTTATCGGCTGGGATGGGTAGTCCTAATTTTCCCAGAAAAGAGGTTGCGTCGGCCATGGTGCGGAGGACATGCATAGTTCCTTCTGTGGTGACCGTTAAAGAGTTGTCGGTTCCCCATCTGTATGGCAGTCCTGCCGTGTGTAGTTGGGAAGTTACCGGTGCGTAGGTTTTCCTCCATAGCAGCGTTGACTTAGTAAGGTCTTGGAAGAAGTTCAAGGTGTCATTTTCAAATGAAAGAGGGGTTTTGCCCTTCACAGCTGTCATGACATGTATTTTGTCTTGTACTGAGTGGAAGCGCAGGATGACATCCCGGTTCAGGTTGGTATTAGTGTTGGTTGTATTAGGGATGCGATATAGACTGTCCACTGTGATTTTGCGGGCTAGCGTGGGAGGTAATATAGATGTCAAGAGGCGTCGGTGTAATGGGGAAGTTCCTCCGCGAATATTGCCGTAGGGATACCCCTTATTTTGATGTTTGTGCGGCGTTGTCTATCCTCTAGGATTATGAGTTTTGCGTTCAGGGTAGTCTGGTGCGCTTGTAATTGGTGGATAGAGTCCTGCATGGTTTGCATGGCAGATTGTGTGTCTGCTATAACCCCCTCTGTGGCATTGACTCTCTCTGTTACGGCCTGTAGCTGTGTTGTAAATACAGCTAAATCTGCAGCCAGGAGCTTGTGGATATCAGCTAATAGGACCTTCAGATCTCCCCTAGTTGTTGGGGCTGATTCATCCATAGGGTCCGCTTGTGCGGTTCTTACCGCCAGGGGGTGTTGTGGTACCTCGATCTCGTGGCGGTCTGGTTCTGGTTCTGTTTCCGGTTGGTCTCCGGACTGAGTTTGTTTGGGCTTCTGGAGCATCGCCCCAATGTCCCTGGTATCCAACCCTGTGGCGGGTCTCTGTGATTTACGGCCCATAGTGAGTGTGTTGGGCGATGTATGTGATGGGGTCGCCCTCGGCCGCTCCGCGAAATCTCCGAAGAGTGACGCGAGGCTGGGGATCTGGAGAGGGTGATAGGCCTCAGTCTTCCGTCGCCGCTTTTGCAGCTGTAAGAAGGGCATCTACGCTTTCAGCTCGGGCAGCAGAGTCCGATTTTGTGCTTTTTGAGGCTGGATGGGCTCATGTTCCGATGATATCGGGCAGATTTCAGGTTTGTTTGGAGGAGCTCCAGCAAATGGCGTCTGTCTCGGTCTGCGTGCTAGCCCCGCCCCTTATTGTTCTTATAGTAAAAAAAACAAACCTTTCCTTTGCCTTACACTAAATCTCCTTTCTTCAAGTAAAAATGCATGACCTCATGTCCTATGTAAAGTCTTGTTTGTGCATAGATTTCCACACAATGGTTTGTATTGGTCACAAATATATTGGTATAATGTTTTCATATCCCCTCTCAGGCGATGTTTTTCTAAACTAAAGAGGTTTAACTTTGTTAACCTTTCTTCATAGCTAAAATGTTCCATTCCTTTTATTAATTTTGTTGCCCGCCTCTGCACTCTTTCCAGTGTCATAATATCTTTCTTTAGAACAGGTGCCCAAAATTGCACAGCATATTCAAGATGTAGTCTTACCAGTGATTTATAAAGAGGCAAAATGATATTCTTATCTCGAGAATGAATGCCCTTTTTCCATGCATGACAATACCTTTCTGGGCTTAACCACTGCACATTGTTGTAGAGTTTGTTGTTTATAACAATTCCTAAATCCTTCTTGTGTGTTTTCCCTAGTTAGCTTCCATTAAGGGTTTAAGTTGGTTGTGCATTCTTAAATGCGTAACTTTGTATTTGTCTACATTTAATTTCATCTGCCATTTGAGTGCCTAGTCCCCCAATCTATCTAAATTCCTCTGCAGCAAAGTCATATCCTGCTCAAATTGTATTACTTTACAGAGCTTTGTGTCATCTGCAAACACTGAAACATTACTTTCAATGCTTTTTTTCAAGCTTATTTATAAACATGTTAAATAGAAGTGGTCCCAGAACAGAACCCTGAGGGACACCACTTGCCACCTCTGTCTAGCTTGAAAATTTGCCATAAATGACAACTCTTTGTACTCTATTTTTAAGCCAATGTTCTACCCAAGAACAAGCATTTTCATCTAGACCGATTTCTTTGAGTTTGAACACTAACTTATTGTGTGTAACTTTATCAAACGACTTGGCAAAATCCAAATAGATCACATCCACTGCAACATCCTGATCTATACTTCTACTTACTTCTTCATAGAATGCAATCAAGTTAGTTTGACATGACCTGTGCTTCATAAAACCATGCTGATAACCAGGTTCTTCTCAAGGAATTCTTGAATGCTATCGAAGTTAAGCTCACAGGTCTATAATTTCCAGGCAAGGGTTTTGAACCCTTTTTGAATATAGGAACCAAACAGTTTTGTAATTTAACATCTTAAGGATGGATGTAATTGTCCAAAAACAACTAGAATTTGTTCTATGGTTTTTCTATTATCTCTTTAAATACCACCAAACATATTGTTTTTAAAGGACAGAAAGGCCGTTCATTTGATATCCCATATGTATACCTAACACAACATTAAATAAAATGCTAACAATATGAAAAACATTTGTTACAATAATTTTTATACATAAAATGCAACTAAATAAAAAGAACGCAAAATAGATTGATATTCAAATGGCCCCAACTGACAAAGAGGAACTCCAGGTATCTATTGATACCTTTGTTTCCTGGTGTATAACCCTGTTCACACAGCGATCTATTGATAGGCATTTAAATGACTATTTAAGGAGAGGATTATAAGTTCTGCATGCATATGATCTGTCAGTCCTGGGCCACTAAAAATGGCACCAGCTGACAGAAGAGAGCACCAGCTATTGATGGAAACCTGTGATCCTGGTGTGAACTGCAGGGTAATCCATATCGTCCTAACTGCATTAAAGCGTACTCTGTATACGATAGCATGAATTGTACAAACGTCGTGAAGGGGTTAAAAGAATTTATGGTCATTTTTTTCTACTGATTAAAACAAACACTATAAATTATGCCTCCATCAGTTTTCCATTGTGCTCAGTATTTACGAAGTGACTAAAGTAGAGCAAGCACTTGTTTTAATAGAGTGTCTGCATGATGCCAGTCTATTATTGGCTGCACCTTTCTGATCTAATGGTAAAAGCAGCGGTCAGCAATGAGCTGTGTGCTTCCATGTGCCATCTAAAGACCATTCATTTGATTTGCTGTAGCCAATTCCATATCCTGCTGTTCTGTGATTGGTTGATGTTAGCCACATCAGTCACAGCTCTGTGTAAATCAGCCCACAAAATCTTCATGCTTAATAAATATTCTCACCATTAACCTGCCAGAGAAGCATATCAATACTAGGCTGACAAAATTCAGAAACTCTAAGGTTAGTGGAGGAAGTGTTGAGGGAAAATCCTGCTGCTCTGTTTCAGCTACCTCACCAAGACTGAAAAGGCCAAGTCTAAAACTAAATTGTGCTATACTGTCATGGTAGCAGTTTATCAAAAGAAAAATACCACACTTAATGTATATAACAAACACTTACCGTCTGGCTTCTCTCTCTGCTATCCTACGCTGCTTGGCATGTTCTTGATAGGATGCTCTATCTCGGCCAAAGCTGTCCAGATTTGGTGCCATCACAGCTTTATCTGAAGCAACATAAAAACAAATGCAAATGTCAAAGCAGTACAGTAAGCACACAGTATAACCTTTCCTGATACTTCATGATCAGAGTAAGAGGTCATAACCTTACAGTGCCAAACACCCCTACAGCACTTAAAGGGTAAAATAAATTGCAACATGAATATTGGATTTCCCAAATTGTGAAAAAATAGAGCATTATACAGTTAATAGTTAGTCGGTATGGACCAGCGGCAATCTAAGCAATCATCCAAATCTGGGTCCAGTAACCCAATATTACAGCAGTTAATATCCTAATCGTTAAGTATTTGCAGGACTTAACGATGATAGATACTTAGGAAGTTCCATGACTTTACCAGCAGTTCAGATATTCATACACATAGTTCATGCAAATACTTTATATATTCTTGACAGAGTAGAACTTCTTTCAATGGACACAGAATTATGAATATGCAACATTTACAAGCTATACAAAGAAAAATAAGAATCAGCTCAAATTATATAGAAAGATGTGAAACCCGATTCTCAGACAGATTTCCCCACACATTATAGCATGATAAGCTAAGGGGCTATTCGAACACAAATGAATCACTTCTTTGCATCACATCACTTGCAGTGTAAATTTATCTGTATATTACTGAAACACTGAAAACAAAGTAACACTTCAAATTGTATCTTTGTTATCACTCCTTGAGTGTTGAGATACATGGATATCTTTAAATGGATTTCACGAATCACCTTAGAGCTACGTATTGCTCTAACGCAGTGACATTAGTTACCAAATAACCTGATCGCAAAGGGAGAAGTAAAAAGAGTTTCCATTTAAAAACATTTCACTTTCAAATGCAGCCTTACATACGAATACACGTTTGTACAAACATTTTACTGTTATACTGCCTTCTCAATACATTTATCAGTATGCCACTACTGTAAAAAATTCAAGGTCTAGCACAGCGGTTCCCAAACTGTATGCCACAAGTTATTTTCCTGGTGCTATGATGATAGCGCCGGGAACTGCGCTCTGCCCCGCCGGCTCTGGAGGACCGGAGGGGAGATCAGGGATCTCCCTCTCCGGCCCACTAGCACTTTGCTGAAAGCCGGCAGGGGAGGGAGAAAGGACCCGGGGAAGCCCTAACCTGCATCTCCGCCGGGTTCTCCTATCGCGCGTTCGGAGCGTTGCCGCGGTTACCACGGCAATGCTCCAAATCTCGCGAGAGTGAACTCTAGCAGCTCCTAGGGCTACTAGAATTCACTGTCACCACTTGGACCACAAGAGATTAAAGGAAATGTCTCCCCTCCTATGCAAGCAGGTAAGGAGGGAGGGGGTATCATTTTTATTTTTAATTTGAAAAAAAAGTACATATTTATTAATCTTCCCTCCTACACCCACAGACCCCACACAATAGCTCCCCCATACACACACACTGCCCACCCTCCCACCCATACACACACAGTACCCCTCATGCACAAATTGCCCCACATACACACATTACATCCTTCACAAACACAATGCACCCCTGTACACACACACGCATAACAACCCCCCACCCACCCCATCCCAGCAGACCCCAGTTAAGTTGTCAAACTGTTCTTAAACAGTTTGTCTACTTACCCTGGGTAGGCACTACTGGCACCATAACCACTACTACGTAATGTAGTGGTTATTGTGCCTGGATTGTTTCTTTAAATAATCTACCAGTGCCACTCCCAGGATTAGGGGCCCAGTATATACTGCAGCGCTGTAAATATATACAACCTAGAATTTTTTTTGACTTGGGGCGCCTTGAAAAAAAAAACATTGAAAAATTAAGGGTGCCTTGAACCTAAAATGTTTGGGAACCACTGGTCTAGCAACTTTACAAAAGATACATTTACAGACTTCCTGACTGTTGACTGGGCCTTCTCCTGAAATTTCAATTTCCATGCAATATCTATTCACAAACACTACACAACAGATGTCACAGTAATCTCAATGAAATGGTCACCGTCAACACAAACCACCAAAGCTTGTTAACGCAGCTTTAGTTTAAACGATACTGCAGATTCAAGTGGGCAAAGGGTAACTTTTCCTGCTGAACCCAAACATTGAAATGTAGACACAGAAGTAACCATTGCAGATTACATAATAAGCTATTAACAGGAAATTTTGTATTTAAAATGTGCATGACAAGGGAATCAAGTGAGCTGGACTGCTGCTGCCTCTGGTTACATTACCCATAATTCTGAGAGTTGTTAAACTTCCCCTTTTGTAGGTTTCACTCGAAAAACAAGACTTAAAAATGTTGGTCAGTAAAAGTAAGGCAACGTCCAGTTTTTGATAATCACTAGCCAAGTTGAGAGATGGACTCCACGTGTACATTTTAGGTTTCAGAAAACCTCTCTCGAGTTGTGTATTTAACGGTGGACTTGCCCCATAACTATAATAGAACACTTACTGGGTTTATTCACTAAAAGTTTGCGATTTGGATTTAATTTGTGAAAATTAAAATGATGGTGAATAACCACACTAGATTATCTATTACAATAACCAGCTTCAATTTATCAATAAGTAGTGTAAACGTTTGTGTTAAATATACTAACTATACTAATGTATATAACCACATGTAGCATTACATTTTTGGGGTTATTTTTTGCAATTATGTAATGGAGTAAGTTAAAACTAAGTATTCCAGACAAAAAAATTCAAAAAGCTGTTGTGTGGATTCAAGGCATGTACCAAGAGAACTGAAACATGTACAAAGCAAAAGAGCGCACACCTTTCAGGGGATTAAGCAGCTATTTTAGAGCTTAACAACTGTTTGCAAGTACAGCACAAATGGAAAAATATAAACATTAAGAAAATAGGCCAACAAATACCTTTAACTGCAGATGAAAGATCAAACATCTAAATACAACCATTTACTATCAAATCAACACGTTAGAACCTCAACATGTTAAAGAACAAACGTTACACTTCACAATCACCACAAACTAGTTTCCAAGGCTCTTATATCAGCATGGTATGACCAGTTTTGTTCACTTTGGTGGTTCTACGTGTAAACAAGTGGGCGTTACAAAAGGATGCTTACAAAGCTGGTTCTTAAAAGTGGCAAGGAATTGTGTGAAGCTCATCTTTCCATGTTTTAAAAGAAAAATACAACATATTATTTATAAAGAGATGCACAAAAATAAGTCCCACTTATTCCATGCAAAAATATGTGTACATCTGTAAACTATCAGAGTGCTGACACATTACACACCCAATTTGTGCCCTGAGCTGGGCTGTGAGTTGTTTTATCTAATGTCTTTTGATATGGAAACTGTGGGTGCCTTGCAAAAAAAGTTATGAAACTATAAATGCCATCAATATGACAAATTATTATGGTACTGCCACCTGCATGCGTGATTTGATTGAAGGGACAGTATAGTCACAAAATAACTTTAGCTTAATTAAGAAGTTGTTGTGTATAGAGTATGCCTCTGCAGTCTCATTGCCAAATTTTCTGCCAATTAGGAGTGAAATCACTGTTTATGCAGCCCTATGTACTCCTCACTGCATGTGACTTACACAGCCTTCCTAAACACTTCCTGTAAAGAGTCATCTAATGTTTATACTTCCTTTATTGCAAATACTGTTTAATGTATAATTTCTTATCTCCTGCTCTGTTAATAGCTTGCTAGACTCTACAGGAGTTTACTGTAAGTAATTAGAGTTTAATTTACAGAGCAGAAGATACAAACTTTTAAAGTTGATTGAAAATGAAATCTTTTTTTTTCATGCAGGCTGTGTCAGTCACAGCCAGGGGTGTGTGGCTATGGCTGCATAAACAGAAACAAAGTGATTCAACTTCTTATTGTCAGAGAATCGAGCAGTGAGACTGCAGGGGCATGATCTATACACTTAAACAACTTCATTAAGCTAAACTTGTTTCGGTGACTACAGTGTCCCTTTAACCATAAACAGACAAGGGAAACAAATGTGATACCTTAAAAAAATAAATACTTGTTTTGTTAAAATTCAAGCTTTAGATAAAAATCAAACACATATTTCATAACTGTTTTACATTGCAGCAACGTGCAAATTATTTGAATAGAAAAATAATGACAAACAGAAAAGTGTTAGAAACAGAATTGTATGCAAACTGGCATAGTTATAAATACTGTGCATTTGTAAATAGTTACTGTACAAAAAGAAAATTAGGTAAATAAGGTCACAGTACATTTTTTCACTGTTCATATTTTGTACAGTTTACTTAATGAGTAGTGAGTCCTCATAAGGAGCATTGTAGGAGTTTGCAGAAAAATATAAATCTACATTGTTTCAGTATTTGCACAGAAATATTAAGGATAATGTATGCCAGGTGCCTTTTAGCAAACAAGGGTGTTTAATGAATAATAAAAACCTTCAAGATGGACTGACTTGAATGCATCGAAAACTCCGAAGATTCATCTTTAATATCATCTTGTCGTCTTTGGACAAGGCGGGCTGCTCGCTGTTTGTACAGCTGTTGCATTGCAGACTCCAGTTCATTAATCAGAGGCACCTGAAAAAATACAACAAAACTCATAATACCTCAGACGTGTGCGTGTGAGCATGGGACAGGTCATTCCAATGCAACATGAAGAAATCCTGAGAATAAAAGCTACATGAGCACTGTTATACATTAACTTGGAATAATCCAAGCTGCAAAAAAACCAAAACAAAAAAAAACCAACATAAAAAGGGGTAGTAATTCTTGCCTGCAACTGGTCCATCTGTAAAACTTGTATGGATATCTTTCATGAGCATTAGTGTATTTAGGTACATCAACACATTTTTAAATGTTTAACTGAACCCATTATTTGGGGCCTATTTATTAATAAAGCAAATGCAGAGTTTATGTGGAAAGTATTCTAGATAGAATTTTCAGCTTAAAAGAACAGTCTAATAAAAAATTTTTATAGACTATGATTTCTTTTTATTTAATCCCTGTGATCCTTAACACATTAATTTTACAGGACTATTTTTAATTTTTTTTTAAACACCTTCTAAATCAATTAAACCTCCGACTGTGATGTCATCAAGGTTGAAGACTTCTGTCCAGTCAAATGTGTTTCATAGAGAATGATTGCAGACATATAAACAAATACTTTTATAAGGAGTTCTGCTCCCTATTAAAATTCAGGAAACACACCTAATACCTTTTTTTTAAATTTTTTTTTTTTTTTTTAAAGGGGGGAAAAGGGGTTTTACTCACCTGTTTTCTATTTGAGACTCACTCCGTGCAGCTGCCGGCTCCGCCTCTGGTGACACTGTCCTGCAGGCTGTCTCATCTTCCTCTTCTCGTCCAATCCAATGCTTCTCATAGAGATGCATTAGGGATGGACAAGAAGAGAGCGCGACGCTTATTCAAACAAATTCCTTCAATTTAGGCATTTAAGCTTGAATCCAATAAACGTTTGACATCAAGCATCACATAAATCAGATCAAACTTGATCGTACCAGAGGAAGCAACCTCTAGAAGCTGTCAGAAAGACACACTAGAGGTGTGTTTATCCCTGCAATAAAACTATTGCTGTATCTACAAAACAGCAACGTTCTATATTTCAGCACTAAAAGACATGCATGCATGCCCATTCAATAAGAGAAGGTGATCTGGGTGCCTATAGGGGTCCTTTTAAGCTAAAGTTGTTTTGGTGCTTAGATTGTGCCTTTAATTCTCCTGCCAGAGTTTTATGTAGTGTTCCTTTGTGCAGTTCTCCATAACGTGATCAGAAATAAACACAACGTTGTACACGAGACTAATGGCAAACATCAGAATACACCTAGGTGGCCAGGAGTAAACAACTATCCAAACTTCCTTGCTGCTGCTTGAAACAATAAGGATCACAACACAAAAAAATTAAAATACCTAATATATTATAACTGACAGGTTTGCTACAAAGAAGAACAAAACAAAAAGAAACGTTTAGGTATGTTCTTGCAATAGTGAAAACAAAAGATATAATATGTATTTAACGTTTACGTGTTAAAAATGTACCTACCAATTTCCTTCAACTTAGGAATTTAAGTGTATACCCTTATCAGTGAGATTCAGGTAACGTAGTTGCAGTTAAATAATTATTTAAGGAACTGATGAACTCCATGATGCCTACCCTGTGCCCCTCTTTTCCCCGCAGATTTATTCTCAAATTACTCAGTATATTAGGCTATTAAAGGACCACTATAGGCACCCAGACCACTTCACCTTAATGAAGTGGTCTGGGTGCCAGGTCCAGCTAGGATTAACCTTTTCTTCTATAAACATAGCAGTTTCAAAGAAACTGCTATGTTTATAATAGGGTTAATCCAGCCTCTAGCGGCTGTCTCATTGACAGCCGCTAGAGGGTTAATCCAGCCTCTGGTGGCTGTCTCATTGACAGCCACTAGAGGGCTTCCGCGCTTCTCACTGTGATTTTCACATTGAGAAGACGCCAGCGTCCATAGGAAAGCATTGAGAATGCTTTTCTATGGACTGGCTGAAAGCGCGTGCGGCTCCTGCCGCGCATGCGCATTCAGCCGAGGCTGGAGAAAGAGGTAAGTTTAACCCCTTCCACCCGCTAGAGCCCGGCGGGAGAGGGACCCTGAGGGTGAGGGCACCCTCAGGGCACTGTAGTGCCAGGAAAACGGGTATGTTTTCCTGGCACTATAGTGGTCCTTTAACCCCTTAAGGACACATGACGTGTGACATGTCATGATTCCCTTTTATTCCAGAAGTTTGGTCCTTAAGGGGTTAAAAACTTTTCTATTTTTATTTTCTTGTTCCCATTAGGGTTAGTTAGTATATTTTATTATGTAAGACATTAAAGATTTTAAATACAAAACAAAAGTGGGCTCATAGCAAATGGAAGAGATGATTAGACTGGCATTTCAGGAATGTTTAACTTGTACAACTGAAGTATAAACGGGCAGGACCCGTTTACATTGCTTTCCCACTCCCATTGCACAAACAATTAGAGAGGGAAAAATTAAAAATATATATATATATATATATATTTATTTTAAAAAGCTAATAAAAGGACTATAAGAAAACATACACATTTAAGCAACACAAGCACCCGAATCATGAAATTCAAAGTACAGTGGTAGAAGTGTTGAGGAAAGAACAGGGGATAACGGTGTAACAAAGAACGAAAGAAAAAGTAAATCTTTTTGGAAACACGATAGACTAAGATCATGGCATTCTTACCTTTTCACGGAAACACTCAAGCAAGTCTTGGACATACCCTCGCATTTCTTGCAAAAACTTGTAGCGTTCAGCATTACCCCCCGAACAGCCTTCCAATCTAATTATAGAATTGGTGGAATCTTCTTTGCTCTGTTCGTGTTTTTCATAGAGTTCACAGTTTGCTTTATGGGTTTCTTTCATTGCTTCCAGCCTATGTATTGCAGAAAACAAAAAGCAGTGGTTTAAGAACAGCTCACCTCAGTATGTTTTCTATAAAGGAAAAACCATCAATACACCTGCAATCCTGAAAAAGGTGTCCCCACCAGGGCAGAGTGTCACACAAATATAAATTTTTTTTCATTCAGGTTTTTTTCTTCTATATGAGCAATCTGAAAATCTTAATACAGTCATTATCCGAGTAAGCTGTCATGCGGATCTTTTACATAAAACAAAAGAAATTTAGAAGGATTTACACTTGTGTAACATTTCTGTGTTATTTTAAGAAATACCTAACCAATAAACAGGACTAAACACCCCACACAGATTGTTTTCATGAAAACAAACTATTAAGTCACTCAATATTAACATTTCCAACCTTCACACTTCCGCAATTCACTACAAATTAAGAGTATCAATTTACAAAACCGCCTGCTGCAGTGAAACTGAATATTACTATTAAGCTAAACACAGGAATTTATTTGGAAAAAAAAACAATATAACTCCATGAAACCTGAAAGCCATTTTGAATTTTTAACCAGATCTCACCATTTCTAGTAACAAAAAATGGGGGGCATGTAACTAATAGCTTGGTGATTTTCATACACCGATAACCTTTTTGTGAACTCTGTTGAAGAGTCAGTAATCGCATTTTGTTTTTTGTTTGCACCTGGGTACCTGTGACTCACAGTGACACTCAAAAGTCATCTTTCCTTCACATATATTGGCCTTTGTAACTGTCCAGAAAGTCGAACTAACACAGCCCTGTGCTTCTGGCAAAGAACGCACTCTCACTTCACTAGGCTTTTATAGTTTCCAAGGCAACTGCTCAATTTTCTTGATTCCATCCGTGTTCTTCAAAGAGTTCATTGGTGTTACACAGTAGCTTTACGTTCCCGACCCCATATAACAAGAGCCAGGGGAACAGAAAGCTGGATGGTCTGCTTTGGTAGTCCCCCAAAAAAGAAAGTTAATCTGTCCTACCTGTCTTTAAGCTGTTTCTTTACCAAATCAATAGAAACAGGAGTCATCTCATTACTGGGAGTTTTGAAAGAGACTGAATTATCTGGTTTATGAGATTTTGTCTCTGTAGATCCATAAGCAGAGTAAGTATATGGAACGCCATACGAAGAGCCATAGGGTATTCCCTGATACGTGCTTGGGTAGAACAAATTATTTACTTCTGTAGGCTGGGGCACTTGAACCTGAAAATCGAAATTTGGATAAGTCAGATTGTGATTTGTGCTTGAACCAGGTACACATATAAAAAACAAAACAAAAAGCACACCCCCCTAATTACAAGCAATGCATAGTACTTGTATACATGGAGGTTGATTATTTGTGGTTGCAAATGTCAAAACCATTACAAATAATTTCTAGCTTGCATGGACTAGGATTATCACCATTATGGCCAACTAATAGGTGTTTTTTCTTCACAACAAACTCACAAATATGTATTCACGTTAGAACTACCAATAATAACATCCTATCATGGATAATCCAAATTACTGACAAATATTTCTGAAAGTAATGTGTGCTGTAGACAGTGGTTTGACTCCCCTTTCCCACAAAACACCTGTCTTCTCTAACTTGGCTGCCAGAAACAGATGCAAGCAGACCAGCTGTTTACGAAGTCAAACTCCTCCAAATGCAAAGCAAGCATTGTATGTGGGAGGAATGGGTATCCACTCACATGCAGTCACTAATATTTTTACTTTTACCTAAATGGAGTTCGGAAACTCAAAACTCAAGAAGAGAATACCGAGTACCAAGGAGAATAGTTAAACAATGCTCGATGTACACATTTGTTGGTCATTTAGTGGCCACAAGGTTCAGATAAAAATAGACGCACTACAAATTGTAACTGGCATATTCCCCCCCCCCCCAAATACAAAAAATATGTGGCACACAAGGAGGCATTATCAAAATCTGAAAAGCCAAAAATACAAATATAGCAATAATTGCTAAAAAAATAAATAAAAAAATACTTGCCTGAGGTATACTGATTCCTTTTCTTAGCTGTTCCTGCTCCCAGCGGCACACCTCTTCATCTTGTTCCCCAGTCGCTAAAGCGTCATCATCACTTCCTTCAATACCTGGAAAGGAGTGTGAGACAGGTGATAACACGTCAATATGACTGACTAATAATTTAAAATAGATTTTTTTTAAAAATACGTAAAAAGCTCCACAAAACACTACTAGAGAGGTCCACTGGATTTTTTCGCCTTTTGATATATTTTTAAATCACATTTATGTAAACAGCCTATCTATACAGTATGTAGTAGTATGCTAAACTAAGGAGTGATTTTACAATCACAGAGAGTGATAAATACAACATCAGATCAGTTATTGTACTTCAAAAGTAAAGGGGGTAATAATACAGATTTAACTCCTTAAGGACAGAGGCAGTTGTACCAGGTCTGACCAAAACCAAACCTTGAAGTTTAGTTATAGGTCTGTTCATAATTTACCTTTGTCATATTAAGTGCACCCACACTTATATATCATTTTGTTCAGGAGTAATAGGGCTATCATTTCACCTCATATTTATCAATGAAACAATTTAATAAGAAAAAAAAAAGTGTAAGCACTTCTTATTTTCTAAGTTCTGGACATTTCAAATGTGATTGACATAATACTGTTAGCTTTTACTGCAATAAAACACTCATATTTGTAAGCTGTGTTTTCCCACAAGTAGAACGATTTAAGGTGTTGTGAAAAGTAACATGGTCAAATATAGGGCTCGCCAACTTCAGTTTTTACACATTAAAATTTGCCAGAGTGCTTTGCTAGGTCTATGTTGCCTTTGAGACCGTATGGCAGCCCAGAATGAAACAAAGCCATGCTGCCAGTATGTGTTTACATGTACTATTCAAGTGGGCACCTTATTAGCCATCTGGTAATATTAAAAACAGCATATAACTGTTACATTTGATGTGCTTTAATGCTTCATTTTTTTCCATAAGGATACTATTTGTAAAAATTCAGAGTTTAGAAAATACTCCTATACACGTCGAGGGCTCTAGGCAGGGTCCCTAATCTTTCTAATTGAAATTATTTTTTGTAAGGACAAGTAGATATTTTTTACTTTCACGTCCCTGAGTAGTACTAGACACAATGCACTGACAATATCATTTATCCATGTAAAACGGTGTGTGTTAAATTTAGGTTCAACTGAACCTGAAAGTTTTTTATTCAGACAATAAAACAGTGAAACATACCAATTTCCTCTGCTATCTTCTGCCTCTGAGATTTCTCTCGAACGGAGAATACGATTCGTCTTTTTTCATCATCATCGTCGTCGTCACTGGCATCATTTTCATCTTCACGTACCAAGCGACCTTTACCACCCTCATTCTCAGCAGATGGCAAATCTCCAAGCTCACGAGCCATCTGCCTCTTTTTACGGGCTGCATGGATAAATGCAGCGTCTGGGATTTCTCCTACAATAAGAAAGATTGGTAATCTATAAGATCTAGGCAGCGAGAGACGGGCTGGGATGGCAGATAACACAGTCTACTTCAAATGATCTACGAATGTAGATTAGGAGAGATTCTTACCAGGAACAATATGATTGTTTAGTGGTTATTGCATATAATAGTACTCTCTTCAACAATGTTTTGGGTGCAGAGAGGCACCTAAGCAAAGTTCCCACCAACCTATCAGTTTACATCTCTATATTGACAAAGCATTTAAAAAAATATATTTTTAGAGAATAGGCACAATATATCAAAACTAAAGCTACTACAACTCACTATGGTCTAAATATAGTTCCGTGCTTATTGCCAGACACTAGAACTATCCTGGGCTTGACCCACAACTAGTAAAAACTACCAACAATAAATAGTAGAGTTCTAAAAACAGAACAATCCAGGCAAGTGAATAAGTTACATATCAGAGATGGCAACCCAATATCAAAATGTATCTTAAGTAAGAATTTACACATTTCTACAAGGTAGCAGCACTGTGGCTCAATGGGGTCATAACACAAATGTAAAACAAAGACCATTACTGTGTCTTATTTTAAAGTACAATGCATACATTAATATACACAGTCACATCAGATAAAATGAGCCATTGAGCCACCTCTATACATAAACTGACTTAAAATCCATGAAGTATTTTCTAATTAGCATGCGGTCAATACCTGGACGGAGAACATTTAAAGTGGATACTGGGTTTGTAAAAGAGCCAGCCACCTTAGGCTTCTCTTCCTCTTTTTCACTTTCGACTTCCATTTCCTCTTCCCCAAGGTCACTGCCATGTGCCACATCCTCCTGACAGATATCCTTCATGGACAATGCTTTATGGATGGCGTTGTTGCCTACAAAGACATTATACAAACATAAATTAAATAAAGATGAACTTACCAGCACTGTTCCTGCAAGACTAACATTTCTAAAAAGTTGCACTGGCCCCTACTTATTGAAGATCCTGACACAAGAAGACATGGCATTGAATTCTAACTAAAAACACTATGCATACATAGCCTTATATGGTCTCCAAGCATCATGACTTAGGAAAGAAACAACAAGTTAGTAATATAAAAAGTACAGATTCCTCAAAAGAGCCTAAAGAATGATATCGGATATATAAATTGAAATGGAAAATGTACACAGCAAAAGCTGCACAAAAGGGCACAGTTTCCTAATGTTCACTTTAACCCAACCACTTTGTAATACAAATCGTTATCAAATAAGACAAAAATAAAGCAAACTGCAACACAGACACACAACATGTAACGAGGGCATCAAAGTATTTCTGTAACAGCTTAACCGTTTAATCCCCCACCTAATTTAACCATTCAGGCCGCTCTTATTAACTTAAAAGAAAGATGGATTGAATAATGCAAAAAAATACATTATGGGGTAGATAAGACAAATGAATGAATGCGTGCATGAAATAAATATATATAAATGTATAGAAGCATGAAGCACTCGTGACTGCATATTAATTTGCTTGTGCACCTGTTGATTTATAAAACCAAAGTTGAAGCTGCTCTTTAAGAACCATAACCACTGCAGCTGCTGTTGGGTTATAGCTCCACAGGACTCCTGGTAGTGTCACTGGGTCACCTGCAGTCCTTTCCCTGTTCACATAGATCTCTAAAGCAGACAATTATCTTCAGCTTTCGAAATACCAATTTTATCAAACTTTGTATCGACTTCATTGGCTGAAGCGTGTGAACTGAAACGCAGAGTCAATGAATTCCATCAAAATTGATATCACTAATGCGGAAGTAGGAACATCTGCTTTAGCAATATATGTGAAGAGATGTCGGTCTGTGGGTGCCCAGGTAAGTGTCAAACCATTTGAAAAGTAACAATTTGACTCTGAACAGTGGTATTGCATCAGTGAACTCCTGGCACCATAACAGCATGCTGTAGTTGTGTTAAGGGTGCCTTTTTAATTAAGTCACAACATTTTTAATATTTAGGTTAATAGAGAGGCAAATATTTGCAGATGTTTTAGGAACAATTTAATTGTGGCCCACAATGTAATTTCTCCACCTTATGAGCAAAACCGATCCTACGGATGAAATGCTTACCATCTGCCAAGTTAAAGGTTTCAGATGTAGGCTTTGTTTTCTCTTTGTCATCCTTATATTCCTTTTTAAGAATCTTGACTATTTTCTTGCTATAGTTCGATTTCTTCACTTTAAAAACTTCTTCCTCTGTTGGGAACAAAAGTGTGTTATTTAGACTCATCAGGATACACAACAAAGTTTGCATTTAGTTTACCAATATCTGCAAAACACAATGCTTTAAAGGGACACTATATTCACCAGAACTACAGTTTAGTGTATTTGTTCCCGTGAGTATAATCCTTCCCTTCATGCTTTTTGCAGTTTACATTACTGCCTAGGGATACCTCCACTGGTCCCTCCTCATATGGCTACTAGAGGTGCAGCACTGTTGAATTTTCCTCATAGAGGTGCATTGAATCAATGCATCTCTAACAGAAGGTGCCGATTGGCCAAAACTGCATTTGGCCCTGCCCCCTTGCCAATTTCAGCCAATCTGATGATGTCACCAAAAAGGCGATGGAAATAAGGTATATTCTAATTCTTTCTAAGGGGGATAAGAAGGGGCGGCAAGCCACCTAAATGGTTGTTTTAACATGTCAAGGTCAGGAATACATGTTTAAGTAGTAGGCAATAATACCACTTTAACTAGAATAAACTTTGGCTATAAACTTGCCTACAATTTAAACGCCAAAGACGTTATTTGAGCTTAAGAAAAGAGATATAAAACACCAATTCCAAAGCCAAGTGACGTTTAACCCCTTAAGGACACATAACATGTCATGATTCCCTTTTATTCCACAAGTTTGGTCCTTAAGGGGTTAATAACTTTTTAGGAATACAGCTTCCAGGCCTTTTCAAAGCATGCATGATTATTTTTTTAACGCTGTATGTTAAAGCAGACATGTCACCTGATAGCATTAAATGGATACTACAGGCATTAAAGGACCACTATAGTGCCAGGAAAACATACTCGTTTTCCTGGCACTATAGTGCCCTGAGGGTGCCCCCACCCTCAGGGTCCCCCTCCCGCCCGGCTCTGGGGAGAGGAAAGGGGTTAAATCTTACCTTTCTCCAGCGCCGGGCGGGAGCTCTCCTCCTCCCTCCTCTCCGCACGAATGCGCATGCGCTTAGCGAGGAACCCGCTGGCGTGCATTCAGCCGGCGATTCGCCGGAAAGCGACACAATGCGCTGGGCAGCGTCTTCACTGTAATTTTCAGTAGAAAACTGGCAGCGCCTCGCTGACTGTCAGTAGGGGCAGCTACACTAGAGGCTGGATTAACCCTATTATAAACATAGCAGTTTCTCTGAAACTGCTATGTTTATAAAAAAAAGGGTTAACCCTAGCTGGACCAGGCACCCAGACCACTTCATTAAGCTGAAGTGGTCTGGGAGGCTATAGTGGTCCTTTAAAAAAACTTCAGCGTAATGAAGCAGTTTCCGTTTATAGATCATTTCTCAATTCTCTGCACATTGCTTTCCTATGGGTATTTAACCAACGCTAGATGTCCTCATGCAGAGTGTGAGGATGCCCAGTGTCAGAATACGGTCTAAACACTGGATTAGAGGTAATTTAAATTTGTTGAACACTGTAGAAGGGAAGCTCAAATCTAAATAAAAAAAAAAAGAGAACACTTCAACATAATGTTAATAGACACTAAAATAAAGCATATACTAATCATGTCCACAGGTTTTACGTATGCTTGATTAGAAATTGTTCAACAAAACACGCAGTTCTTTGTGCATCCCTGAGAAAATAAGGGGAGCGGTCAAGGATATGGGTGTAACACCCTCGTCCTGTATCTAACCCACAAAAAAAAAGGCCATCTAGACTGGAAAAGTAGGTGATAACCCTAGGGAATACAATAAATAGAGAACCAAAAGGTGTCACTTGAATAGAAAGTGACCACAAGGTTACATTTCCAATTCACTCCCTAGAACTGGATGGCAAATTGCAAAACCACCGGCTGTAGCAGAACTCCAACTCCCACCAGCCAACGTGGGGTTTGGGCCACAGCTCAGCATTCCCATGACGCTCGGCCAGCCCGGTGTTTACCTTCCTCCTCCTCGTCCTGGAAGCTGAGCAGGCTGGCCTTGGCTCCCCACGTGTCCCGGCATTCCCTGCGAGGCCGGCCTGGGGCCCCCGGGAGCCCGTTGTCATGCTGCTGAGGGGGCTCGGGGAGGACGGGCTGGGGGAGGATGAACTGCGGCTCGGGGGGCTGGAGGGCGGGCTCGGGGGGTCCCACCGGGCCGGACACGGGCCGCTCCAGCTCCTTGTCCTCCTCCTCGGAGTCATTGCGCTTCCTCAGGTTCACCCGCCGGATCTTACGGAACATGTCGAGTGCGGAGACACAGCGAGCCCGGGAGCAGCACCGACACGGCCGCGGCACCAGCGAGAGGAGCAAAGCGGCAGCAGCGACCCCTAGCGGGAGGAGGCTCTCACTGCGACAGCAGCTAGCAGAGAGCGTGTGTCACAGCGACCCCTGGCGGGCGGAGGCTCTCACTGCGACAGCAGCTAGCAGAGAGCGTGGCTCACAGCGACCCCTGGCGGGCGGAGGCTCTCACTGCGACAGCAGCTAGCAGAGAGCGTGGCTCACAGCGACCCCTGGCGGGCGGAGGCTCTCACTGCGACAGCAGCTAGCAGAGAGCGTGTGTCACAGCGACCCCTGGCGGGCGGAGGCTCTCACTGCGACAGCAGCTAACAGAGAGCGCGGCTC